ATCAGTTTTGGCACATACTCCCCAGGCGAACTTGAGCGGAATGAAAAGTCCTTTCCCTTAAAAAAACGTCCCTTTATATACGTCTGGCTTGAAGCTTCAAACGGTCGGCTAACCGTCTGTTTTCGCTACTAAGGACACGCAGGTGAAAACGAAAAAGAGGAAGTCTACCAAAATGTCAAACAATTAACACTCCATGCAAAAGAATAAATAAGTCTATCATGAAGTCTGTTATGCAGTATCTTCTGTCAGAAGTCACGATGCCACAACTCTTAAGTCTTGCTCGTTTTCCAGCGCTGATCAGATGGTAGAGTACGGCGTGTTCGAAGTAGGTGACGTACGTAAGACGATGTCGACAGTAGATTTAGTGCACAGCAGACGAATTCGTCAAACAAAGTAGACGAAGCTGACAGTAGATTTAGTGCACCAACACCCTCAGACACCTGGAAAGGGGAGATAGACTACCCTTACTTCTTTGCTTCGTCCTCTCTTTCTTTCTTTTATGCGCTAAGCAATAACAGCTAGTAAATCTCTTTTTCTTTCAGCATTGAGCAGACGATATACAGTCTACCTGTAGCAGACGACGGCGAAGACGAAACTGAAGCCGACAGCAGACTTACTTCACCAACGCTCCATATACCTGAGGAAGAGAGGGACGGTGTGCTCCTCCTTCTTTCTCTTTCTTCTTTTTATGGGCTGCGCTCTCACCCCCGCATACTCGACACCCTCCGCGAGCTAATAAACGAAATGCGACGTCTTCTCCAATTTCCGATCTGCGCTGCGTCCCAATTAAGGCAAGCGGACGCTCGATAACCAACACCCACGAATCTTTCTCATACCTTTTCTTTTTGTGGCTTCTTTCTTGTCTTGGAACAATTTCGCGCCGCCGCGACCCGGGGATTGATTCGAAACGGCTTACGAATTCAGCTTCGGGCCGAATCTATTTCCTTCTCACCCTCTTGCGCTACCCGTTCGACCAATTATGTCGCGTTCCACCGATCTACCACACCAATCTCGCTCTGGACGTGCACAGGCAGACAAATTACACAAACGGTGCGCTTCTGAGACTTGACACACGCAAGCAGGTATTTGGGAAACGAACACGCCTCTACGAAGTAACACTGCGGTAGTCGTGTATTTATCTTTATATAACTATATACACAATGCCTCACGAATGCTTCCCCACAAACGTACACGTCACTGCTGGTCTTCAGCCGCATTCAGTTTTCGAAAAATCACACGCGAAGTTCAAGTGGTCCTTCCAAAAGCAAACAAGCAACGCCGGGTCCTACCTGAGTTGAAACGATGCGGAATGATGCCAAAGATCAACCACCATCGCCGCAATCACACGCCGCCTTGGAGAAAGGCGAGAGATGCCGACGATACCGGTGAACTACCTACGTCGAGGCGTAAGTCGAAAAACGTGGCTCGAGTTCACGCGTCGATGATTTATAACACACGGCGATCAAAAAAAAACACGAAATACAGCCGTCCACAGCTACGGTGTACGTGCTGGAACGCCCTAAGAGCAGCTCCGGTATCAAAAGAGACGGTGCAAATCGTGTGACGCGAAGTTAGAAAAAGAGCCGTAGTTGTACGCGACCGCACCGCCACACGCACACACACTACCACCGGTCCCGAGTACGCAGAGAACACAACCTCTCCCGATCTCTCCTCCGCCGCATCACCGAAAAACATCCGCACTTTTTGTATGCGTACACAAGGCGCCGATGGCGCATTCTGCCAGGTGCGCCGAAATAAATGTTTTATGAAAAAGAAACAACTGAAATTGCGTTCCTACGCCTTTTTTCCTTCGCGAGACGAGTCGTACAGGGTGGACTTTTTTTTTTCGGGGATGCGAGCCTATTTTTGGTTATCCCCGAATGTGGAGAGATCCGAGCAATTTTCGCGGCTCCGCATGGGCTGCATCCCTATCGATCCGTTCTCCAACGGCCGGTGACCCATCGACATCACTATCTCAAAATGGCGCCGCTTTCGAAACGAAAAACGGATCGTCTGCTGGACTTGCTTGGCTGCTATTTTGAGTAAACGGGTTTTAAATATAAGGTTTCCTGACTTTAGTTCATGTTAGAATTTTGTGAGCAACTACGTACAACACTTAGCGCCCCTTAAGTGGTGCGATAAATTTGTGATAGGGGCAGTGCTACGGTTTTAGCACCCATCGTGAAGCTACGACACGGTTTTTCTGAGCGACTGTAAAAGAAGTCGTAGAGTGAAAACAGGCTTGTATGTGTTACTCATGCGTGTTATTCCTTTTTTTTCATAATAACTATGCGCAATGGTTTCAAACATTTTACATTGTAATTCAAGCGAAAAAAGGTCGACCAGTCCTATTTCAGAATTTGCAGCTGGTCCAGTTTCTTCTAAAAGTTCTAGTGACACCTGCAGTTAAATTCATCAATGCGGATTAAAATACACCAGCCTTTTTCTGCAGCTGGACATTTCAGTTGTGTAATGACCACTCGACCTAGTAAAAAAATAGTGTCCCTATACCAAATATAGAAGCACGCTTCTCTGCGCTGCACATTCGCCAAACTAGTGGCGGCACCTGCCGTCCTTCAAGTGGACAGGAGGTCCTAATAGTTACATGTCCCGGTATTTGTCTATTATGCGTGTTTATGCCACGAGAGCTATACATCTTCTTCATTATCATTCAATTCAAACTGCTCTTGAACAAGGTTTTTTTCTGTAAATAACTAGCCACCATTATTTGCGCTAACTGCATCGCAGGAAGGCTATAGCTTTACAATTATGCAAATGTTCTATAACCACAAGCAACAGAGTAAGCCTTACGTAGCAGTTGGAATGGTCGATGAACGTTTAAATCAAGTCAGAACAATTAAACATGTTCACAGTGAACTGAAAACATGAACGTATTCGCCCATTCTTGCTGGCATTTCCTTTCTTGAAAACTTCATGAACATAGTCATTGTTTCATGACTATGTTCCCTCTTTGGGGGCAGGGAGAACGCGTGTGAGGGGAGGCCGGCGAAAATTTTGGGGAGACTCCAGCCCCCCCTGCTCACCCCTCACACTGCCCCTGGGTGTAGAAATAATTTGTAAGTTCTCATATATTTTGTTTCCTGCTAATCGTTTCGACAATTTACAAAATCAGTGACATCGATAAAGAAACACCGTTTGTTTACATGCAGCACGCGTGACGTGTCTATATAACGGTATAGTCCGACTGAATTCAAGATTAGGTATTCTTAAAAAATTTCCCTTGAGTATGCCCATAAAATACCATTTCTTATTCATGGACGATTCTCATTGTACCTTGGTAAATCACAATGTTTCACTAATTCTTAATTATTGGTTGCGTGTTTCGGTAGAAGTCTTATAATTGGTGCTTTCCGCCCCGCATTTTCGTTAGAAGTGTGGCAGCTTGGGCTAGTTGGTATGGCATGACGATAGTTATAGCGCGAGAACAAAACGACGACACAGAGACAAGAAGGACACGAAAGGCACGAGCGCTAGTGTCTTTCGTGTCCTTCTTGTCTATGTGTCGTCGTTTTGTTCTCGTGCTATAACTATCGTATGTTCGTAGGGCGGACGAGTTTTGGGTTGTCTAGCGCGGTCTAGCTCAAGGACGTTTTACCTCCTTGGGCTTGACCACGCTAGCCCAAGGAGGTGAAATTTAAACCTCCTTGGGAGGATTTACCTCTTCGGGCTAGACCACGCTAGCCCAAGGAGGTTAAACTTCCTTGGGCTAGCCAAAGAGGTTTAACCTCCTTAGTTTAGCCAATGTACAGGTTCACGGTAAAAGATCGCCGCTCGGGCTTCTTCTGTTACAGTTCGAGTTGTACAAATGATAGCCGTTAGCAACACACTGCAAGACCGAATTTCTCCAGCAGTATGAGAAGTAAGAAATGTATTGCTAAAAACGGCGAAAATGACTGCGCCCTCTGTTACTCGAACGAAGAAACCAAACAGCCCCCCGTCATTTCCGCGACGAGCACTTTTCCTTCTCTTCACAGATGACGCTACCATCCTTTTTAAAAAAAGGGGGTAAAGAAAGGTAGTATTGTGCTCATCGGCGCACTGCATTGCAGACAAAACGCACGCAGCACATTCCTGCACTACAAAGCAATTGTAATGTATCGATTATAGTCTAAATGTTAGCTAAGTGGCGTGATTTCTTGTATTAACGCGGAAAGCAAAATAAGAAAGAAAATTTTGCCTGTGCTAAAACACTATGGAGTCTGTTTTGCTCTAGTGAAGAGTCTTATTCAGCGCAGTCATTCGCTAAGCATTGTTAATTTTTATTCAACAGACTGGTCAAGCACTGATCAGTGCGAAAACAGGGATTATTTTTTTTTTTACATCATCATTAATAGCGCACCGAGCATCTGCATTTAGACGCTTGGTTTGCATCAAAGTCCTTGCGAAACGTATGAGCTAATCACGCCATCGAGTACGTAGGCTGCTCCAGTAAGTGCAAGATTCGTTTATCGCTCGCAAGCTGAGTTTATGTCGGTGTATTAAATCTGCTTCCACCTTCACAGTGGGTTCACTGATTCCTGTCACGCTGAATTATTTTATTGTGGTTAGTTAAATGTGCTAGGTGTCGTTACTAACGCTTTAACTTAAAAATTTTTGTCGGAAAGTTTTTGAATTTGTAAGAGAGCGTATTAAACATAAATTAACTTAGTTAACGCGGCTGTTAGATGATATTTGCGAGCATGGTCATCACGAATTGAGCGACAAACTTAGAACAAAGCATAAAAGTACTCAAATACGAGTTTGTGTTTTGTCATTATTACCTTATTTTAGCCACGATGTAATAATAAGTTGTGTTTCAAATAATCTATCTTTGTGCTTTTATCTATCAAACGCCATGTCGTTGCAAATTTTAAAACCGAAACCATTACTAGAGGACGCTACCCTCTTTTCTACTTCAATACGTGCATCGTTGTGCTGGTTGCGTGAGTACCTCCAGTTGTGTATTTCCGCGCATGCGCAGTTGTTTCTAACCGCGACGCCCGATGCTTGGCTGGTGACGGACGTCGGCGGGTCCGAGGCGAGATGTGTTCGCGATGGTTCTTCGACGCCGCGGTTGGAGCGTAAAAAATCTGGAAGCTGCTATAGTTTGCCCAAATTGCGTCGCGGCGGAGCACTCGACGGGCTTCGCATGTGAATGAAATCGACCCGACGAGGCCGCAAGGCTTGACAACAACACCCGTCGACGACTACCAACGGAGAGGTGAGGAGCACGGCTGGCCCAGTTAGGTTTAGAGACGAGCGCTCCGTCGCACTGTCGCATATTTCCCGTCGCGAGCGCGTGGGAACGCGTCTCTCCGACGTGCTAACTCGATCGACGCGTTCTCCGTTGTAAACAAGATCGGTTTGACGCCTGTTGCGGCTTGTGTTCGCGCGAACCGCGATCGTGTGAATCGAAGCCAGTGGTGGTCGGTGTTGCTCGGGTGCCAGCCACTACTGTTGACACGGCCGCATCCGTCGTGACATCGCATCGGCTCCGCGGCCGTGCGAAAGTGTTACGTAAACACCGTAAAACGCTCAACACAAAAAGGACATCCGGTACTTTCGGCGTCGCTAACGTAAACGCGTCGGCCTCTGACCCAGTGGCGCATTGTGATCGAGGCGACTAATTGAATATTTCAGCCGATGGTGACGGAGAGCGCTCGACCTTGGGGAAAAGCATTGCTGTGTTCGCCTTGAGTGCTGTCGCGCTTAATTCTAAGCGCGTGTTTCTTGTTTCTGTGCCTGCAGATGTCGGCGGTGTCGCAGGTAAGAGCCTCGTCGCGTTTGTTTTTTGTTCTTTCTCGGTGCAGTTTTGCGCGGCCGAGTGACTAATAACCGCACCTTCGGGCCGCGTCAGCTTAAACGCTTCCGCGGCCTTGCCTTTGCGGGCCGTTCCTTTTGCGCGAAACTTGCGTGCCGATCGTGCGTGTTGTGTTCCCGCCCCCCTCGGCTCGCCTTCTCTTTCGAAGCAATGCGGTAAACACTACTGACGTCGACGTGATGGCAGGCGGCGTAGGAGAGATGTAAGAATGGATGGCGTAACATGAAATGCCGTGCCCGCTCATATGGACCGTGTCGTCCACGTAATGTCGTGTCGCCGGTCTGCCCCCCTTTTGTTCTTATTGTCCTTATCGTAACCACCCTCTCCTTTTTCCGGGCCGACTGCCGGGCAGATTGTTTCCTTGTGCATCATTTCACGCGACGCTCGTCCCAAAGGAAAAAACTTCTCGGTGCAATCGTATGGCTGCTCGGTTTACACGCGTTATTTGCGAAGCTGCATACCTTCCGTCTTTTAATTCGAGCGCGCTGCTTAAAAATAGCGGACCGTGCCAGCGGCGTCGGAGTGTGCCTGCCGATAATAAATGCCTACCCCCTCTCCTCGCCCCAGTCCATACCCACCACGGTGTAACAACCTGCTATTTTGATCTTTCCTTTCGAGCCGTTCTGTGTGTTTTTTTTTTTTCACCCGTGTCGTACGCGCTTACTTTAGATCCGTGTGCTGGCAACAAAAGTGTAGTGTAGGAGGCAGCCTATTTATATGGTATGCCGCGCAGGTCAGTGCTCTCTTCCCCGAATGCCAGTTATACATAAGTCTGCAGTGTTTTCGGCAATTATCAGTGTTTTCGGCACTGTTTTTGCAGGCGAAATGGAAGGTGTTGAAGAAGATGAGAAGCGCCTTTTAACTGTACAGCACTTCAATGGGATTTCGAGTTAGAGCAAAGATCGTAAAGCCATAACTTGCTCCAACTCTGCTGAAAGTTGCAGAAAATTTCTGCCGAAAGTTATCGGCTTGTTGCATAACTTGTCGTTGGGACACAGTAGAGAGAGTGTCTTGTAGATGACTCTGCTCAAGTTTGCTTTGCAGATGAAAGACATTTCTGTCTGTGAAGCACTTTGCAGGGGCCATATCCTCTAGCAGGTGAAATTGCTCGTCTTTGTTGACGAAAAACACTTTACCGCAGTGTTGATCAAGAAGGGTGCTTGCACTGATTCGTGCTATTTTGCACATGAGAGAACTTCATCTAGCTGTCCAGGAGGCAGTATAGAAATGTTACATAAATGACCAACTTGTTGGTGTATGATCTGTCCTTTAGATACTGCAGGATCAGCTTATCACATACACAGACATAAAATATTCGTCATTTGCTATGCATTCACTGCACATTATAGCTAGAAAACAGTGTGCTCTTATCTAGCTCTCTCACAGTTGAAGCAAAGCTCTTTTGTCTACAGAACACTTCAGTGCAATTTAGAAATAAAGTTCTGGCAGCTCTGCAGCTGCAAACGATAAACCCATCCAGTTTTCTGCAAGACAGCAGAGCAACATGACCCAAATTGCCAACTTGTCACATGATAGCACAGCCGCAACCCAAATGATGACATGTTACGAGTTGCGAACTTGTCACTGCACAACATTGCATTGTGATATTGCAAAGCTATTACCCGAGTGATGACATCTCTGCTCATTTTGTCATTGTGATACCCACAGCCCCAAATAATGACATGCTGCAGGTTGCTAACTTGTCACTGCACTATTGTCATTTAGATACCGCACACCCATAACCCAAATGAGTAATCGTTACAGATTGCCTGCTTGGCACTGCACGACCTGTCATTGTGATATCGCACAACTATAAGTCAAATGATGACATGGTACGAGTTGCCACCTTGTCAATGCACATGTCGTTTTGCTAGTACACAGATTACACAGCCGTAAACTAAATGAGGACATGTTCATCATCATTATCAGCCTGACTACGTACACTGCAGGACAAAGGCCTCTCCCATGTTCAGCCAGCCAACTCAGTCCTGTGCTTGCTGCTGCCACTTTATACCCGCACACTTCCTAATCTCACCTACCCACCTTACCTTCTGTCTTACCTTCACGCACTTGCCTTCTCCTGGGATCCACTCTGTGATCCATAATGACTAGCGGTTATCTTGCCTTCGCGCTACCCGGCCCATGACCATTTCTTCTTGATTTCGACTATGATGTCCTTAACACCTGTTTGTTCCCTGATACACTCTGCTCTCTTCTTGTCCCTCAGGGTTACGCCTATTATTTTCCTTTTCATTGCTCGCTGTGTCGTCCTCAACTTAGTTGCCAACTTGTCATAATGGAATCGCTTAGCCATAAATCAAGCGATAACATTGGCAAAATACACTGCATCAATTTATGCACAGAGTGTTGCCACATCTGTGCCAACTGTGCCGCTCCATGCTACAAGTTGCCAACTTGTCGCTGCACAATTTGTTGCGTTATCGCACAGCCACAACACCGAACGGCATCATGTTGCGATTCTCTCTTTCATTTCAATGTAGTCGGGCACTCCTCCCTACTTTTTTTCATTCATACTGACAGCAGCAGCATTTGATTTACATTCAATGGCAAGGCTGTTTTGCTTGTTGGCTTTCCCTTCGTGAGGCGTGTCGGTCCTGTTAAGTGCCTTTGTCGCTGCTTCCTATTGTCTCGCATTTGCGAATGTCCGTGAGAGTTTGTGATTGATGGGGTGACGTCACCTGCCTGGCAGCCATGGCCTACCTGATGGCCCACAAAGTGTAATAACTCACTTGGAAGAGTTCCATGACGAGTCCTCGCGCTTCTTCTTGAGATTTATGGGTTTGACTGGTTTGCACTTCTAGACACTGCCGTCATACCTGTTTCAAAGATTGTTGTTTTGTGCAATGAAAAAAAAAGTGTCATGAGTTTAACTTCCCCGCCACTTTCTCTCTACTCTGTTGAATGCCCTACCTTTAATTCATTTCAGTATTTTGAAGAGGGGGGGGGTGACACTGTGCTTCAAATATATTTTTTTTAATTTCTGATTTATAGAAACGAAACTTGCATTTATGTATACTAGTGGGCTTATTTGGTGATATGCAAGTATATCATTTATAAAATATGAGACACTTTGTGTGTATTGTTTTGAGCGATATTTGTAGTGAACCGAGCGAGATACAAAATAAATCAGCATGCCACAATAACTTGGGACCCATGCTGTGTGCAATAAAACTAAAATAGATGGGCTTTATGACGGACTGGGGTACTTGCTTCTTTCACCTTGAGCACCAGACTTCACTGGCTAATCTTTTAAATAACTCTAAAGACTTACACAATTGCAAATCAATAGGTTGTGTTGTGCTTTCCCCAGCTATGATGCTTTCTGTCTCTGAAATAGCTGCAATATAACTATGGGGTCAACAGGCCCTTGCTATCTTTCTCTGGTATCCACAGCTGTACAATAGCATTGTGCTCCCTCCAAATTCACAGATGATATGGCTGGCGTGTCAAGTGCACATTTATCTGTCGTTACAGCCTTCTGAAAATGTGGGATAAGGTAGCAGGCTTTAGTTTGCTTCACCACGATTCGTGTGTTGCTTGAAGGAAATTAAGCAGTGTGCAGTGAGCATGTTTCTTTGTGTCTCATTGCAAGCGCCATTTTTCAAGCAAGACTTAAGAGCTGCCAAATGAGGTGGTTGAGGTGGTGTTGTTGTCATATGTGAAAAGCCCGGCGGCTTGAGAGCGGAGAAATTCGGGCTCCTAAGGTGTGCCCGTCGCGTGATCGTTTGTGTAAGCTGTTTTGCTATTATTGATGCGCTCTCAATTGTGGGATCGTTGGTGGAGTCTGTCATTTCTGAGACGACAGTCTGATCTTTTACTGAGTTGTGTCGTCATTCCATGCTGCCACATTTTATTGCTGCCTGGATATCAATGAGCATTGTTGTTGCCTGTAGCAGCAGAAGTGTTGTGCTGCTCTGCATGGGGTGAAGGTGTGAGTGATTGCTGGCATGAAGTGGGGAAACAGAGGGAAACATTGTGCAACAAATTAAAGGAAGGAATAAAGGTAGTAGGTCAAGCGTGCACAATCTTCACTCGCCCCTATTTTCTTGATGAAGGAGAAACCCCTGAACTTTTTTCTCCCGTTATTCAAACAGATGCAGCTGCCCCACCAAACATAATCGTGAGCGCTGCAGGGCAGAGTGGAACAATCCTGCTGAGGCTCATCTGACGGCTTCTGTTATTAGTGAAATCTGTTCCAATATGGTCTTGTTGAAGAAAGGGGGGAAATGGGAGTTTACTTAGCCGTGCAAAGCTTCATATACAGCAAGGCTGGTTGATCTTGGGGGCTTAACGTGGCCTTGTTGGCTGGTGCTAGCTAGATCTTTCTCTGGCGTAGACAGAGTAGATTCAAACCACAGCCCGTCGCAGACCTTTCAACAATTTCAGAAACTCCAGCTCTGTAACTAATATGCAAAACTGGTTCTGGCACTCCAGTAGCAGAGCGGGTTCCACCAGTTTGGTTATATCAAAATTTCATTTTCTTCTTATCTCCTAATCCTTCGCCATCAGTGTCGTCAGTGTATGTCCTCTGTAAGATAGAGTGAGGCCTCTCCCAACGATTTCTGACCCATTAGCTGATACCCGTTTTATGTGCGCACATTCCTTAATTTCATTGCTCCACCTAATCTCTGGCCATTCTTTGCTGCGATTCTCATGTTTTGATATCCATTCTATTGCTCCTAATGACAACTAGTTTGCTGTCCTTCTTGTGACATGTCATTCCCAAATCCATTTCTTTCTCTTGATTGCTGTGACATCAGCTACCTCTGTTTGTACTCTAATTACCACACTTTAACTAAAGATTCTAAGCTGTTCCTCGTCATTAAAATTGAACAGCAAAGCTGTCACCCCTTTCGTCAGCCATTACATTTTGATCCCATGTTTTGGCGAAGTTTGCATCATAATCATCATGATTGTTTCGAGCATCATCATCATTTTATTTACTTATTTATTCAGACCTTCCCCCTGGTCACTAACCTGCACAATGCCTATTACTACTACTACTGCTACTACAACTACAACTAGACACAGCTAATGAAGCCAAAGGACATTTAAGCAAAAAGAAATGTAAGGGACATTGTGTGATAATTTATTACTTAAATTTAAATATATTAAGGTGCATGAAAAATTACCTTTTCTGTCCTAGGATCAGAATTCACAACGTTCACATTACACGTGATACTTGATGTCTTCCGATTGCGGCAGGATTGACGCGTTGGTTAGCGCGTGAGATTTCATTGGCCACTGGCCACCTCGTTTGACGTTCATGTGTCTCGTGACCCACTCAGACGAAAAGAGTGTTTCAAACTCGCTGCCATGGCTGTGAATGGCACTGGCTAGCACTCCCTTCGATTAAGCTAACACAATTACCCTACAAAGTGGACGAAGGAGTGCCCTCGGTCGTGGCCCAGTCAGTGGAGCATCGGACGTGTAAATTGAAGGTTGTTAACTCAGATCCCACTGACCGGAAGAGGGATTCTTCATCCACATTACTTATACATTTCAGTTTAGGTCAGAAATCATCACACTACATTTAAAGAAACAACAATGTCCCTTGTCTCTTCCTTAGCTGAATTGTCTGTTTCATCACTTGTATTCATAGGTTGGCAAACTCACTCATGAGTAGACTGACCCGAGTAGACTGATAGCCGAGAAATACTTTCGCGAGTCTGAGTCCGAATGAATCCTAAGCACTAAGTATATTTCATGAGTGAGACTGAGTGAGCTCCACATTTTTTTTGCCAATCTACGCTTGTGTCTGACAAAGATACTAACTCTTCGTACAGTTCCCGTTCTTTCGTATGACCGCTTTTAGTACCTTTTTAACGACACAACATGGAGCTAGACAGTTCAGCTCTAAAGCTACAAGTAACCTCCCTTGCGCGTTTTTTCGCACTCATTTTCTGTTGTCCTCACAGAATTGTGTCCTTGTCCTCTCTCACAGGGGGCCAGGATGAGCAGCGGCAGCACGGTGGCGCTTCCCGGCGTCACGGGTGGGCCGAGCACGGTGGCGAGCTCGTCGGTGCTCCCCGTGGTGCTGGCCACGGCCAACATTACGGTCGAGAACGCCAGCCAGGTGTTGGAGGACCTGCCGCCTACCTTCCTGCAGACCACGGGGGCCCAGGCCCTGTCGGGGGCCTTCGTGTGGACCGCCCTCATAATCACCTGCCACCAGGTGAGCCACCTGAGAGGGCTCTCCACATCAGCGTCCCTTTGCTATCTGACTGGTGGTCGGACTGGTTGTTATGAATGCACACTGTTCGAGCGTCTATGGTGATGGTCACTCAAACTTGCCTCAGCTGGCCGGCCGCAGTTCCAAAGTCTCTACCTCGAGGGCCAGTAGTTGGAATGGGAGGACGGGAGGGAAGATAACGTCGGTGAACTTTGAAATTTCAAAGGCCTTTCCCATATCTCGGATATTCATCATCGCAGTGGCATTTTGAACCTGTTCATCCTTCCTGTGTTCCTCAAATGTTCACTTACCTCACATAATATGTGGGAGTCTAGCATTTTGTCTCCATTGAAACACAACCACTTCAGCTGAGATCGAACCATTGTCTTTCCGAGTCAGCGGCCAAATGCCATAACAAGTGAGCCATCACAGTAGCATTTGTGATGAACTGGGTTAGGTTAGACGTACAGTCCATCTTCCTTCTTCACATTGTTGCCCTAAACAGTGTGTTTTAAAATGTGCCATGCCGACAAGACGATGATTGATTGCATCATGCCCGTGGTTCCGTTGTTCGCAGATCTACCAACACCTGCGGTTCTATACGTTGCCCACGGAGCAGCGCTGGATTGTGCGGATACTGTTCATAGTGCCCATCTACGCGTTCGACTCTTGGCTGAGCCTGCTCTTCTTCCGAGAGAACTACTACATCTACTTCAACAGCGTTCGCGACTGGTACGAAGGTGAGTCTTCACCCCCCAGATCCTCGTTACGATATTTATACCAGCAAGCCTCAGTGACCGCCTTGGCTCACTGGATGTAGCCCTTGGCTCACTGGATGTAGCCCTACTCAGTCCTGAGAACTTCAAAGCGTGTGCAAGGACTTCTTACACAGGCTTTAGGAACTGGGCAAAACAAGCATTCATAAGAACAAAATGAGTACTAAGCCAGTTGTTTTGGAACATTTTCCTTTCTACTGTACTCCCTTTTCAGACACGACACAATCACGGTAGTACACTTGTACTGGCATATATTTGCTATTGTAAAAAAAACATGGCACTTCCAGAGCTCAAAAGAAACTGACTCTTTATTTTATCTGCGTCCCCATTTTGCGGTTTTCAAATGTGATGCTCCACACACATGACGCGACAGCGCTGCACGAGGGCACTGCATGTCGGCTATTAACAGTGTGACACACAACCTTTCAACACCAGTCATCATGGTGTCGTAGTGGTAAAAAAAAATTTCGGAACTGACAGTTGAAGGTCGGCCTCTCTTACTGTCAAATCTCATTAATTCGAACACGCTTTATTCTAACTTCCGGTTAATTCGAACTCGCGCTGAGGTTCTGTCAAAGCTATGTGTATTCCGATGGGAAAAAACGCCCTGTAATTCGAACACGCAAGCACTTGCGACGGTTAATTGGAACATACCGCGCTCTGAAAATGCTCTCAGCACCATGTCAAATCCCGCGGCGCCTCCGACACCTCAGCGCTGCGTGTGAAGGAAAAGAAAGGACAGAAAATGCTGTGGTGGAACGTTTGCTCTCTCTCAAATGCCCATCTGCGACGTGCCTGTGCCATGCTTCTCCCTTTTCCGTCCCTGCCACGTAAAGACCCTTCTCCTTTCAATGCCGCATGCGAAGAGAGAGAGGAAACAAAAAAGAAAGCTGGCGCAGAGTGCTGGCTCTCTCTCGCGCGCCGGTGCCACGCTTCCCTCTTTCTCGGCCCTGCCACATGGACCGTTCTGCTTTCAACGACGCGTCCAAGAAAAAAAAAAATGGCTGCCGTGGAGTGTTAGTTTTTTCTCAAATGCCAATCTGCTTCTATCCAGCTCCTTCTTTCTCCTCACATGTTCGTCGCGCTGCGACTGCGATGCAGAGGGTAGTAGCGGACACGCAGTCGTTGTCTCTGGAGAGTGTCTGCGCTGGAAATTGCCGCTCGCAACTTCTTTTGCCAGGAAAATGTTGAAGTTGAAGCAGAAATGCTTTGCAAGCTGCGTGCGAAATTCATTGACTAGCTGCAAGGCAAATGTGTTTACCCGCACATCACGGATTACTCAATGAGGGATGTCCTGTGATTTGTGAATAAATGTAAGTCTTCTGAAACTTCCCACTCGTGTGTTAGCTCAATGCACATGCGCCTCTGCATGGTGAGCCCTCATTTCATTTAGCTTTCATTAATTCGAACAAATTTCCGGGCCCCTTCTGGTTCGAGTTATCGAGATTCGACTGTATTAGGCAGTCTTGCGATTCCCAAGAAATGCACTTGTCTTGTGAGATTGCACTGGCACGTGCTTGAATCGGAGCCCCCGAAAATGTGTTATTTTTGTACATCTATCCAGTTTACTTTCTAGGTACTAATCCTGTACACTTCTTTGTGTTTCTAGACCATAAACATTCGGACATGTGGCAGTTTTTTATGGCCTTCAACTGTACACACTCTATCTTCTCTTGAAGCTGATATCTTTAATAGCAAATACTATTGTTAAACTAGCACCCTAAATTAGGTATTTGAACGGCACGTAGAGGACGCAGTGAATAAGCAAAGTTTTTCATCAGCGAGTGCCGTGGTTCATGCTGCTGTCCGAATGCGCAATACATTATCTGGTACAGCGGAACTCCTATGCAAAGGACAGCACCTGGTAGTAGTCCTTGTTCCTTATACGAGTTGTGTTTTACAAGCGGCGTACCACATCCTCATTTTCTCATCAGCACCTATTTTGATGCTGGGCCCAGTTGTCTCTTACATCAGTGTGTCTTATGAAGGCATTCAACTGTATTGATTCCTTTCTGAACTACTGTGAAGTTCCTGGTGGTCACACCTCTCTGTTTTTCAGCGTTCGTGATCTACAACTTTCTGAGCCTCTGTTACGAGTATCTCGGGGGCGAAAGCAACATCATGTCCGAGATTCGGGGGAAGCCAATACAGTGAGTGCTCATTTCACACTAATAGCAACGTCATTCGCGTAGGCGTTCACACTCTGTGGGGAAGGGGGCAGCTGCCCCTTTTCCAATCATCCAAAGAGGGTGCCAAGTCGACCTCATATCCCTACTCAGTGGGATCTCTCTGGTCATTCTATAATGCACAGTGTTATGGCTGTGCGAATTTTCTATGAAAACAGCCACTCGTTACCGCTAACGTGGCATTCCTAGAACAGTTTAGCACACTCAAACCTCTTTATAACAGAGTTGCATCTTACACGAAAATAAGTTCATTATAATTGAAAATTCGTTGCAAGGGTGTATTCCTAGCACTACCATATTTACTCCCGTAATGAACCCACCCTTTTTCTTTTTTTTTTTTTTTCAGAAAAGTTGATGCTAATTTGGGGGGACAGTGCATTGCGGGGAAGAAAAAAAAAAGGTCACGAGAGTTATAACAGTGAGAATTTGGGGTGACGTCTTTGCTTGTTTTGACCCGTGAAATGCGAGACATTTCTTTTGTAGCCCGAAGCTCTTTTTGTTTCGTCACTCACGTTATGAAAGTGCATGGATCAATGCCGAAGTGTCGTCCAGCCGCTCGGTTCCAATGCTCCAACGCATGCTGTTAGTAACCAGCCCTGTAGCTAGCGTACCGACTGAACGCGCCCTGCGCAGCAGGTGTCCCAACTAAGTCCACAATAACAAACCCAACAACGAAAACGCAGCATCGGATGGGGGGGCGCGAACGTTGTATTAGACGTTGCGGATGCACGTGCCGTCGGCGCAATGGGTGCGGTTGCGCTTTGAATAGGTCCGAGATGGCGAGCGCTTGGCGTGTTCCATGACGCAGCGCGAGCGCTATTTTGGACGCCACGCACTTTGTTTTTGTGCCGCTGTGTTTGTGTGTTCCTATCAGCAAAGATGTTTCTCTTGCTTTCGACAGATGGCGCTTTGCTGGACTTGGCGGGACTTTCAAATTTTAGTTGACGTCGTCTGCGCTCGAGCTTCTCGCGACTGTTTAGCATGATTGCATAGCTATCTTTTGCTTTCATAGCATTGTTATTTTGTCATATAATGGCTTTATTTAAGGTTGTTTTGATCATTAACGGCTCTGGCTATCATACCGAAATAAAATGAACTAAATTAATTAAACTAAATTGAACTACAACTAATTGAAAAATGAACTAAATGAATTAAATTTTTTTTACTTTTTTCAAAGATCAAGGTTGTGGGGTGGGTTCATAATGCGAGTGGGTTCATTACACGAGTAAATACGGTATATCTATTGCAAGACTTGTTCATTCACTTCTTTATGATCTATATTTCTTTTTATCCAGGTGCGTTATATCGAGGTTTGAGTGTACTTCCCACTTTATAGGCCCCATAAGGCTGCGGACCAAGAACAAATGGTTAGAAGTAGCACACAGCTTGTTTCATTCCCGCATCCATTAATAAGCTTTTTTTTTTTTTTTTCAAACTCTTCCAATCATCGGAGGGGGGGAGCTGGGGGAAAAGGGGGTTGTATCCCTCAATATGATAACCTTGTGCACTCTTGATTACTTGCCCAACAGAAAAAGTGTTGTTGTGGGCACTCGAGTGGTTGTACACTGTCAGTTATCTTTTACGGTGGCCTCTGTTGGGAGAACAGCAGCCCACTCAAAGTGCTCACTTCCGAGTTCTGAGGTGGAGCGTTTCAGTGGTCGAACAAAGAAGTAGTCGCACCGCCGTCCACTGGTAGAGTGAGAGCGTCTTCGCCGCGCTGAAGGCAGTTTGTAATGTTCTTGACCTGAAAAGTAGGGCGGGTAGGGTCTGGAGAGACCCGCCAGACTTCTAGCGGCACATTTTTATATATGTTTTTTCTCAGCCAGCGAAGTGCAGTGGCAGTAAAAGCAACCATTTTTTACCGCTGACGTTGGCCGCACTGTTTCTACGGCTAGCGACAAGGACGGCTACCAAATGTGCATGATTACGTGTGCTGGATGTGTTCACAAGCATACCATGTACACTGAAACCTCGACGTAACAAACCCGGATATATCGAAATATTGGTTATAACGAAGTAAACGAAAAATAGTCTTGCAGTAAATGCAGTGTTATGAATATATCTTTATAATGAATTTTTGGATATAACAAAGTTATCTTCGTATAAGATGCAACTTCGTTATAACAAGGTTTCAGTGTAACTGCAAATTCGGATAACGGTGAGCATGAAACTGGCACATTTCACGCGTAATTTTGCTTTGCTGCTACCCTGCAGAGAACGCCTGGACTTCAAATGTTTCAGTTGCGTGCTATATTTCTCCCCACTCGTTGCCCTTTCACCTGCTCTACGAAAGCGTGCAGCATTGCGGTGGTAGATCAAGCGGCCCTGCTTTCAGTGCTCTGACCCGGACTTCTCACTTCACAACACCGCAACTCCGGTTTTTCTCAATGAAATTCGTCATCAGTGAAGACCACACTGACTTGCGGCTATTGTGCTGCCTATGATTTTTGGGGGGGCATTTAATAATGTCTAGCCGAGTGTCATGTTCCACCTGAAAAACAAGGTAACAATTGAGAAAACAAAAAATGGCATCCTGCACTAGCTCGTTGTGAATAAATTATTAAATTTAGTTTCTTCTACAGTGGGCTTCCCTTCCAGTGTTTTCCGCTTTCTGCACAGGCTCGGGATTGTGCGAATTAGATCGCTACTGCTTCCTGCTGTGCGATCAGGTTAAATGGTTGGCATTCTTCCTGTCACCATTTTTTTCTTCTTGTTTGCTATCTTGCACGGCGTTCTTCAAGTAACTGTGCGCCAACTGGCCCCACATGTCATATTTTTAGTACGTTGCACTAACAAAAATTGGTCAGTGAATACGTTGCAAAAAAAAAAAAGTTTTGGTAATTCGTAAACCTTCACAAATTCCTCGTTCATAGTGCAGCGGACATGGTGCCGTTGTCCCAGTAATGTGCACAGCATATGACGTGACGTCGTGAATGGCCACGAACATTTACAGCTGTTCATTAGTACATCATTTTAAACTGCGTATATGCAGTTTCTGTAATGTCGGAAGCGTTCTGTTTTTACTCGATCAGTTACTCTAATTTTCGTAAGCATGCAAAAGTTTTTCAGTCTTCCAGAGAAGGTTCCTAGTGCTTTCTCATTTTCTTTTCTTTTTTTGTCACTTTGTTGACGACACTTTTTTTTTTTTTTTTCGCTTTTTCAGGCAAAGTTTCTGGTACGGCACTTGTTGCCTTTCAGGAAAAACGTACACCATTGGTTTTCTTCGGTTCTGCAAACAGGTGCGTGTGATTTCCTCATCAGTCAGTTTTTTTACACTCACTAGGCAGCGTTGCTGTCAAGAAAATGCTTTGATTAGAGAAAGTATATCAAAGTACATTAAATGCTCATTAATTAAAACTTTACGAGCCCGAAAAAAAAAGTGTTTAAATTAACCGAATTTCGAATTAGTGAAAGTGTCAAGATCGGACACGACCTCTAAAACTGGAAGATTGTACATGCTTCCAATCTTGGAGGCAGCACAACTAGTTCCTGGAAGCCAAACTCGACCTAGTCAATGGAAAATTTTATGTGGCGGCTTTTGAAATTAAGGGGCATAGCTCAAAACGAGTGATTGAGTCCAGAAAATCAAAGTTTTAGGCATTAATTTTTCTGAATAATAGGTCGCGATAATGCATTAGTGCTATGGGAAGCTTCACGGTGCATTTGTAAAGTCCAAAACATCCAACAAGTCCACATTTCTGTGGCCCAAAAAATGGGTGCCAACTGTATAGCAAACAGGTTTGATGTTCCCTTGCATTCTAAATATGATCCCCTTCAGATTTGATACAACTGTATTTTTCAACTGTATTGGAGTTGTGCACATAGCCTTATTTGTTATCTAAGCCAGTGTGCAACCGCTCACTGCAAAAGCTTCAACAAAGTTGTAACGGATTCGCTCCACTGATCGATTGCATGTTCCTATTTTACAGGCGACCCTGCAATTCTGTGCAGTAAAACCGCTCATGTCTGTGATTACGCTGATTCTGCAACCCTTCGGAAAGTACTCCGACGGAGACTGGAGGTACGCAAACACTTCTCACGTGGGAGTCGTGATCATCCACGTAATTTCGTGCACGCCCGTTTGTCTCACACGAGCCATTTCTCTCTTCAGCGTGTCACTTTTTCGTTTCATTGCACCACCCCGTTATCTGCTGTCCTCGTCTGTATTTCCCTTTTCTCGATTGCAGCCCTTTCTGTAAAACTGATAAATTAGGAGTTATCTGTTCACACAATAGATGACCTCACCTGTTCCATTCATTTTGCCTAATACATTCAAAGCTCATTATAACAAAGTTACACCTGCCACAAAACTTTGTTATATCTCGAAATTTGTTGTAGACATTTATTTAGCAACGTAGCCATTGCGAGCCATTCGTCACGTACTTCGTTATAACTATAGCTCGTTATACCCAGGTTTGCCATATCATGATTTTAGTGTATAGCAGGTATCTAAAACTCGCCTCAGCCAACGGGCTGCAGTCACACAATTCGGTCCCACAATGGCTGGGGCTGTAAATGTGAGAGTGGATTGGGAAGGAGGGGTTGGGGTGCTGTTCACTTGTCAGCAGAGATTGCCACTTGATAGGAAACCTTTCCCATATCTTACTTTTAAAGCATGGCTTGTTTTAATACATAGCACTATTCCCAATAACGAAAACAATTGTTTAGAAATGCCATGAGCGCCGTGTTACGCAATAGCGCACTTGCCTGCAAGCCACTGCTACCGAGGCTACGCACTCCGTCGCAGCAAAGTGAAGTTGGCGAACGCACTTGCCGGCGAGTGTACTTTGTGGCAAGTGACACTAAACCTACTCATGTGATGCCCCTGACGCACACGGCAAATTAAGTACACTTTGGGCGAGTGCACTTCTTGTCGAGTGTCGTTTGCACGCTGTCACACGAGAAACTTTAGTGTCACTCGATGCAATGTACAATGTCGGCGAGTGCGTTCGCCAACCTCACTTTGCTACAGAGGGGTGTTTAGCCTCGGCAGTAGTGGCTTGAACGTAAATGTGCTGTTGCATAAAGCAGAGCTCGTAGTATCTCTAGACCATTGTTTTCGTTATTAGAAATACTGCTGCGTAAAGAAGCAAGCCATAATGCAAAAAAAAAAAAGGCCTCGCTGCTCTCGCCCTCGGGCACTTTGCGGCCATGTCCGCTTGAGGGACGTGGCTGCATATGTGTAGATGAATCTTCGTCGAGTTATGTGCGATGGCGTGTGCCATTGGTGCTACTTCCATGCAGACAACATAATCTCGTAACACATATATGTTGCACTATTAATCGGCCATCTGCCACTGCCATCATTTCCAAATTGCGCTCCGCTTTCTCGTTTACCAGCGCACCGCCAAAGTGACACTTTGTGAGTGTAAGTTCACTCGGTCCTCGTGAGTTGTCACGTGGGACAGGCGTATAACAGTATGTGCAATCAGGGACAAGTCGAGTGCAGCCGTTGTTCTGAGTTCACAACGAGTCATCGTTGTGTGTGCCTTTTGTTCACAGCAGTACCGACTTTTACTCACTTGTTTTCTAGGCCAGACAGCGGCTACCTGTACATCACGATAATCTACAACATCAGCGTGTCGCTGGCGCTGTATGGCATGGTGCTGTTTTACTTTGCCACCAAGGACCTGCTGGCGCCCTTTGACCCCGTGTGGAAGTTCTGCACCGTCAAGTCGGTCATCTTCCTCTCCTTCTGGCAAGGTCAGAACGTGTTCTTGCTTTTAAGGGGGGACGCGCCCTTTGAAAACCGAAAAATCGCGAAAAAGTCGATTTTTTGAAAACCACATACTCGGGCAGTATGACTCATAAACTGCCTCTACTGTAAATATCAATGTCTAATTCATCGCGAAAGTACGTCAAATAAATTTTATAACATGCCGCGGCAGCCGGCACGCGGCGAGCGCCAAAAGTACCCCAACTTCGCGCGCTCGCCATTTCCCAACCGCTCGGCCGATCACCGCCATCTTGATGTTGTTTTGCTCGTGAATTCTTGCGCTTTTTTTTTTTTCGCCACCCGTGGCAGTGGCGGTGGCGCTCCGAGGCGGGAGTCGCTCACGATTGGGGGGCTCGCGGAAGCTTTCGAATGTCCCGCTGCCTGGATGCGAAGCCGCGATTGGACAAAGCGCGCGCCTCTCGAGGGAATGGGGGAGCGCGCGGCTCCTATTGGCTGCTGCGCGCGATGACGTAGCTGCTTCTCCGGCATGCGCCGGCTCGTCGTCTGCACCGGCGCTTGCAATGCCGGCGTTCTTTGTGTGCCCCGTTTGCCATCATTCCAATCGGTCGTCACAAGTGCTCCTCTATCTTTCACCGTCTTCACGAGACGATCTTCTACCGTCTTCACGAGACGATTACTACCGTCCTCACGAGACGATCTTCCGCCGTGTTCACGGGACGCGGATTGTTGCGCTGACGGTCATGATGGGCATTTCGAAGTTCAAGACTCGGCACGCGTTCGGTTCAAGAAAGCGTCAGCTGAAGCTCGTACGCATGGCAAATCTCACCTGCACGCCCACGCGCGGCGACAGTTGCACCGGTGCTTCCGCTTCATCTTTTCAAGACGATTGCGTCGACGCTTCTAGCGACGAGACTTCTACACCATCGGCACAAGGATCCGTCGTGACGAGTGAGGCTGGTGTTTCGTGCTCAAGTGCGCCTGGTGTGTCGCGCTCGCCAACCGCATTGATTCCGGCCCCGAACAGTGAGACCGCGTCGTCGACTGTGCCCATCCAAACACGTTTTCGGACGTGCGAGGAGTTGGCGACGGCGGAGAGAGAACGTGCTGCTGTGCAACGAAAGCTTGGCGCTATGCCAGCGACCGAGAGGAAGTTTCAAGCGATGATGCCTGAACCCGAAGCTGCCACCGCTACGACCGAAGGCGAGAGATATTTCCTCGTGCAAGGGGATGCCCTTAGCGACATGCTGTCCAAGACCCCGTGCCCGCGCTGCCTCGCGACCGGGATGAAAGTACAAGGAGGCACCCAGCTTGGACTTGCCACGAAGCTTGAGCTGGTATGTCCACATTGTGGAATAGTTTCAAGTTCGTGGAGCTCTGCTCGTCGGAACGAGTCAAGGGCCTTCGACGTGAATATAAGAGCCATTACGGCCATGAAACAAATAGGGAAGGGACAGACAGCCCTCAACGACTTTTGGGCAACTATGAATGTTTCCCACCGTGGCCTGCACCACAGAACTTTCCAGAGGCACCTGAAGCAATTCAGAGAACCACAGCAACAGACCCTGGATAAATTCTATGAAGAATCGGCTTCTGCTGTGAAAAAGGTGTACAAGGAGACGGACCCATCTTTCTGCAAGGACATTACAGTGAACTATGATGGCACGTGGCATAAGCGCGGACATACATCTCACATTGGAGTTGGTGCAATCATCGAGTATCACACAGGCCTCATCTTGGATGCTGTAGTTTTATCGAATCAGTGTCTCGGCTGCCAGGTAGGACCGAAGCCTGAAGACGAGGGCTATGCAAGCTGGTTGAAGCACCATGTGTGCCAAAAAAACACTGATGCCAAGTCTGGGAGGATGGAGGTTGAAGCAGCTGTAACTCTGTTCTCACGTTCACTGTCCAAGCATAACCTCCGGTATACAACCATTGTATCTGATGGGGACAGCGCCACATTCTCTGCCCTTCAACAAGACAATGTTTATGGGCTAGTCCCTATTGTGAAAGAAGAATGCTTGAACCATTTCCGGAAGAGGATGGGCACAGCCCTACGTAATCTTGTGCAGAAAAGCGAACAGGCTCTGGGAGGGAAGGGCAGATTGACAAAAGCCCTTATTGATAAACTCACAGACTATTATGGCTGGGCACTGCGGAACAATTCAAACAATGTGGCTGCAATGCAGCGTGCAGTGATGGCGTCATATCACGTCACCTCAACTGACGAGGATCCTCACCATGACTTGTGCCCGGAAGGTGCAGACTCGTGGTGCCGTCATAATGCCTGCAAGGGGAATGGCGTGCCACCTCCAAAGCACAAATACAATCTTCCGGGCTACGTTGCAGAAGCGCTGCTGCCAGTCTACCAGCGCCTTTCGCAGGCTTCTCTACTGCAACGCTGCCTGGGAGCAAAGACGCAAAATGCGACGGAGTCATTCCATTCTGTCCTATGGTCCTTGATGCCCAAGGAGCAACATGCATCATTGATTGCTGTCGAGACAGCACTGCATGACGCAGTTTTGCGGTATAATGCCGGCTGCTACAGGGCCACCCAAGAGTTGTCGTCATCAGTGGGACTCACACCTGGCCACCTAACCATTCAACGAGCTGCGGAGAAAGACTCTCTGCGTCTGAGAAAGGCTCAGAAACGGATGAATGAGAAGCAGGAAAAGCGGCAAAGAAAAAGAGAGCCTAAGGACACATCTAGCTACTCTGCAGGGTCATTTTAGACCATAATAAATGTTTGAAACTTTCGAAGTCAATTTTCTCAGAATGACTTTTTTGGCCAGTGAGGCTGCTTAGTCAGGTGATCTCTCTGGAACTGCTGGTCTGATTTTTATCAGGTTTTTTTCATTATGCACCTTAATAAATTGCCCAGGGCAAGACAAGCCCACTTTTTCAATTTATTGTGTCTGTAATTTGTAATAATTAACTAAAACTTCATTGATGAGAGCCAAATTGTGAACACTAAATTCAGTGCTCTGCTAACATTTTTTGGCAAGGAAATTTAAAAAAAGGGCTCTGTCTTGCCCTAAAGCACCTATCCAGGAATCATCATAGTGAATTTCACAGTGCACATTTTTTCAAATTCTCCAGACCCTGACTAAGGGACCCATGTGGACTACCCTGATAAATGGCTGTAACTTGGGAACCAGTGAACATAACTGCATGAAACTTTGTGGTTATTCAAATGGCTTTGCTATTAGTGTACCCTGAAAATTTCATTAAGATATCTCAACAAACAAAAAAGTTGCCCTTCGAAGGTAGCCTCCCCCCTTAAGAAGAGGCAAAAGTTGCCCCATTGTTAATCACTCTCCCATTGTTAATCACTCTAACTAACCTCAATATAACAAACCAATATATAATGAAATAAAGGTTATAATGAACTTAATCAAGACTATTCTTGCAATAGATAGAGTGTTAGGAATATACCTTTGTAATGAAGTTTTGGATGTAAGGAACGTTTTTTTTTTTTATAAGATGAAACGTCGTTACAATGATGTTGGAGTGTAGTAAAAGACATCTAACTACTTCTGTTGTGAAGTTTGAAGTGTGTATGGTGTGGGGGAAAACATGAGTCGTAAGAAAGGCTGTTTCATCCTCTAGTCGGATACACCTTTAGGGGAGATGCTACTCAAAGTCAGTTTTTTTAAATAGTATTCACCCTACAGCAATGAAACTTGAGCTGTTCATGGAACTTTTTAGGCTGATTTTAAATATATAATTGTTTTCTTGCGCCTCGCGTATTTTTAGTTCTGCAACAGGACAAAATGAAAACCTTAAGTCTTTCGACCCTATTTTTTCATCTCTGAGCTTCCATAATTTTTTTAGAAAACACTGATAGTTCATAATGTTTCAAATAAAGTGTAAAATACAGAAAACTAATTAGGAAGTGCATACAGATAATGCAATAGACATGAAAAGCAATAGGCATGAAAGCGTCCATATTTCTTTTACCCTAGTAAAGGTTTAAATCAAATTTTTTATTATATGTTAGAAATATTGAAATATAAACAAGCTAATTGCATTTCTCATACTTTGTACTTTGGAAAAAATTTGGGTAAAATTACATGCAGATTTGAGCATGAGAAGTACCTGAAAAGGAAGAGGCATATCAAAAAAGAAGGCAAAATTTTTGTTTTGAGAAAAACTAGCTTTAAAGTTTTAAAGTAAAAACTAGCTTAAATGTCTTTAATTGCAATGAAATTTGCACACAAGAACAATCCTTCTTGTAGTGGCCACTGCCTCTAAAATACACCAGCGCCATAAGTTTGTCCCTCATGGCTCTTTCGAGCTCACTCCTCACAGACATTTCGTTCCCAGGCAGGGCTATGAAACGCTTGCCAAACTTTTTTCTCTCCATCGGGAACAGCCTTGTGCCGATTGCAAGCTAGGCGGAAGTTCGACAGGGCTTCAAAGTATTAAGTTCAGCGTATAGGGACACAACAGTGCCGATGCCATTATGTCTGTTGTGGCTGCGTTTTCGCCATGTACTGTCGTACATACCCGCAATGTCATCCCCGCTTACCTCCCTCGCTGTGAACTCCCTAGACCTCGTAAGATTGGCACAGATGGCATTCATTTCCGCATCACGGACTTTCCGGCTGATGGCTGTGAATGACTTAGGATGCATTGGCTTTTGCAAGCCTAGAATTGCCGTAAATCAAACCAGCTGCTCGTAGCCCATTCTTGCAGAGTGCACCGCCACAACAGCTTTCACGTTTACAGCATAGCTATCGCACGAGCTACGGCTTTCTTAATCCATGATGGAGATAAACACACAAGAAGGGTGATGTTCAGCTGCTGACGAGACACTGACCCTGCAAGAAGGCTTCACAGCTCATACAGGCGCACAGTGGCCAATGGCAGTTCCCAATTTGTACCACGTGATTTAAAAGCCAGTCGCAGCACTCGAAGAACGTGAAAAAAGCGTGCTTCTCTCTGTTATTTCTTGCGGTGCAGCAGCACGGGTCACCGTCGTTATTTGAAGAGTGAGGTTCGGCTTTTCGCCTCATGCAGTTGACAATGGCAAGCGGCGGTGCATTATCAGTGGCGAGGTGCTCAAAGACTGCTCACTTTCGGCCTTTTACCAGCCACCTTGTGCTCTTTCGACCCATTTTTAAAGCATTTCCAGTCGAGTCTCGGCAGATTTTTTTTTTTTTTTTTCAGAACAGTAGACGTACTAATGTAACGAAACAGGTGAAAACAATAAATCGGTCATTTTTTAGAAAACTACCGTTTTTTCACCCGCATCTCCCCTTGCAAAAGAGGTTCTGCAAATAGGACCAAAGGACAGCAACCATTTGCCACCACAACCAATAAATAAATACGTAGTCTTACTCATGTGCATAGTGATGTGCGTGGTGATAACCGTCTAGATAACAAAAGTCTAGCTCACGCTTGGCATTGCTCCCTTGTGTACATCCATCTTTAAGTTGGAAATGTGGCTGCCTTTTAATTTTCTAGCCAGCTATGGGAAAGAATGGCATGGCAAACGTTTAAGCTCAAGATAGTAAATTGGGCGAGTCGGTGCAGATTTATTGCGACTAACAGCGTGAAGACCCCGACATGGAGTAGAAGTGTACGCGGCACCACGCTGACTTACAAACTAAATTTTTATTATTATAAAAATTCACTTCTGTTCGTATGATATATATTTTCCTGTTCTTCAATAAAAATTCAGTTGAAAGTCAGCGTCCACTTCTTCAGTCAGTCAGCGTCCACTTCGCGCGTTTAGCCACAATGAATCAAGCTTAAGAAATGAAATTGGGACAAATTTGTAAGATTGCCTACTGCAGGAAGTTGTACTGTGCTTGTTTAAAGAGGTGTTCGTAGGTACCGGTGTGGTTTTCTTGTGGTTGCCGAGTGGTAAATAGGCGTGGATTCTTAGAATGAACTTTAGTTTGAAGTTGTCGCTCATCTTGCATCTTTGTCCTCCACTTTTCTCTTCATTTTTTACGCCAATCGCTCGAGTATGTTTGCGCACACGTGGAACAGCAGCCTGTAATATGTGCTTGGTGTAATCAGAGCATGACAGCTAGACTAGACGAGCCAGCGGCTTTCTTTATTATTTTTTTTTTGGTTAATGAAGTCTGATAATGATTTGATGAGTCCCCGCAAAGATCGCGTGCATGTCCACCGAGGTCTTTCACCGAGTCCTGTGCCATGTCGCTTGCGTGCAGGGGTCCTGCTGGCGGTCCTGGAGAAAGCGGGCCTCATCTCGGCCATCAACGCCAGCGGCATGGCCAACACGGCCGCGGCAAGCGCTGGCACCGTGTCGGCCGCCTACCAGAACTTCCTCATCTGCGTCGAGATGTTCTTTGCCTCGCTGGCGCTCAAGTACGCCTTCCCCTATCGTGTCTACGTGCAGGGTTGCCGCGCTGATGCGCAGGGCCGCTCGGTCACCATGCAGAGCATCTCTTCTAGCCTCAAGGTGTGTTCTTAGTTAAGCATCGCGCTTTGTTGTAGTTTCATTTGAGCGTCTATAGTAATGACCTTCCCTGGCAGATCTTGAGTTTTACTAGTGGCCGTCGTGGTACATAGTTTACGACTCCATGCTGCTGTTCATCTGTTGTGCAATGTTCGATTTATGCACATTATGCACATGATTGATTATAAGGTTCTCATTAAAATCTGGACGGACCTCATCAAGATGTAATCAGAATCATCTCTGTGGCTGAATGAAATTTCTTTGTGGACGGCTCAGGCCATCATACTGAAGAATTTAAAACTTCTGCAACTACAGAAAGGCAAGGTGTTGATACGGGTGGGTGTGAAAATTGTCTCTCGCACGTTTTTTTAGTTGCACAAATGCCAAGACAATCAATTTATCGATTGCTGTGTGTTTCAAGCTCGACGCTCCGAGATGTAGGTCTTCTGAGTGTCAGTTCCTCCCTGCCCCTTGTTGCATATAAAATGGAGCGTATGTATTGAAAGCTTCTCTCTTACCTGACAGTTGGAAAAAGACTTTTTAAGCAGAAAACAGTGCTAAAACGAGGGACTAAAAGAGGGAACCTTATAAGGCACAAGTGTCATCCTATAGTGCTTGTTTTATAATTATTCTTATTAGTATAATTATATTATTATTATTATTATGCATCATTTAGCATTGATTTGTTCTTATAGTCCCAAACCAAGCTGCCCAAACACTTGCCATTCTGAAGAAATACATTCCGTTGACACCGTCTTCTCTCGCACGTTTCCTTCTCTTTGTCATTTACTTTACCTCCCCTCTTTCTCTCTCTCTCTTTTCCTTGCAGGAAACGATGAACCCGAAGGACATAATGAACGACGCCATCCACAACTTCCACCCACAGTACCAGCAGTACACGCAGTACGCGGCCCCGCCCAACCGCCACCATCACCTCGCCCGGGGAGGAGGAGCCGGGGGCAACAACGACGACTCTCTCCAAGGCGGTGGGGCGCGGGCCACGCACTCGGCCGGCGCTGCTCCCTCGGCTAACGGTGGTCGGCCACCCACGCGGGGGGGCCGAAACCCGGCCTACAACGAGAAGACTACCCTCCTTAGCTCCGACGACGAGTTCCAGTGAGTTGACGACGACAGACGACCGGCCACTGCTTCGTCTACCCGGCCGTACCGTCTATCCCGCCACTCCTCAACCCCCCACTTTTATCGTGCACGCCGCATGCATAGCTGGCGTTATCGGCCGGCCCACTGATCTGATCTCTCTTTATCTCCGTCTGTGTTTGATGACCGGGTGCTCTCGGTTTCCCGTGCGTTTTTCGCTTGGTGTCAGCATTACGCACGCTTCTTGTGCAGCCCTATTCTGTTCAACTCCCCTGCTCTTTCGCACCGCGGATGTTGAGCTGCAGTTCTTATGGGGCATTGCGTTTTCTCGCCATAAAGGCTTTTTAACGGTGCTAACAAGCACGGACGAAGAACAAGGAAGACTGGACATGCGCAGACTCACAACATAATCGTTCTGGGTGGGTGAAAGAAGACGTATAAACATAGGACAACTGGAATAACCAGGCTCATTAGTTGCCTAAAACAATGTTGTGCTGTCATCACAATGTAGTGTTTAAAAAACGCTGCGCGTGCCTTGTCTTCGTGTTCTTTCATTCATGTTTGTTAGTGAAATCGAAAAGCTTTATCAATGAATTTCAACTAGCTAACTCGACTCTATCATCTACGTCATAGAGTTTTCTACAATATTCACTGCAGGGAACTTTGCGACTGCGATCGTTCAGGTACTACGGCGATTATGGGTAGTGTGTGGATTTGCCTAGTCTTCGCACTCACTGCTTCAAATGCACTTGTGACTTTGCCTATTCTCTGTTTCCGCATTTGTTTCGATCAAAAAATGTCTCGTTGGGACCGGGAGGCATTTTGATTTGGTCAGCCTGAAAGGGGTCAAGGCAATTGAATAAGGCTGCTAAACTTCGGCTGACCTTCGCCTTGCGACAAAGCAGCTGCTGACCTCATGAAGCTGAAACAATGAAGCATAGGCAAATTGATCTGCTACCCATTGTACCTATGCTGCTTGAAGCGCCTCATGTTGCAGCTCCCATTGACGCTGGCACCAGATTTCCCTGTAGTGTGTTGTTATAAAACTCAATGTGATGAGGGCTGCGGAAGTAGCGTCTTTGCTTCGCCATGTGAAATTGCTCCACCACTGTTTGTGGTTCACGAAATTTGAGACCCTTTATTTATATATATTTTTTTTCACTCTGGGCTGGCTATAAAAAAAAAAATGAGTGGACTCGTGCGTAGCAATTGTTTGGTGATCAGTATGCAAGCTCTTCCAGGAATTGCCGCACCCGCATCCAACGAGGCAGCCTCGTTTTATGAAGGCATCATGCCAGTGATGGTGCTCCTTGTTTTTTTAGTGGAAAGCATTTGCAAGCTATCAAAAGCATTCAGAAAAATTTTCAGACCGCATATTTGTTTGAATGAGTTTGGCACCAAATGGGCGCGTTGCTGTTCATCTTTTTTCTCTTGCCATTTTGAGACAGTCACTCTTTTTTTCACCACGTTACTCCTCTTTGAATCGGCTCTGGGTCATACGTGAGCACGCAGAAAGCAACTTTTAGCGTCCAAGGCATTCTTTTGTTATTTCGGGTGTTAATTTGCCTAGAAAAACGATTGTGCACATCTCTCGCTTATCAAATCTCGGTGCAGCATTAGCTGGTGCCACGCCCGTGTCCACTGCCAGAACTTGAGGCTTTTCTGTGGGTGTAGAAATAATAGAAAACGATATTTTTTTTTCAGCGTCTTTATAAGCGAATCTCAGTCTCGCGTCACAATCATTCGTTTGCTTTTGTGCAACGACTTTCTAGGACAGCAGCTTGTGTATTTTGTTCCAAACGATTGTTACATTAAGTTCAGTCCGACCACAGCCAGAGGAACTAACTGCAAGATGTCCACATGAAACGTAAAGCAAAATATGGACTAATGGCACAGTTTACATTGCCATTAGAACTACATCGCATCACCACCGACACACAAGCAGGTTGTGGTGGAGCCTTTACATTATACAAGTCTAATTGAAAAGTTTTCGTTTTTTTTTTTTTACATTTCGCAGCATTGAAGTTTGACAAAGACTGCCGTGGTGCCACTGCTGTCAATTCGTGAAGCAAGTGTCAAGTTTGTTATTTTATTCATTGCTGCACTGAGAATGAGGCAATCGTGTTCAAAGTCATGAAAGTGTCCTCCCATATTGGGGGCAGTGGTCGAGCTTAGCCCTCTGGGCCGTATTTCTCCGTGTTTCATGTGGCGAAAATTTCCAGCGGTCACTTACAGTGTCTGAGTTACATAAGAATTGGTCTCAAGGAAAAGTTTTTGCGTAACTTGCAATCTTCCTGGCCTGTAAGCCTCGCGTAACGTAGAATTTGTTTACGAAAAGAGTTTGGGTCATGTCGAAGCCGCGATTTGCTTCAACAATTCACGCGAGATCCTTCGTTGACATTTTATGGGGCACCTTGCAGTTTCTTCCACTGTGTTCTTGCCTTCAGAAGTTCTTTTGATTCTTGACACAGTCTTGCACCACGCCCATGATTGCAATTTGAGACATTCCAACGGAGGTCGCTTGCAGGCTTTTCTTTTTACAAGGCTGGCTTTTTTGCTCGTTTTATACTTTTTGCTTTATTTCTTTTTAGTCAGCTTTGCTAGTTGATTTTTCATCGTTGTATTATAACGTTTTTTGAGATACCAAAACCTGAACAGCAGTTTTGCAAAGCTGACTTTTGTGTCACTTCGCTGCGCGTTTCATTGCTATCTCAGGTTCATCGACAAAAGAAGTAATAGACAGCTCTTCTACCAGGGGCATTAAGTTGGCGTTTGTTACTTCTGTAAAAGTGCACCTGGAACGACAGAGTGCAGCAACACTGCGACCACTTGGTATTTTTTAATCTTGTTTATTCACCCTGGTCACAAAATGGCATCAAGCCCAACTTCTTCCTTTGTAATAGGAGTCACAACTGCACCTCTTTAACAATTTCGTTCGTAGGGCCTTCGTTCTGGTTGAAACGACGTTTCTGACTGACGAAACCTGCCTCCTTAAACCTACTTGGTATTCTACTTAAGCAAGCACGAACAAAGCAGCTGATTTTGTTATAGTACACAATTTGGTCAGCGTCTCAAGAATGGCTCAGATTTTACTCTATTGTTTCTGGCGTTCGTCAGGCGGCTACTGCTCACGCGGTATGATATCGACGCCTTGCTGATGGGTCGTATTGAGCATTGTGCGGCTGCTCTGAGACAATCCACACACCCACTGTGGTACCAATGAGATTAAAGCTGACTTTTTGTTGTAGCCAGCACGAAGTCGCGACACGACGCACAGTTAATGCGCACGCACCACGCGATAACTACGTGCAGTCTTTCTTTATAGTCCTTTTTGGTGGCTCGAACTTGTGCCGGCTGCAGTCTGCACTTAGTTGGCCACGGTCGAGAGATTATTATCAGGTGCGGGGAATCGTCGTCAGGAACAAGTCTGAGCCAAAGAAGGGAGAAACGAGGTCGTTCGTGCCGTTGTTGAATAAACCGCGCACACGCAACTCCAGAGCGGCAGCAGTGTCTCGAGTCCGGCTCGAGACTAACCCGGAGCCAAGCCGTTTGACGTTGAGCGCACTGACTGTGTCCATCACATGGGCCCTCGCTCTTGTCTTTGGAAGATGGCCAATGCCCACTCAAGACCATGAAACTCTCACTTACCTCTGGTCATACCCCAAGGCTGTTCAGAAGCCGTTCACAAGTTGGCTACATGGCCTCGGAGATGTTTTACGCAGGCGCTTGCCTTCTTGAACAGGGCTGCGGACTTGTTGTTCATACATTGTTGCTGTTGTTGTCATCACTCTCGTCTCGTCCGGTTTTTGTTTTCTTCTGGATGTCTTCTACAGTCTCTGTCGCACGGGCGTGTGGAAACAGTGTTTCGTCTCGAAAGCCGGTGGCACCGAGGAATGGTCGTGTTCTGCCACACCTGTCGAGTCGACGGCACGAGCTTCCGTCTAGTCCTCTATCACACTGTTTCGTTGTTGTTTCCCCCCCCCCCCTCATAGAGTCGAGCTCAATAGATGCAGACTTAGCCCTACATTACAGATGTCTGTACTTACGCGCACTCTGTTTTTTGTCTTCAGCGTTGTGTTTTTGTAGCCACGTGGTGCAAAACTCTTCATGGTAGCTTGCCATTACTTACTTGAAAAGTCCCGGCTTTTGTCGGATACATCAGAACCGTTTGTGACTGGGATGCATTCCTGAACCTAACGGCCAAAATACAGCATCTAAACGCCGTAGATGCAGTACAACGAACCTGCCTGCATCGTTTCAAAAATTCGTTTTAGAATTCTGAAGTTGCTTGATGTGCATGCAGTGCGAGGTTCGTAGCACTACAACCAAGTGTTTTGCACCACTTCTGGCGCTGCTTTTGCAATTTCTGGCTGCTGCATATAATGTCATTGTTGTGTTTTCTTGTACCTGCTCGTCCCTCTTTATGAGCTTTGTTTGTCCACCTTCGCTGTCCCGCGTGTCCGTCTCGCTGTTTATCCCAAATTGCAAGCTTTCTGTTTGTCGACAACTACCCATCCGTAAAATCTTTCCCAATTAAAGGCTTGATGGCAAGCCGTGAAGTTGTGTACGTCTCTTGCACAATATTTTGCTCTACGTAGATGTGTTTATTTGAGAACTTTTTTTATTATGTTGAATTTTCGCTTGGCGTAGGCTTATGACATTGTGCTTCAGTGAAAAAAAGGAAAGCAACAAAACAAACTGGAGTACAAAGCAACACTGTAGTGTGGGTAATTAAATATGAAACAAGATCACAATTTTCAATTAGGCTTGTTGCAAATGAGCCTCTTGTGACATCTTCGAAGAAATCTTCACGTCTTTGAAAAGAATATAAAGTGGGGTTGTCTGTAAGTTTTTAGCCAAAGCAGCATAGTCCTTCGGTTAAACTTCATGCTCACTGTTGAGTTGCCAAACTACAAGTTGTGTCAGTGCTTGAATCACACTCTTATGACCCTGGTACCATTGACAAAAAAATAATGGATAAACGACGAGTGTCAGATTTTAAGGTTGGGTGCAGGAATGAACACTGCATGTTGTGTTAGGCTATGTGGTTTCGGTTGCTTTTTTCAACGATCTGCGCTAATGCAGGCTGTTGAGCCTAACCACCACCTGGTGTAGTGCTAGCACAATCATCTAAAAAAAAAAGTCCAGGAAATATAATAATTAAAAATTGTCAACCTGAGGTGTTCTCTCTCTGAAAACAGAGCAGCAAGTTTAAAAAAAAAAAAAAGGTGAATATTTATTATGTAGTTATTCCAATTGTAAGCAGGAGGTGTACAAAAGCATATCTCTAAATCTCAAACTTGTGTAACACGGTCAAACCCGCATATATAAGGTTGGTGCACACCGGCGACTAGCAGCGGTCGCGCAACCATTTGCGACTGGTCGCGAACGGTCGCAAAGTGACTGCTTTGGCTTGTCGCTTCCTGACCGATTTTTTTACTGACTGCGGTCGCAAGGCTGCTAGAACCAATCAACGATGCTCAACTTTTGTTGTTTGTTTTTTTTCATTGCGCTGGCGAGGACAAATAAAAACAAGGAATTCGGCGCGCTCGGTTTGCTCCGCTCACTCAGCTGGCGGCGATCAGCTGATTGGCGCCGGTCTCCAGAGTTTTCGCTGATAACGAGATCCGGACGTGACTCTCTGGTATTGCGACTTCCGGTCGCTCGCATGCAGCCTCTGCCGGCGGGAACATCAGTCGCTTTTCGGTCGCCAGTCGCAAATGGTCGCGCGACTGCTGCTAGTCACCGGTGTGCACCAGCCTATGTCCTACCCACATAATTTGAATAATTGTGCATATTGAACAATTATAAACCCCTCTTGAGTATATTTTCGATATACAAAGCAATCTGTATCGAATTTTCAATATATACAACTCTTTTGTGATCCCCATTAGATTATGTACATCTATGTTTGACTGTATTGAGCTTACACTTTAGGCATACACCAGCAGGTGTCACCAGTGTCTTTTGTATTTATTTACCTTTTTTTTCTCCCTTTTGTGTGCCATTTTTCTTAACTGACTATATTTAATGTCAGGCTTTATTTTTAGAGGTGGGCTACTGATTCATCAAAAAACTAAGCAGCCAAATATCTAAGAGCTCTAAATATTCTGTGTTTAACCCAAGCCCTACATGTCTCATTTTGACTATATACATTGCCGACACAAAAGTTGTCACATGGTATTTTATAATGTCCTCATTTCTTCCACATTTTCATTCATCGGTAGTCCACTGTGTGTGTTTCTAATACCACCACTGCCATCTACCCACTTGTTGTTTGCCTTTTTTTTTTCCCCATTTCAGTAAGTTTCATCGATACCGTTCCCACTTATTTTACAGTTTACTTGATAGGCAGAGTTTTTCTGAACTCTCCGATGCTGTCTACTAATATTTGTATGTTTAAAAGAAAATGAACAATTGAATGTGGATGAGGTGGTTTCCAATTTAATGAAGAGATCATTTGAAAGAACTGGTGTATTACGAGAGTGTTCTGCTGTCTTGCTGGTTCGGTATCACTTCACCTCATTCTTTCAGATTTTCACGGCACGCTGGCTGCTAGTTAACTGCTTCAACAGTAATTTGTTGCTTCTTGCAAGTTCGTTAAATCTTCAACAGGCATGGTACTCAAGCATGCAGGCGCTGCTTACCTAAGGAGACTGTAGTTTGCTGAGGTCATTTTGACTTGCCACTCGATTCATATCGAAGCATGCTCATTGGTGCACAGTGGTAGAGCAAAAGAATGCCCCAAGCACTCGGTGGACTTCCTTAGGCACACTTGCATGCAGCTAGAGCATTTGCTAAAGTCGGCCATCTAAAAGTTCGCGATTCGCAGACTTTTACAGCTCTGTACTGCATTGTAGACAGGCACTGCCAGTTTGTAGCACTGATTAGACGAGCGTGCAGTGCAGATGTGACGGTGCAACGCGTCAATGTGTGTTTCTTTCTAATGTGGCCCGCTTACGAGCGCATGCATTGCATGTGCCCGCCACTCTGTACTCCAAATTTAATGCATCATTTTAACGCCACAGCAGACTATCGTCTGTTCAGTCCGCGTCGAAAGCTCGCAGACTACCGGAAGCGAAAACACAAGCATTTGTGCAGCTTGTATCAGTTTAAAATCCACACAGCCTGTGCTGATGCAAAGGACACGTGTGAACACGGCAGTGTCGTGTAGTTTTGCTGGCTGCAGCCGCAAACCGGCAGGAAATAGGACATTTTCTCCGGTAAACCTGTCTACAAGCTTTCAACGTGAACTGCTCGCACGCGGCGTTGCATGGCGACGGACGTCTCTAGGGGTTGGTGTCGGCTAACCGTCTTTTCAGAATGATGCAACGAGGCCACGATGCGTGCCGTTTTTAGAACAACGAGGAGCTAACGGACTTCGCCGGTGCGGTTTGTCCACCCTGACCGTTTGTGACGCCCGCCTGCTGCGGTGCATGCCTGCCTGCCGCCTCTCTCTAATGCAGAAACGCCATGTGAGACTGCTGCAGCACAAATTCTAATATAACCAGCGTACGCGTGCGTGCGAGTCCAAATCGCTCCTGACGCAGTCATCATCTCGCCAGTCTGGGCTCATTGCGGGACGTGCCGTCCATCGCAGCCACGGCTGTCAGGTGTTGTTTGCATGTGCCGTTTATTGTTGGTTTGCGCTGGCCAGAAGTTCACCACGTTGGCATGTGCAGTGCACGTGGTGCATGTTCTTTGTGTCGCCAGACCCCCCCCCCCCTTTATTTTCACAATAAACACTGAAAAGATGCGGCGTAGAGCTGGTGCGAATGCTCGACCATCCCTGGCTGGCTGAGGTGACGTTTACTTTTTTTTTTTTTTTACGAAATCAGCTGTTTTTATAAACAAGTTTGGAAACTGTTTGTAGTGCTCGGTCGCGTGCAATGAACATTTCAGTGTGATATGCGTAGTTGCTTTAACTAACGCTTTTTTGACGAGTTGTCTCATTTTCTGTGGGGCGAGAGAAGAGAGCCATGAGTGAGGCAGTTTCCAGTTCAATGTTGCATCTTAGTTGGGTCTTCAGAAAACCGTGTCTCAGTTTGACGGACAAAAGTGTATTCTATTCTCAAGTTTTGCAGTTACCGTTTATTTGATGGAGTCCCATCAATGTTTGAAGTTTGAAGTTTATTTTATTTCTTTCTGATACCGGACGAGGAGTAAGAGCTAAAGGCCGTATTGCCTGACAGAGGCTCCTACTCCCATGCGCATGGCTAAGGATTGAATGTGGATGGCAGATGGATGCGTTTAGCAGCTTGTGCGTGTTGTCATTGCATTGGGCGGGGAAGACGTCGGCCTGTTACAAGATCAGTGCATCATTCACTTGCATCGCTGAGACTCGTCCACTATCACCAGTGGGACAGATTCAAGTTTGTGTAATGGGAATTGATAATCGTAAAGCAGCAGCTAATTTATGTAGTTGGTGTTCACGGAAGATTGTTCACAACACTGCGAAAACGAACGTTTTGAGAGAAGCATTTTTTTTTTTTTTTCACCAGCAGTTTGAAATCTTGTCATTTAGAGGGCAGCTGTTGAACAAGACAGATTATATAAAGTCGAGCGTATTCGAAGTTGACCCTGCCATTTCCCAAAATCAAAAGTATAACAATTTACTGGGCTAGTTCTTGGCAGTTTTATTACTTAAGGTTTTGTACCCGTGTAATGTATCATCTCTTGTGCCAGTGTGAATGAAAAATGATCCCGTTTCCCCCCCCCCTTTCTTTATTTTCGTATTTTAGATATTCTCATGTGCCTTTGCTTTCATAAATGTGTGCGTGTTGACTTCAGGTGGCAGCTTCGAAGGCGAACGCCTCATCCTCGGCTGAGAGACGGTGCGAAGACGGGAATGTTGTTGTTAGAGAAACGTTTTTATGTTGAGGCTAGTTGAGCGAGAGGGATGCCAAGAGTTCGTCGAAAAGGTTGCAATTCAAAGACGAGTCTGAGGTTTTGCAGCAGCTTGATGTCTTCGAGAAGCGAGCTGCGCAGAGACTATTATATTGACGCTTTGTAAATAGTGAGAGGCGAAACAAGAAACCTTAATGTGGTGGTTCGTCTTGCAGAGATAAGCCGCCGTTTCAGTGTGCTTGTGCGTGTTGACAGGCTTGTGTGTAAATGGAGTTCGGTACGTGCGGCCACCTCTGTGCACGCATGATATTGGAGTCTTGAAAAAACGTGTAGCCCTCCCGTTTTTTTTTTTTTTTGCATATATGTATAGTTTTTTTCTTTTTTGCTCATAAAGGCTATTTTAAACATTTAGCACGTTGGGCAGCTTCTACAGTTTTTTTTTTTTAAATAAAGGCAAGAGATCAAAGAAATTTTTTAGCCTCGTTTTATTTAGTGGAGTGCGCATTGTGCTTTGTACACATTTCAGGCATGAGATGCGTTTCCCGAAATCTGTCCGTTTGGGGATTTGGTTGTTGAAGGCTGTTGGGGCTGCTGTTCAGTCAGAAGCTGTGTATAGATATTCTTAATCCAAGAGAGATGTTACGAAGGCTGCTTGGGTTCGCTCGTGAAGGAATCTGGGGCCACGGGAGAGGGAAACCTGCGTGTATTTCTCTATTCAATGCTCCTTTTTTTTTCATGCGTGTCTGTGCTTAAAAAAGTGCTGTGTATATATTGTAATATGTATGTGGAGGTTGTAAACGCTGTCGCACATGTTGTCTGCAAACGTTCTTTCCCTCCTCGCCTTTGCACTCGCGTACATGGAAATGCTTCAAATGTATATCTGAACAAAAGTATGTTCTGTATAGAGAGATGTTATGCTGGTTACGCTTGTAAAAAGGACGTAACCCAAATAAAAACTACGTACCAATGGAGTGTTTCTTTGGCCTATGATAGGGCACGTCATGTCCATTTTGTAAGGAGCAGGCAAAAGTAGCCGAACCGCAGTGTAACAGAAATTGATTTGTGAAATGTGGGAGTGCCTGACTTCAGCGCAAGTTCGTCCTTGGTGTTTGAACAACCGTGTCGTGTGCGACTGTTCATGGTTCAACTTGTACCTCTGCACTGTGAATGTAGAAACAATCCATCGTCACCTAACCAAGCCCAGTAAGAACCTAGAAGGAACCAGAGTAATCTTCGGAATCGTCCAGTTTCGATGTTTCAAGCCTTAAGCGGATCAGTGCAGGCTTGAATCTCTTCATGTTTCTGACATCATTAAGCACCTATCAACAAATTACCATAGCTGAATACCATCAACTTTCATCATCATCTCATTTTAAAAAAAGAAAACTGCATCCTGCGCTTTATATTGCAACAATTTTTATCCCTTTCTGTGATGGAGTAGCAGTATCTTTTTATTTACCTGGGTTATAATCCCAAGTTTTTTGTTTTGTTCTTTTTCTGAGATAGATGTGATGTGTTGTAAGGTAAATTTTGTTCTAATGCTTTCATGTGAAAAAAATTTTTAAGTTGTGTGTTTGTTCCGAATATCAACGAGGGCATTTTTTAAAGTCTGGTTCAGCAGCCCACAACTTTAATTTGGAGATGGCCTAAAGTAATCAGTTATACCTTACAGCGCACCACAAACAGCCTCAATCGATTGCGTGGTTTGTACATTGCTGTTCAAGTTGCAGCTAATTTGATAATCAGGCCTTACGGAGTAGGTCTTTTTGACAGCTTGAAAACTACTGATAAAAAATCATCGCCCAAGCACTCCGTACAAATGGTTAGCCAGCGAAAACTCTAAGGTGCGGCCACTGTGTTTAGCGCAGAGAGTTCAACCCGACGGGGCACTGAAGCCTTTCACAATTATTGGTTAGGCGTTCGTGCTTCTTAATGAGGTTAGACAGGTTTGGCTTGGGTTTACCGCGGTGTTTATTTCACATGCCGCACATTGTGTCTCGCATGATCACAGTCGTGGAGAAGTGTTATGAGCGGTTAAATGAGTTTTGCAATGCGTTAATCACAGTGGTTGTTCTCGAACCACAGGCGGTCGCAGACGTCGGATGGAAAAGCGGGCGTTCGCCCCGCCGAACGCACTCCCGCAATCAACACCTCGACACCGCAACGATGCTTGTTCGGCGAAGCGTTTGCGATCGTGCACTAACTCGGTGGCGAGGTTTGCAGGATCCGCCGGCCACCAGAGCATACATTCCCGTTCACCATTTAGCGTGGCTTGGAAGGCTGCCAGATCGTCGGTATGCGGTTGCTGCCGGCAATCGGCCTTCGGGGTCTGTTTTTGTGCCCCGACTGCACCATTGGCCCGGCGAATGTGAGCTCGCTCACATTTCCACGGTCGGTGCTCTTCTATAGTTGTCCATGGCTTAGCTATGTGGAAGCTCTCGGTAGAAACTGATGCACACATGCGGCTCGGTGCCGCAGCTGCGATGGGATAGACGTCACTCACAACACAACCAATGGTGCGCATGCTTGAGTACGACGCTGAGAACAACATAACTCGCAACACAGCCAACAGAGACCGCTCACGACACCGATGCCAAACGTTTTTCCATTTCTCCTGACCATATGCAGCTTTCCCTGTAAAATCACTGTTTTTAAATCAGCGCCCAAACATAAACTCTCCCAGTTCCATAAATATTGACCAAGAAGTTAAAGAAAAAAGAGCTATAAAGTGCCATATCCCTCTTTCTTCAAGAATATATCTTCAAACGAATGTTTGCTTACAATGAAGTCACTATATTGTCGCGAGTGACTTCAGAGGTACAACTGTACATCGTTCCTGAATATCTGAACCTGTTTCTGCAAACCTGTTCAAACCTGATCAAGAAGTAAGTAGCAGCTGGAGTCGACTTGGATGGTCCCAATTTATTGGGATCGCTTCACAGAGACGACTGCTCAAAAAACTGCAAGAGCACTTACTCTAACAAATGATCCCTTTCAGTGCTTCTAACCAGCTAGCCTAATGATCTGTACTCTTAAGCACTGCAAAGCTAAAAGCATGCAGTATACACAGCATGGTGTATACTATTCTTGCAGTAATTTTAACTTGGGTAATTTGGTAATTTGTGATTAGCCCAAACTTATGAGCCATTTTTAAATTTTGATGGGATAACAGTTCGAAAGGCCTTTGACAGTGCCAGGTTTAAGAAAGTCATTTCGGGAAAGTTGAAAGATCCCAAACAAAAATTTATCCCCACAAAACATTCTAGAAGCAGCAGGCTTAAATTGGAATAATGCCTGCGAACATCATTGCCAAAAATTCACTAATGAACATTTTAAGAACAAATTGTGTACCTTAGCAAGCGCTTTGTATTTCAAGCTTTCAACAAATATGGTAGCGTCCAATTTTTTGAGCGAACATGCAAAGTGTCAATTTTTTCTGCTTGTTTTGTTTAGTGAAGTGTGTTAAGCAATATTTTTTGTTGTATATTTCTTGTGTTTGTGTTTCTCAAAACTCATTGTATGAAGTTTCTGAAAAGAAGCCATGCTCCTAATACTGGCTGGCTTAATGAATTTTCATACCAGCCTGCAAAGTCTTCATATAAAACGATTATCGGCAGTATTCAATGTACTTGTAGTCATTTGACTTGTGACCGAGGAACATCTGGGTTAAGGATAGTTAGATTGTTCTCTGATCTCCCATTTCTGATATGTATCTTAAGACTGGTTATACAATATATAGCCAGATTTACTTGAATTCATAACATGCAATTTTTGATTCTGAAAATATTCATTCCAACTGCAAGTATCTGGAACTATGTGAAAGTGCTTTTGTCCTGTTCTTGCCACCAGCAATTAAGAAAAACCAAATTTAGTCTGCTGTCCTGCTGTTGCACTCTCGCAGACTCCATGAAAAAGAGTACTGAATGTTGCAAGATAATGTGAAATTTCAGGATGAATGTGATCAGTTATAGTTTCAAAGTAATCGTAAATTATTAGAAAAAGCCTCTGTAAAAAACTGCAATAAATTGCGTGCTAGAGGATGTGAGGCATTACATAATACAGTAGGCTACCTTGTTTGAGAGCCTTACCTAACTGGCTGATTATCTGTTACCAATTTTCTATTTAACATTATTGTAGTAGTTGTGGCTGCTAGCACAGGAACATTATTTTGTATTATGTAATGAATGCTGTAACGCATTATAAACGTTTACAAGTACTCGAGCTCGCTTATCTGGCACTACCTCGATTCTTGTTCACTTCTGTCTCAGAATTTGATATTTCAACTCTTCTGAATTTTTTTTCTTTGTTTTCTTCCTCTATAAGTGAACAAGGTCTCTTAATTAAGATTACCAATTTTCCATTTAACTTTTTAATGTTTGTGTCTGGTGAATTAATAAGTGTACCGTACAAGCCAATGCACTGCACTGTACTAGAAAACAACGATAATTTTTCTTTCCAACACTTTTTTTTTTATTTTTCACCATATATGTACACAATAAGCCAGGATATGGTAGTTTCAGTCAACAGGCTTCAAAAACAGTTTGGTCATCAATTCAGAGTAAAACACTCTCTCAACAATGTGCATGAATAAAAAACGAAAAACAAATACTCTCGTGGGAAAGAGAAAATATGGTTTGTACGAGGTGATATGACTGAAAAACTGTGGCAGAACATTTCTGGCCGGGCGGGGAAGGATTATCACAATTTTTTTTAATTTTATTTTTGTAATATGTGTATAAGTATACATAGCACCCAAGGGTCCTAGAAACATCCTCGCGAAGCTTAAGAGCATAGAACACCGGCTGTGTTGTTGGGCAGCATTTTTACGGTTGGCAACGAGTATGGAGGCAATGCAGTAGCCAGTAGCTTGAATTCAAGATTCAGCCCCTGTCACACAAGCACATCAAACAATTGATCTAGAGTGTCCGCTTTGTCTAGAAAAGCTTCAGCTTCGTCGAGTCGTGTCAACAACACAATATCTATGCGAATGCCAAAATTTTATGCCCGTCATAACTAGTAAATTACACTTCCAGAGTATTGGAATAGTCTCACTGTAAGTTGCATTTTGCCGAATTGAAAAGCTTTTCATAACGACGGATCAGGCTAGCGGTGAATACGTCCCAAGAGAGCATCTCCTCAATAAAATTAACAGTTCGACGGCTAAGGATTGCAAAGCATCATACAGGAACTGCGCGACTTGGCTAGATTACTTTCACCCGTTTTTTGACAAAGAAATGGTATACTACACTCAAATAAGATTGGCGACACCTATGGAGTTTCGAGAACAAACGTCATTGAAACACCGAAAATACTTCGTCCTTTGCGATGTTGTCCTAATACATCTCCTACATCTCTCTATTGATGCAAGCTCATATTGACAAAGGCCAAATAAATTTGAATTTATGTTAGTTTAATAATGTGATTTTTTTGCAGTTCACAATTCTCTCTTTATTATACCCTTAAAATGTCACTGTCGCAAATTCTTCACTTCAGCATGAACACATCTCTTGACAAGTTTCCATCGAAGACCACTAGCTCGAAAGAGCGTGGTTACAGTATCTCATCTTAGCCACTGGCTAGCTTGATGCTGATTCCTGTAAAAGACCAGCCTTCTTTTTCTGTATGTGTGCGTTTGGAAAAGGGGGATAGATATCACTGTAGAGAAAGACCAAAGTTATCACTGCATCACATGTGACAGTAAAATATAGCTCAGGATATGGCATGGCAAAAGGATTTGAAAATTCTTTTGAATTGGAGCAGAAGTGCTGCAGCTTTTTGGCGCTGCAATTTGTTGGCATCTTTCATTTTCCTACCGTGAAACGGGCACAAATGCATCAACTTCTCGAGCTACCGTGGGACCTTGCAATGAAAATTTGAGAGCTACGACATGAAAATGCAAAGCAATAGTGGCAAGTGCTGACTTGTGATTGCACACTAAATTTTGATAAGAATGTTCAGTTGGGAAAATGATTTTCAAAGAATATTGTCAAGAGACAAAATAATTGCACAGTACAGTCTTTAAATGATGCCTAGACCTTTATATATATAGGCTCCTGATATCATCTTATCGGCAGAAAAGACAATAGCGTGTGTCTAGTTTGATAAACTTTCCTCGCATAAACGGAACAAAACTCATTAAGCCAATGACATTGTGCAAGTAACATTTCAAATTTCATTCAAAACTAAAGTTTAGTAGACCTGGAAACCCTATTTTTCAGTGGCTGGATTACAACCGCAATCGTACGTGCCATAGTAACCATCATTGGAAGCTACTGCTGTTTATTGAAGTTTATTGTGCGTTGAATAACTTACCTGCGCTTCCATGCAAATCAATTTTCCAGCTGCTCTCTGATCCACTCCTCTCAAGCAATGCTAACTTTTAATTTCGAACCATTATATTCACGATTTCAATGTTCATAGCCGTTGGTGACATGTATTGTGAAAAATAGCAATTTGGGTGTATAGTCCAGTTGAATTTAAAATAAAACACTCCAACATACTAGAGATTTCAAATTGCTAATGCACTAGCTGCTAGCGCCACGTGAAGCTGTGTAGATGTGTCAGCATGGCTAACTGAAAGTTGTATGCTGCAAGGCTGGGTGAATGACACTTGCTTAAAAAGAATACACTCGGAAATTATGTGCTCCCTTTAATATTTACCCGCACTGTACTTTGTCGTAAGGAGCGGCAGATATTTTTTGTCACTTGAAAAGTGTTGCCCCTACCCTTTTTCCAGTGCTCTCTGGAATGGAAGGCTTTCCAGCAACCAGTTTGTGGTTCGATACGTAACACGCAACGGTGCGGAAAGTACGCAAGTCACCGTCAGAGAATCTCAGAGAAAAGTCAATACAGAGCATGTTGACACATGAATTATTGGATATAAAGAATTAAATGAAACATTTTTCCTTTTATATTAGAATTGCTATAAGCTTATAATGAATACCATATTGAACGAAGTTATTGTTTAGTTGTATGCGACTATGTGTTAAGGTTCAACTGCACCACAGCTGCGCTGCTAATTACGCAGTGCAGTTGCACTTGATTTGCAATGCTGTGTACTTATGCGTCGCCACTACTTACTGATGTGAAATTTCTGTCAGATGACATATTTGTGCATGTCTGTGCAACCAGTGTGCAATGCACGTTTTGCTCATAAATGCAAGCAGTGCGCCTTGAGTGCCTGACTCACCACTCAGTTCAGCAGTTCAGTTCTTCAGATGCGCTATTCCTCTCTCATAATACTAATGCTTCTCATTTTTTGGTGTAGAAGTGAGACTCTCATTTCACAGTGATTACGAGACGCATACTTGTGCCTCTTCCTGCACGCACTATAATCTGTGTTTCAATTGTGGATGCTATCAGTGGTAAAAGTGCCCCTAGCCTCTTGAGCATTGCCTGTTATGCTTTATATGGGTTGTATACAAGCATTATTGGGGAAATCACATTACAAAGGAATCATATCACTCGGAAACTGCTACCTTTTCAAGCTCGGTCAGATTTTTTTTTATGCACAATATTTTAGGTGTAACAAAAATTAAGGCGAGGCATTGAAAAACATGAAATAGAAAAACAAATATTAATGACAATGAAAGAGGAAAAACGCTCCGCATTCGCTGCTAAAAAGCACATCTCGGAAAAGGCGAGTAAACAGCTGGCCAAGAACAAGAAGCCACATTAAGCGTAGCTACAACAAAGCTACGGAATGCAGCAGTGAAACAATGTTCAACAATATCTTTTAGCACTAGCACTTACAGTCTCTCAACTATGCGGCAGAGCGTAACAAACACGACGTAAAAATAACAAGCACACTCATTGCAAGATTTTTTTTTGTTTGTGGGCAAGACTAGGTAGAAACGTTCAGAAGATAGCCGCAGCGTTGGCAAATGGTGGGGAGGGTGGAAAAATGCTGCAAGCGCAACATTGTGGCAAAGTGCTGCTCTTCAACAGCTCGTCCTCTTTCACACTAATAAATGCACCTTCGGTATGAGTAAGCGACGGAGAAACTATCAACTTCGACATCTGCCACAGATAATCACTTTGATATGTGAGGAGCAAAAGGGAGTAGTAGAAGTCATGCACTTCCAGCATTGCACGTGCTTCATAGCTGCTTCTTTACTTATAAGCTATTCGATCAGAAATAGAAGTTTCGTACGTACAATAAGAAAATATTACTCAAGGTTGTTAATTCAAGAACTGGCTACGGTGGCTTTGTTCCAGTGAAGGCAGAGAAAAATGCATTTCATCAAATTGTGCAGCTTTGGAATGCTAAGCCTAACCATACATCGCTAAGCCTAATCAATCAATATCAGCAAAAGGGTTGTAAAACTTAAGCAGGCCCATTTTAACCACATGCAATTTTTAAACCTGAAGGAAAGTCAAAGTTACAGTGTAGCCCACTGTTAAACGGGAATGCAGTTTCCACTTCGCTGGCATGCGCCTGCTGAAGCAACATTGCAGCACTGTACAGGTGCTTAGAATGTGTTGCTGTTTAACAAGTCATTTCTCACAAAGCCAGGAAATTTCAGACTGTCTATAGGGAGAAATTCCCAAGTACCCTACATGCGTGATTCGTTTACGAGTGGACTCTAGTAGACATAAGCACTCTTGCTTTTCACCTATGCCTGAACATCATTGCTGTGGTTTAGAATCGTACAACCTTGGCATACTCGGTACATGGATGACTTAGCAAGTGCCAATGTAATCGGTGGAACAAGCTTTAGCGATGACGATAAGCTTTACTCAACAACCCAACTTTTGAGAAAAAAAAAACGAAGTTTGATACTCTATGAGAAGAATAAATTTTCTAACACCAAATAAATTTCAACTTATAAAGTGCTCAAGAGAGCTCCTGGTGCAGCTTGAAATATCTCGAGTTAAAAAAAGTTGACTTTCATAAATGCTTGCGAAGGAATGAGTGCAGTAAAAAACAGGGTCACACAATGACCCAATGTTAAGACGTTACAATGCTGGAATACGCCACAACTTCTCTTTTACTGAGTGGTAGGTAAATGTCACCGCACTATACAAGAGGGTTCTGGCGGGCTTAAAGTACTCGCAAAATACATCACGTCAAAGTCATGACTCCAGTAATTCAACACGGACTCGACTAGAGGAAGGAAGCTATGGGAAATGGGAAAGGTGGTGGCGGATAGATTTTTTTTCTCATAGTAAGAGTGCGTACTACAACCCAGCTTACCAAATGACCACACGCCCTCACACCACAGTCAAATGTGAGACTAAGATAGAGGAAAACAAACATTCTCAAAATGCTGCACACACTAATGATGACACTCGGGCAAGACTGACTAGATGAAACACGATCTGGACAAACTGAAAATAGGGAGAAAGAACACGCATTGTATTGTACATCCAGTAGTGTTGTGGATTGGAATGCATGTTCATCATGGTCAACAGAAACGTGGGAACACGCCAACAGAGACGTTCAGCTGATTTGGTATTCCCGTATATGCGATGACGTTCACGAAATACCGGATTACCGTACGTTGCTGTCAACATCTTGTGACGCTTTGCCGCACCACAATTGTAGATATCTTTGGATTATTCTCCCATGTTCCAGTTAACTGTGATCAAGATAAGCGCCGGAGAGGTTTGGAGATGGACTGATCATTTCAGTGCTCAGAAAGTTTCAAGACGAGAAAACAACAGTGCCCGAAGCAGCGCATGCGATGCGAAGGATTGAAACGACATCAACATGATATGCCGTTCGTCCCGTCTCCAACGCTGCTTTCGTGCCTTGGCATAAACAACCGGCTACGCCTTAAATCCGGAAAGCCTGTCGACAGCAGCATTATTTGGTAATTGAACTTTTAACAAGTGGTGGGCGAGCTAGTTAATATATGTCTGGTACAGTTGGTACAGCGCCCATGCTCATGCTTTCTTTTCATAATCCCGTGTTTTCACTGTTAATTCCTTTTCTGGTTGATGAAGCCAGCTGCATGAAAATTTCTATTTGTACGACTCCTTGGTTTTAGTAGATAAATCGCATGCTTTCTGCAACCATTCGGGAGTAATAATGAGCTTCCTTTCAAGATTGTGCGTTAGAACATTGTTGCACATAATTTGTGCCAACATTTAAGGAATTTCGGTGCAGATTGGGTGTCTGGATTACATAAATTTAGTTCACAGATTTGCAATGAAGAGTATATCGCAGTGACAACAGTAGAGTTCTCACTCAAAAAATTAATTTTCTTTTTTTACTAGTATATGCTGCCTGCAGTGGAACTTGGCACGTTCAGTCGTGAATTTGTAGGCATTAAATTCCCTTTCTGACAAAGTTTACTATCTGTTCGTCTTATCAGGAATGTGTGACTGAGCAGCACACACCAAATATAAGATAAGCTCGAGAGATGTTCATGAAACTTTTAGACTCTCAGATAAGAATAAAGAAATAAAGCTTGACATGCAGCTCACCTTAAAGGCATTAATTGCATACCAAATTATGTTGGTCTTAAGAAAGTTAAACAACTGTTCAAGAACTGGTCAGATTAGCGATGAATAATCAGATGATAAAAAAAAAGCAAAGCTCATCAAAGAGCCAACGTTCACGTTTACTTCACTGTAGATTATCCCAGCACCAAAAGAGCAAATTAAGGGTAGGTCTTAGCAACCATAATGGTTGTTTACCAAGCTCTGATGTTTTAGTATTCAGTTATCAAAAAATGAAATTCTCAAAAGGCTCGAAAAGAGTACATCGATTCAAGTTGTACGCTGTTGCACGAGCGAATAAGACATTTGCTTAGACACTTCATCACTCGCCTGCCCTAATTCCTGCTAACGAAACATTGACTTGATTTGCACTAACGAGACACCGGCCAGAAACAGAGCTGTACTCTTGGTCTTCCAGTGCGGTTGTCGACAGGCCTCCCTTGCAAACAATCTGTACAATGGCTGAAAAGTTTGAGGAATTAGCAGGAGCGGCTGCTGCGATATGGGGAGTGGCAACGTCATTCTATACGCTTCGTCGAGACACTTAACGCCCCAGACACCTCGCCGTGTTTTCCGACCGAGCTTGCCGATCTCCGGCGGTCAGCAGCACACGACGACGATACGCGTCAAAGATCGCTCTTTCCAAATTGTGGTCATTATCTTTCTTTCCTTTAAAATACATACAACAAGATCTCAATTATCGCCTCTCCAGTTGTTGCAACCCAGTTAAATTACAACGTTGTTCTATACACTTCGGAATGCTTGCACACTTGTACTCCACAACTCAATCTCCCAAAGAGAGACGTTGCTCTTGGAGTTGGTTTTTATGTACTTGGTCGGTTTAAAGAAACTTTCAGAGTTTATGTGTTTTCGTGCACTGATTTGAAGTATGCAATTGTTTCTATGGTATAGCATTTAAATATAAAAACATATCGTGTGCCTTTTTGGGAGAAGCATTTTTTCGATGCTTCCACAGTCGCAAAGCAAATCAGCGTATCATGATAATAAGAAATCAGAGCTGTATGCAGTACCTCAAAAATAGATGTTCTAAACACATTTAAATAATAGTTATGGAATGTTGAAGATTCGCGATTGAGTCCATGTCAAGCTAAAATTTTGCTCACAAATGTTCGACACATCAGAATTTCAGTTGAAGTGAGTTTAGAACATCCATTTTTGCTGTACTGCACACAGTTCTCATTCCTAGTTACTGTGATATGCAAATTCGCTTTGTGGGTCTCCAAGTATAGAAGAAACCTAGCTCCCCAAATGGCACACGAAATGCCTTTATACTTTAACATGTTACACTAGAAAAAAAGAAACTATAACTGAAATCAGCGCACAAATATATATATAAAACCAGCGAGTTTCACAACAATCTATCAAGTCAAAAAGTTTTAGAGTGCGATGTCCCCCCTCCCCGCTAACACGGGCCAGAGGAGCACGCCAAATCTATGCTAGAGTACAAGACTCGATTGTGCTATCCATCGTTATGAATAAAAGCAGATGAACGGCGACAAGCTTCTTGCCTCTGTCGTCGTGCCAGTCTTGGCATAGCTGCCATTTCCCCGAGTTTTGACACACGTGCAATGGGAAAAGCTCTGCTTGAAATGCTGTGCGAGCGGTACATGCTTTTCAGAATGCCACTTCTCATATTTGTCCATATGGCCCCCTACAGAGAGCATGCCTTCGTTGAACGAAACACGGCCTGCGAAAAGTCTTTACCATCCCTCCGAGTCTGGCGGTTCGATCGTCGCTTGGAGCTTTGCGCTTGTCTGCCTCGAAAACATGCTGCTCCGTAAACATCCCTCTGCTCAGCGAACTTTCCACGGGCCTTTCGACCTTCCACTCCAAAAGACCCTTGATGATTGCATGCTGACCTCTCACAAATTTAGTATTTCCACCATGTGTGGCAGCGCAGTAAAAGATTGGCACAATTACAACGGTGGGGGTCACAATGCAACGGGGGTCGTTACAGCGACGCTTCGCAGAGCAGCGCGAGACACTTTAGGCCTTTTCTCGACATTTAACGTAACCGAAATCCACCCGTGACCAGCCCTCCAAGCCTTCAGAACAAACATCGGCATGCAAGCATGCGACATCACTGTGCCTCGAAAGCATCGCGCAAAGGCCGGGGAAAAGACCTGAGCGTGTGGAGGAGGAGGTCGAGTGACGGGCCAAACTCAGTGCAGCCGGTTTCGCGACCAGCTCAACGACAACCGGCTCACGACGCCGCCGACTCAGGTGTGCACGAGGTCGTTGCGCTTCGAGAGCACGTGCATGGCCTGGGACGGGGTGAGGAACGAGACGCCCTGCTCTTCGAGCGCCGTGCCGCCGGTGACGACGTCAGTGGCCCGTGCTGCGCGGAGCGTTTCTTGTAGGATCCAGGCCACGGGGTGCGGCATTGTCAACAGGATACAGGCCTCCTTCACTCTGTACAAATGTTTACAGTTGGGTTTACTTTTTCAGCAGACACACAAATCTTTATTAGATTACACTCTCGTTATAAATAATCACGGACTATTTCACAAAGCAACATAAGTAGTAGCTCATTTTTTATTCTTAAGGTATAATCTGAGAGCCTTTGAACACCACTCTGTAAACTTGAGAAATTTGCAGGATTGAATATGTTCTACGACGGGCTCGTCGTACCCTATTTACTTTAACATAACGGGAGTGTCTTTCCAGATAGTTGCTGCCTAAAGTTGATCCTCGTGTTGCAATCAAATACCAAAATAATGATCTTTTTTTTTTTTAGACGCAACGAAAAGTTTCCCCTTGTGGGTACAATCATGGTCGCATTACCACCGGGTAAATACAGCGATTCACACCCGAGAAGGATGGAGAATTCCATCTCACTCTAGACTAGACCAACAGCACTGTAGTACTAGTACTCACTCCTTCAAGTGGTTCTCGGGTTTCTGGGAGTAGGCGCTGAACAGGGGGAACAGGTTGCGGTTCATGTCAAAGCTCAGCTGCATGGCACCTCCTTCACTGAAGAAGTTCTCCAGGATCAGCTGAAGCGTGCATAGGACACAAGAAACAACATTGGGGTTTCTGTTTGCACGTGCAGTGGAGCGTAGCTGAGCAGTATCAGACAATTTCCATCTTGGTCAAGGTGACTAACAGACAAGGTGTGTGCTTTTCTTTTGATTATTATTTACCTGCAGTGTTTGTCCTTCTAGACAAAAAAAGTAGAGCTTCAAAGTTTTCTGTTTGCCTGTGCCTAATAGAACTCTGAATACACGTGTAGCATGGCGTATTGTAGATTCACCATGAGTGGAACATAGATGACTACACTCTAGCCACATTCTAACAAAGCTGCATCCGATATGAAATTAACGTCATTATATAACGAGATTTGTCATAGATATTTCATTACATCCAAGTTTATCAACTCGAGGTCCGAGCATAATGAAGGCTTCGATGTCGCATTTCAATCCACAAGCACCACAGAGCCCATGCGCCAGGTTTTAGGATAAATGTGTCGGCTGCGACGACCAGGTCGCTTCGTGCACACCATCTTACACAACAAGCCTGGCGTGAGCAGAAGCTCCATAAACCAAGTTTCAAAGAGGCTACACGCAAGAGCGCTCGTGGAGCGGATGCCTATGAGCCTACGAATCATGCGAGGAGTTTCAAAGACGCGATGGATGGACACCGACCTCCTCGTACAGGAACACGCTGATGCCTCTTGCGGCCTCCTGCCACAGCGTGTTGAAGAGTGGTGCAGCGAGGGCCTCCTGCAACTGTTGGAGAGTGGCCTGCAGCCAGCTGAGCATAGGGAAGGCAGTCGGCGTCAGCCCCGCGTCTTCCCTGTCGTTCAGCGACGGCATGCAGAACCACCTGCACGGAGCACCTCGGCCATTGTGAGGAATGCAGTGGAAAAAAAAAAAAGAATGAAAGCCGGTTCCACAACTCTGCAGCTATCCGAGTGAACAGGGAGGGAAGCTGGTAAGCAAGTGCAACCACCTGTCAAATGTAGGGCAAGTTATTTTTAAAGACGATAGTCTTTCTTGGGGACTTTCGACGAAAAAAATTTTGGTCTGTCTGTACATTTGTCTGTTTGTCTGCCCTAACGATACCTTAAACGGCATTAAACGGCCAACCTCAACCGCAGCGCCCTCCAATATTGCTCAAGGTTTAGCATTCATAGTTGTGCAATTCTCAATTAAAAAAGCAAATATTGCGCATATCTGAGGCATTATAACAACACGTCTATGTTTTGTATGTCTGCCTTTATACTAGAAGAGGCACACACAAGTAACTCTAAGGACTGTAGCATTTATCGCTACAGTCCTTAGGTGTTTTCAACGCTTTGCTACGACGACATGGTGGTGGCACCTGCCCGTCGCTTTGCATTCTACACCTTATCACCTCCGTGACTGGCGCGCATCTTTCTACACGGTCGTGCACGCCTTCGTTTTCGAAGATTACTTCCAGATGGCGCTCGTGTCTAACGTGCCTAGATGCGCTTGTTCGCCTCCGTTACACGCTCGAGGCACTCTAACGCAGCGCCTTCAGAATACCATTCACCGATATTCTTGCGCAGAACATCAAATAAACGTTTTGTTCACTCTCTCCAGACGCAAGACTATCGTCTTTCGACAGCATTTACAGTGTAACATGTAGATTCGGGCCAATTTTTTTCTTTGTTTTCTGTTTATTTCCTTGTCTACACTCAAACCTCGTTAAAGCAAAGTTGCATCTTACACAAAAATAACAAGTTCGTTATAACCAAAAAATTTTATTATATGTATTATATTATATGTATTATATTATATTATATGTATTATATGTATTATCAGACAATTAGTCATCTACTTCAGTATAACTGAGATTTAAGTTATTTGAACTTATTTCCTGCAAGGCTGTGCAATTTTTTACCCTTCCCTCTCCTCTTTCCCACCCCCATCGCAATGCTGTACTGGGCATAGCTATGCCACGCTAAGAGTATCTTAGGGCATACCTACTTTCTGTGGTGCATATTCACAGAGTTTGGTGTGGACATCGTGAGAGGATGTGCCCTAGTGCCCCCTGCACATTAGGGTTTATTTGGCACGATTTAAATTAACTTGCTTCAAATAATTTATTCAATGTACTTCCCTCTACCTTAAACAGCTCAGCTGTTAATGGAGACGGGTAAACGCTCTTGTAACGGCTACGCTGAGCGATCACTCACTTCTCGCGCCGGTAGGCCTTGCTCTTGGCTTTGAAGTCAAGCACCAGCTCGTCCACGATGGCAAGCACAGTGTCCGTGTACAGCTTCTCCAGCAGCTGCGACACCTCCTCGAACACAGACTCCTGCAGGGTGCCGTACTCGGCCATGGGCACCAGCTGGCCGCTCTCGTCCGACGGCGTCTCCGATGCAGCCAGGAACAAAGCCTCTTCCGGGTCGACCGTCTCGGCTGCACATCCAAAATGCAGAAAGGGCACAAAAATATGCTAAGCCCTTCTTACACTTTTGAGGGCGGAGCTCCTTAAGTTCGAGGCTCGTTTGTTAGTGGCGTTGGCGTGCGCCATAGCCATGATGTCAGTGACGCTGATCACGATGATCGTGGACAACGACTGCCTTGTGCAGTATACCACGTCTCGATACGCTCTACAATTCACTTCGTGCGACTGGAAACAACTAGCAACCACCAGGGAAATGTGCGCAGACCTCGTCTTTGGTAACTTCAGGCTGTATTCGATACCACAAGGCAGTAATAATGAAGGTGAAACGAAATTCACAACTCAACACAACATGCCAGTTGTGACCAATAAACCTTATATGTAACTCCACACCGCTTTGTCACTCGTTTAAAGGTGCGAGTGGTCAGTGTCACGGGGGATTTACGATAACACCGAGTGATCCCACTGCTTAGCCTACTTATCATCATTCACTTTGTGGATACGTCGCAATTTTTTTTGGTTACAACATTTCATGCAGCGCTCATTCTTCTCCAATACAGTTCTCATTCTGGGGTTATTGTGGCACGAATGTAGTTCTCATGCAAGTCTCAGTGCTGTACGAAATCCCACACAAAACCATGGGGTGATATCGTCTTTCAAGTAGACCCCAGTGAAGTTCTAAACCCTGCAATGTTGTCATTTTTGTGTAGGTCTTCGTGCAGTCTCAAATCCTGTGCCTAATGCAACTCCAGTATACCAAATCTGTAGCACAGGGAGCACGTCGATTTCCTTGGCGCTTGCCAACGGCTTGACAATCGCGCACTTGCCGAGACGGTGGTGCCCTCTATTGTGTGGCACAACGGTGCGCAAGGTGTTTGAAGAAGCGTTTTCCGTCATTTTAGGTAAATACCTGAGATTGATACTTGATTACGCACATAAAATATTACAGCATATTTCTCGACTCGAACCTGCCATGGTGTGGAAAGCATTCAGCATGGAGCGAGGCAGACCAGTGCGCACGTATTGCATTACCCCATCGTTATAAGAGTGGGTACTGAGCACTAGGAAACATTACAAAACCCTAGTTCAACATCATCGGCCTGGCTTCCTGACAACATGGCACAGGCCTATCCAATATTTTTGCGAATAACCAGGCCACGCTATCCCCGCAAAACTTAATAACCTCACCTGCCACTGCAACTTTCTCCTCCCCCTTGCACACCTGCCTTCTTTTGAAATTCAGGCTGTTACTCTTAGTGCGAAGCGATTATCTTTGCTTCTTGCTACATGCCCTAACTATGTTCGTTTCCTCTTCATGATTTTTGACGAAGGTGTCAACACGCACTGGCTCCTCGTCCCACTTACATCTACGTAAGTGAACATTAGCTTACACTTAGTTAACTGAAGCAAGCTTTGAGTGCCGGCTAGCTAATATTCACCGCAAGCGTGCTTACAGTGCAGACAAAGGCAAAAGGATAAAGATGTCCTTGTCATTCCTTGTGTCCTTCCATCTCTGTGGTGTACGAGAGCTTAGACAGCTAGTCAACAATAGTCAACATTAGCGAACATTAGCTCACGTAAGTCAGTAGTGAGTCAACAATTGTCTGACCCATGTTGGCAACACTGGCCCACACTGGATATCACGCTTCAGCCAACAGTGAGTTTTAGGACTGCATGCAATGGCGCTGCGTACACAAGAACGATGTGTTTTACATGGTGCACATGAGCAAAAGTTTTGCACACGCGCTTTATACAAAACGTGACGCTGTTACGTCTGCAGCGCTGTTACGGATACCACGGATGCAGCACTGAAAGTCGATAATAAATGTGAAGGGTGACAGAAGTCGCTTTGTAGCACTGCCTGCTACATTTGAAAAGGAGTACTCAGGCGATATAAAATGAGCTGCTTACAATTGGCCTGTTTTGTACTTTGCCTCCTCTGCTTCTCCTTCTGCTGCATCTCGTTGCACGCTTCCAGAAGTTCGACGAAAAACTGCAAGAAGAAATTGCACGGCAGTGTTAGTGTGAATTAATGTTGAGCTGCAAGCTTGGACAAAACAAACCTGTTACAAACCTCAGCACTGCCATCTAACGGATCAAAAATTGTCGGAATGGAGAATTTCGTTTTCTCTGTAACCTATGGCTATCCTTCTAATGAAGGTGGTTACATTTGAAAAAGAAAATAACTTCAAATATAGTAACTGTAATACACAAGTTTTTTTTTTTTATTTAGACAACCACCTATTCTAGAAGGGATATTTTCAATGCATCAATTTTCGACTTTGCTTCATGGCAAATATAAAAAACAATATACAAATTTTGTAAAATGTGTATAAACGATGACCTGAATTTAAGCACAATAGATTGATATATTAGAACCGACTCTAAAAACTCAAACACTCTCTTATTTGAGCAAAGCATTTGCAAAGCTCTCAGAAATATTTGCAATGATCTTACGTAAGGTGAAAATTAATGTTAATACAATTTTCTCCATAAAATTTTCTACCAAGTGAAGCTCAAGCTGTTTTGAGTCTGTGTTTTCTTTACCCTAACATACTAATCTTTAGCATTATATGAATAATGTATTTTGGCCACACCGCTCAATGACCACGCTATCTCTATGACTCCTTTAGAACATAGGAACAACTTTTAGCCAACAAACAAACAAATTACGTGGACCCTAGCAGATGTCGTCAAAATCGACAACACTGCTGCAAGTTGTTGTGGAAACCTCGAAGCAGTGCCGCCGCGATTTCTTTTTCTTTCGAGCATTTCCTGGCTTCTTCGAGTGTCTGCTCAGAGAGACAGTGACATTGGTTTCAAATTGTGACAGGGCTAATTCAAATGAAATCGCTTCCCTTCTAATCGGTGTTCGTTTCAGATGCGCCTGTAATGGTACACGAGCATTCTAGCATTCTTCCGTTCTGCACGCCATAGCGGTTTAGCATCTAGGGTGCTCGACTGCTCACCTGAAGGTCGCGAGATCAAATCCTGGCCAGGACGGCTGCATTTCAATAGAAGCAAAATGTTTGAGGCTCGTGCGCTTGTATTTAGGAGTCCGTTATAGAATCCAAGGTGGTCGAAAATACCACAGCGCTCGACTATGGCATTTCTCATAATCGTATCACGATATTGGGACGTGAAATTCCAATAAATGATCACTCGATTATTTTTCCCTCCTTCGAAAATGTCCACCGCACCCAGGAATTGAATTTGCCAACCCCCGAGCTCGGCAGCAGAGTGGCACGGCACACTGAAAACGAGGGTGCCGATCGTGCGACTGACCGGCTGTAGGCTCCACTGGGCCAGCACTTGGACCACGTAGTGGGCGGCGTTCACAATCGGACAGATGCCGACCAGGTCCAGCTCTTCCAGCCGTGCAGTTAGAATCTGCTGCAGGCACAGCCGCCAATCTTCCAAGAGAATCTGCTGCAAGCTCACGAACTTGAGCCGGTGGTAGGGCTGCTCGAGGTGGCGGTAACGTTCTGCGATGAGAAATCCAGGGAATTACTACAGTCAGTCCAATTATGCCCATCGACGTGGCTATAGTGACGCAGAAAATCATCATCGCCACATGTTGAATTCGTCATGATGTTATCACGATGTTACGCCATGACGTCACATATTATGTAATGACTTCCTCATTACGTTACATATCATGTGGGGACTTCATCGCGACATACAGGACTGATACATGCACTGAAAAGAAGATGATGGCTTTGACCTTCGTGTTGTCTTAATTGAGTAAATATATAAGGCACCTTGTGAGTTTGACCACTCAATTTTTCAAGCCTGCCAACAAATAAGGCAGCAGAATCACAATTATGTCTCAAGCTCACTGTAGTTTCATTCGTGGAAAAAATCGTTCACTAGACGATTCATACAGCAAACTTCAGTCAGTCAGTGCTAACAGCTTTTTGACACGGCTTCTTCTACCAAGGAAGTGAAATTAAACTGAATTGAACGACACATCATTTGGTAATCGGGGTGTCCCTCTTCAAAAGGGCTAGGCCCATTGGTCAGGACAGGTTAGCACAAATGATGCGTTAAGAGAATCACCACACCGGCATTATTTCTACTGGAATGTAACACCATGACTGCAATCTAACAAATTAGCACATTCTCATCATTTTCTGCTTCGAGCACTGTTAGTAAATCAAAATACACAACACCGGTTAAACGTACTGACACTGGGTATTAGGGGATCTAGATATTTACAATAGACCCTCAATACTTCAAACTCGAGGGCACCTCAGGATTTTGTTTGAGTTATTCCACATATTCTTTACTACAACCTATAACAGCATACCAACTAGCGTTGCGATGTTTATTGTTTCTCAGTGCTGCAGCAACATTACAAACGGCTCTGTATAATCGTCAGTAAACTTTTTAGATGTCAGTTACGATAATTGCACTCGTTATTACACAATGCGTGCAAGTGTGTGTAATTAAAGGTCGAAATGTGCAGCATCCCATGACAACTGCTAGCCTCATCCATTTTTAAGACATTTTCCCACATGACATTTATGTACTGCAGCGAAAGCGACCTTCAGAGCCAAATTTCATAAGCGCGAAAATGCATGCGACAGCGACGAGCGACACTATGAGCGACGAAACAGGGCGTTCGCGCGACGTGTCGCTTGCTCGTTTTCGTGCGATCGCTCGGTTCTCCAGATTTGGAAACCGTCGCTCATCGCCCAGAAGTGCTGGGCTCAAGCAGCCAATAGCGAAATACCGGAAAAGACAAAGACTACATAGGTGCACGTGACCCTGCCCAAGTCAAGTATGCGCAACAAGAAATAACGCAGTGTTTATTACGCATGTGCATATAAAAAGTGCCGTAAGGCAATAATAAATACTTTCCGTTTCATTACAGAACAATATATCTTATTTTTAAATTGCATACCGCTCGCTACGCGGTTTTCTTGGTGCGAGTAGACGGCCTCATGCCAGCAACAGTGGAATTCGCTCGCCGAAGCCGTCGCGTGAATGAGGTTTGTCTGCGCTAGCGACTGATCGCGCGAAGCCGATCTACGTCGCGTCGCTTGTCGCTGTCGCGTGCATTTTCGCGCTTATGAGGTTTGGCCTTAAGATGCATCCAAGCGATCGACAATGGCACGATCACTTTTCATCTTCGGTCAGCATGTGGTTGTTGGTGTGCACAGTTTGGCTAGTCTGGCCGTTTTGTAGGCAGGAAATCAGCCTCATCCGTGACTGTGAGTGACCTAAGAGCATCGATGTTCAGCTAGAAACGACAAAGATTCCAGACATTTCTAGGCTTAGACAAGCAAACGTTTCAATTAGCCAAATTTGTGCAGTAGGGCAGTTTGAATTAAGGGGCCTAAAAATACATTGAAGATGCAGTGGGGCTAACCAAAGATTTCGGTTTGTTTGAGTTAAATGAAAGTTTGAATCATCAAAAGTCTGCTGTACACATTTACTTGAACCAATTGCATTACCAATATAAGTACACTTCCATGAACACAAGAGAAGAGAAAGAACATAAAGTAAAACAGAAATACAGTAGCAAGCCTTCTTTGTACATCGTCCTAGAACTTCTCGCTCATTTGGTTAAGCCTGTTCACCTGTCATCGCAGACAGGATCATCATGAACGAGTCGGCACACTCGGGAACTTTGAGCTCATCGATGTCGCCTTCCATTGGGAATCGTGGTTTCCACGCTGTCGGAGACGATAGGAGGACGTCACGCTTCTCGTCAGCATCTGTGTCACCAACAATGCAAAACAGTCAAACGAGGATTTCAGCAAGATAACGAAGGGTATTGACAAATGAATAAAACGAATGGCATAGCTCAAACATGGCAGAAGCTGGGGAAGATAAGAGCATTGCAGCTGTGGTATAATGATGACAAAATGATGACTACACCGTGACAGAAGAATGATTCATTGCCGCCCATTCTGCATGAGAAAAAAATTATTGTCACGTGCCAATTGTGGTGATGGTGTTATGTAATTAGCATGGACTGCAGAACACATTTTGGGGTAATTAAGACCCAGAGGTATTGCACTGCAGTCACATCATGAATGAAGTCACGAACGATAAAAATTGTAGCTTTAACACTTACCTTCAGCAATACAGGTGCAAAATTTATGTATTCACAAAGAAAATGGAGTATTAATTGTAACAGACATTTGTTTATTGCTCTCCTGATACTTTCGATTCAACATTTAGCTAATTAGGACAATTTTTCAGGTCTCGTGAAATCTTGATTATTGAACTCTTACTGTGAACTGATAATGCTTAAGTCTGAGTGCGAGTTATAAGTGAATTTCTGGGAGCAAAAAAAAGATGGCATCATAATAATCCCTAGCAATCTCCCCCCGACCCACTGTTTCTGAAGTGCTCGTTGTGTGCAAGAAATTATGGTACCAATACGAGCGGGGTGCATATGTGAGAAAAAACTGCTGCTTCTATGCCGGGAAAAATATAGCTTGTAAATTACTGTGGGGTGACCCCTCCCCTGTCTTCCAATAACTCGTTAAAAAAATTCTTGAATCTGTGAATAGGTGATCTGATGAACACAACAGAGTTTCCTGCAATGTATATTAGAGGGAACTGTGGTTCTGTGATTATTGAGCCACCATGGCAATGATGGCTATTACAACTTCATTTTAACAAAATCACATGCGACACAAAAATAACTTCAGTATATCCAACAACTCGTTATAAATATATATATATATATGAAACAGCATTTATGACAAGACTATTCTTCACTTATTGCGTTGTGACCGATATTTAGTTACATGTGTACGTTATATCGAGGTATGAGTGTACCTGGACTAGCCTTGTCTTCGTGCTTGCGACTTCGAACGCACTAGTGGCTCAGTACATTGTAGTGTTTTGGATTGTGTTCTGTGGATAAAGGACTGCCTCATGGTGAGCCTCGCAAGTTGATTCGAACCGGTCGGCCTAAAAGGACCTGTGTGGTGGAGCGGAAATGCTGAACTTCGTTTTGGGACAAAGCGACGAGAGGCCACATGGCCCCCCACCCAAAAAAGATCTTAGACAAATCCTTGCACTACCCATCATTCCCACACTTGGTGAAGCATCATGGATGGCAGCTTCCACAGACGCTAGTGCAAGATTTTGCTCTAGTCTACTATTACAAAACTCTATGGCAGGCACATCCTACGTCCACGTACATTTCTTCTCCAATGCGATCCACCGGATGAAGCAGTGGTCTGCCGTGAGCACGTTGAGGATGCAAGGATAGAAGGGCGGGTAGCCCTGGCTCCGCAGCTCCCGGTCAAACAGGAGCACCTCCTCAATGGCATGCGTCAGCAGCTGGTCGTCAGGCGAGCAGTGACGGCAAGTCCATCTGCAGCTTGTGGATACCGATCTGGACCAGTCCACGCATCAGCTCCAGCTAGAAAGAAAACCAATTTTTCGTCTAATTTTTTTCTTTTACCTGTTTAGCTTTCTTTTTTTTTTTTTTAGTGGCATCATTTCAATCACTGACATAACTGAAATCCTCAGAAAGAATTCACCAGTCAAACAGATGAAGGACAAATTAGACTAACGGCACACACTTTGACTGAACTACTGACCAAGCTTTGTTAAGAAACACCATTTTCCAAAAAAACTACGAGCCCATGCACAATACAAACAAGAATTGAAACAGATTATGGAAGATTTTTTATTGTTATAGGGCCCCTAAACCCCCCATGGGTCGAAATTCAGTTGCGGTGAGGAAGTTGGGCTCGAGTGTACAGTGACCACGGAGCCGGGAGAATTTTCCGTAACGGTCCCTGTAGTAGCGGAGTTGGATGCGTTTGATTATCGAAATGCGGCGACCGCTCTCTTCCGTTTTTTTCCTTCGCTACTCTTCATTGCTATCCCCACAAAAAGCCGCTATGCCCTCTCGCCGGCATGCGTCATTTCGCACAGCATACGTCATCAACAACGCACTGCTCGAGACACCGTCTACTTCTGGTCGCCACAACTACGTCCCTCCGTCGACTGTGCGGTCCTTGGCAAACCACTGCCGCTGTGCCTGCCCGTGCTTTTATGAATCGTGCCGGTATGGATCCTGTGTTACGGGCAGCAGTAGCTGATTAACAAGGGCGTGCTTGCACGCAGGTAACACGACGAAGAACAACAATCAGCGCGGACAGCTGCTTGCTGACTAACCAGAAGTCGTAGGCTTTCGCTCGACCAATAACAGCGTATTTGTACTGTGTGTCAGAGATTCGTACAGTGTGTCACGTGCTGCGCATGGTCTGTAATTTTACTATTAATTCTCGTTAGTCGAGAGCCTCGACTGGCGAGCGGCAGAATTTTCTCAGCATGCTAAAAAAGTGTTGCAGGGCCTCCGTACGTTGCAAAGGTGTAATAACTCCGAAAAGCAGCGCTTACCCTCGCCTGCATGCCTTCCACACCTGCCTTGACCAGAATCGCCTGGACAAAGCGATCGCAGAACTCCCCGTGATCAGTAGCCCAGGTCAGAATCTGGCTCAGGTACCACTCCGGCTGCAAAGGTTGAGCAATACTGCGGTTTGATATGTTCCCCTTACTTATTGTTTGTTCCGAGCACTGATATCATGTTTCGTTGTTCTTTCTCTTCAGGCATGAGCATTACCTGGAAAGTCCCAATGGAACATGAAACATGTTTAGGCTAACTACAACACATCTTTTCATTTTTTGTTGTTGATGAATATAATATCCGCTGCCTCTCCCCATTGGAGCGAGAAATTAACGGGCTAGGCTGAATCGGGCAAAAAAAAAGACAAAGTGCAGGTTGCTACTACAATTAACACTGCCATCCTTTTCCTTGCAGAAATATTGTGGATCTTGAACAACTTTTGGGAACTGCGCAATTGCGTTCTTTTTACGATGTCACGTTACAACTGCCTTTCCTTTAGCAGAAGAGTCAAGTAACGCTCGATGATCTCGAAGGCTTTCGTTCCGGCAATACCGGTTCTCCCTTGCCCTACCAAAACACTACGAAAAGAGCAGAGCAAAATGAAGAAGACGGATTGTCAACATGACATTGTTCTCTATCGCTTGTGGAAGTTGCTCCACTTCGTAGTTTTCGTTAGTGTTGCTTCTGTCCATGACACCCATGCCCTGACCAGTAGCGCAATGTTACGACAGAGCAATGGCAATGAAAATTACCAGATGTTTAACTGAACAACAGCATTGAAATATGGGTCAATATTAAGCCTATGTGAATTGCAAAATTTAGGTTTTGAAGCAAACTGAAAGCGAATAGTGATTAGGTCTCATAATTTCTAATAAAATTTGAATAGTATGTATATCACATATAATAAAGCAAAATGAGCACATTTCTCATGACCCGACTAACTTGCACAATTATATTTTTTTAATTAGACCAAGAAATCTATGAATGCCATGCTTTTAGGTTCTGACTGAACTGGAAGCAACTTTAAATAGTAGCAGGATTGGACTTTCGGTAGAATGCAAGTGGTAGCCTGTGTTACATTTTAAATTGCACTGGTAGCATATAAGCTGGTATAACAAGCTTTTAAACTAAAAGGAAAAATGAGGGACTGATGTGAAGGTAACATGTTCATTTAACATTGAAGTGGCGCTTCATGGCAGCACAGATTTGAGCTGAATGGGTGTATTCGCCGTACGATACCCCCTCCACCGTAGTAAAACCACCTTAGCAGAAAATTCAGATGCAGTTTACGTTTCTTTGTTCATTTTAATTACTTCCAAATTCCGAATAATTTATATTTGCATTGAAGCAAATTTGAATACAGTAATATTCATTCAAATATTCAAAGTTCTCAAATATTTTCACGCGCCTTGCCAACATAAAGCACAGCACATTGTGCAGCATTCATGTGCCCTTGTTCTATTTCGTCTCACCTTTCAGCACACCCTTTTGCAATCATAACCCGATTAGTGGGCCGGTTAGCTCCTTCGAGGGTCAACTTGTCGGCTAGTTGGTTTAATGGATCGTAGGGAAACAGCGTGAAAGACCGGGGCAATCAAGGCTACTGTGGTTCTGTGTGTGCCTCTATTGTCCTGGTCTATCGCGTTCTTTCCCTATGACAGTCAGTTCCCGCTGACCTTGTCGAGTCTGTTGGTCTGACGCTTCCCGGTGAAGTGGAAGAGGAAGCGCTTCTTCAAAGGTCGTAGCATCAGTTCCAAGGGCAGCACGGATGTCGTCGACCCAACGTCCAACTGGGAGCCCTCCAAGCCTTCCCTGTTCATTTGGGGGTGCCACGAGTTAAGGACAAGGCCACGTTTTGCCTGCGAGAGCTTGAGTCGCATCCCTTGGGAAAGAAGGCCCCAGTTTTGGTGCGGAACACAACAAACCTCATTCAAGCCAAACGATCTGTGTCTGCTGACGCTATAGATCGACAAACTGGCTCATGGGTCGACTCGGACTCACTCATACTCGGATCAGGCCACGAGTCTGAGTGATTCCGGGTGCGCAACATTTTGGCGAGTACGAGTCTAAGTGAGTCTGGTTGAAAAAAAAGTTTACGGAGTTTGAGTCCAAGTGACTGCAGTTTAGGAAAACTTTGGCGAGTCTGTAAGACCGAGTCAGTGATCTTCTGGGTCTACCTCGGTGCAAGCTGCTCAGCCAAGCATAATGCGAAAACAAAAAAGTGTAAGCGAGCATACACGGCAGCATCAAACTGAAAACTGCATAGCAGGGCGTCTAACTACGCCCGAAACCTCAAAACAAAGAAGGATACGGCAGCTGGATCTTGTGCAGGTTGATGAAGCTCTTCTCGAACGGAAGCAACAGCTCCGGCGTGTACGAGACCGGCGCACTGACGCCCGTGTTGAGGATGGGCCAGCCCATGGAGTGCAACACCTTGTTGAATTCCCTGCGCACGATGAGAATCAGCGCAGCGAAGTGAGAGACATCGGAACGAGGCCGACACGGCCAAGGGTGTACTAACACCTCAGTAAAACAAACACGTAAATGACTGATTATCAGTTATGAGCAAGCGAAGCAGACTTTTGTTAAGTAAACGAAACCTTAAGGGTCCAGTGAAATATGTTCTGTTTAACAGGATTTACGTTAACTGAAAGATGAACAGGGGCGTGGGCTTCAAATATGAAACTAATCAGGACAGTGGCAGTTGTTCCATTTAAGCGGCAATTCCATAAAAAAAAAATTTCATTTGTTGAGAGTTTACTGTAAATGAAGAATAGTCTTGCCATGGATACAGCATCATGAACATACGTTTATAATAAATTTTCGGATATGATGAAGCTACTTTAGTATCAGATAAGACTGTTGTGATGAGACTTAAGTGTGAAATGAAAAAGAAAAAAACAGCATACCATGAATTTCTTCAAGAAAAACAGCCACAGTGTGCAAAGCCTTTGCTGGACTAAAGCAGCCAACAGAGGCCCTGGAGTATAAAGTGTGCTGAAAGTAAACTTGATCTAACAAAAGGTGTGCAAGAGAGGACACAAGAGTGTCATCGTCATCAGCCTGTCATACAACCAGCACAAGACAATGGCCTCTCTCAATGATCTCGAAACTGTCCTGCCCTGTGCGAGCCGATTCCATTTTACGCCTTGAAACTTTTCAATTCCACCACTCCCCTTCACCTTTTGCCATTCTATGCTGCACTTCCCATCTCTTGGTGTCAATTCTGACGATCCGACTGACTACTGGTTACCTGTAACAGAGTCAAAGCAAACTTAATCTGGCAAAGGTGTACAATGAAGAGCATGGTGCAAAAACTGTGTCAAAAGTAAGCTTCCTTTGGCAAACGCATATGACTGATGATACGGTGTAAAAACAGTGTCAAAAGAAAGTTTCGTATAAAAAGGTATAAAAAAACAGAGTATAAACAGTGTAAAAAAAAATCTTATTTTGGCAAAAGCATACCACAGAGAACAAGGTTTGTGAATTGTGTCACAAAAAAAAACTTATTTTGGAAAAGACATACAATAGATACACACGGTGTATAAACATCCCCAAAAGCAACCTTACTTCACTAATGGCATACAATGAGGAAACTCATACGTATAGGTGACGCAAGAGTGAAAATTCTACTACAAACGCACAACAAAGACAACTCACTTTTCAAACTTATCCCTGAGAATTTGGTGCCAGTAGAGGATGGTTTCTCGCAGAAAGTCGACGAGGTGGATGCATGCTGACGCGCGCACTCTCCGCCACACTTGCAGCAGGAAGGAGACGTGCGACACGGCTTGTTCGTCTTGGCCTTGGCTCATCGCTTCCTCAATAGACTCGCTGCAGCAAACACAAGCGAAATCTTTTATTGAAGGGGCCCTGCAACACTTTTCTGCATTATAGTTGTAATAGTCTCACTATAGGCGAAGGATGCTTCGGAGATTACATGGCGGAAAAATTTTTTTTAATCCGTCAAGCACAAGCAGGGGTTTGTCGTATGCTTCAGGCACTTTCTCAGTCCTTTCGTGCCAGCGAGGAGTGCTCTGACAGCTACATAGAGTGGGCGGATGACAAGTAGGCCAGAAGATGTGTCCCTGTGCCAGAGCGCATTATGAATTTGAGCGCTTTTTTTTCTTATTCCTTCAAATGCAGAACCTGTCCAGTGTGATCACGAGCACACAAGCGGGAACGTGGTGGCAAGGGTGAGTTATGCAGATGCAAACAAGCTACCATAAGAAATGAAATGATGTAAAATGGTGCGATGCAATTAGAGTAAACAAACAAATGAGCGCACCTTGTTTCTTCGATCTTGGCTATCCACTGCAAGTATTGCTTCAGGCGAAGCAGTTTCTGGATGTCGGCGAGGGAGCTTTCAAACTCCTTTTTCACCAGACTGGCGTTGTCCAGATGCGCCGACACGTCGTTCAAGATCTTGCCATGCACGCCTTCCAATATCTGCATCTTTTCCAGCGACTCCCGTGCAAATCCGAGCAGCCCCTTCAACTGTTCTGGATCACTACCGCCTTTGGATGACTTCAGCTTTTATATGCAGAAAAAAAAAAGTGGGTGGGGGGGTGGGAGAGGGTCAATTAAACAAGTACTGACAGAAAATTTTGAAGGCGAAATAACTTTGTGGGATGGATTTGCATGGCCACACAAGCGTGATCCACAAAATATCAGCAACTGATATATCTGAAGAAGGGTTAAGGTTTAAACCCACATGAACAAAAAAAGGGGGGGACAGGACAGGAATGCTCTATCTTGTCCCCTTCTTTATCAGTTTATGTGGGTTGCATTCTAAACATTTCTTCAGCATGAAGCAACTAGCCCGACAACACGTTATAGTGACTGATATTACCTAGAACACTTTCAAAATCAGTTTTAAAGTGAGTGTCATGAAACTGTGCATGAGACGCCCCACCTTTCGACAATGACACCAACTTGTTTTCATGACAAAGAGCCAACCGTTACCTGAGTCAAGAGTTCGGGTTGGCTCCTGTGCAAGCATACTCACTCAGATAGTAGACTTTTCGAATAGAGAGAGGGGCACCTCGGTTATGGACTTGCACAGGAGCCCGAAGACTGACGTCCTCGCCTCAATTTCGCCTGGGCAGTGCACTTTCGGGGGGTCACGTACATTTACAACGTCCCAGAGGAGATCATAGAAGCACCCAGGGGGCCTTTGTTAAATAGAGTTGCCCATGCAGTGCTCACATGAATGCGGTTTTGCGTGCAATGTTAATTTACACAAGACCCATTCTGGGTCCCACTCCAATTGGCCCTCTTTGAAATTTAAAATGTTACTAGGTGCTATAAAACTGTCTCAATACAACTAACCCTCATGCACTTGAGCAAACGAAGTTCTCAGCTGTGACAAGTGGGTGACGGAAGGGAAAAAAACAGTGCTTAAGAGGCAGGGACAAGCAAAAACTATACACGATGGGCTTCGTGTGTCGTTTTTTTGTCCCTGCCTCTTATGTGCTGGCTTTTTTTTTTCATTTCATTACGCAGTACCAACAGGTCAAACGTTGTTCACTTTTACAAGTAGGTCATTGGCTGCTTATCACAGCAGAGAAAGCAACATGTAAAAATGTTGGTCAGTACTCTTTAAAACTTAGATTCAGGATTTCGTACGCCAGAACTACGATACGAGTATGATGCGGAAATTCGGCTGACGATGAAAGCTTGACACGACGAAAAATTCGTGTACGCAGGGTATCACTGGAGCTAATGTTTACAGAAGTCCTCTACCCCAACCAAAACAGAAGAGAAGGAGAGGGAAAGTACGAAAACGGGAAAGGGGAGGTAGAGTGAAAAGGCGAGAGACTGCGCCGTGCTCCCGACCGGGTTGCATAAATTAGGTGCCTTTTCTCATCTTCTAACCACTACCACCACCAGTTGCAACCCCGGAGACAGAACCGCTCTTCGAAACATCGGCTAACGCGACATTGTGTGTTTCAAGAATTTTTCATCCATGCGATGAAGAGGTAAGCAGTAGTGAGAGACTGTGGGTGGTGTTCCTTAGAGCGGACCGAAATCTCAATACACAGTCATGTTTTCGCACTCTGGCACGGTCTAAAATGCAGCCGCCATGGCTGGGATTTAAATTCGAGTCTAGCGGCGCAACATCTTTTTTACCTGTTAAGCTACGGCGGCGGGTAGGTATGGAGTAAAAGCGCGCAACACGTACGGACATCGGAAACGGCAACAGATTGAAAAAGAACGATTTCCGTGGATACCGGAGTTGAGAGAAAAACAAACAAGCGCGTCGCAGTGGGGGTGATGCACTTACTCTTTGCTCGATCTCTTGCTTCCTAACCATCAGCGAAGCATGATAGTTCTTCGCCTTGCGCAGATTTTTCACGTCGTTCCCGAATTCTCGATTCAGCTCGTCCGCGACGTTTCGTTCCATTGCGGTTTTGTTTCCTTCCAGTCCGTTTCTCTTTCTTTCTTCCTCTGAACGAGGTTTCGATCGACAAATAAATCGTGTTACAAGCAGCCGAGCTCGGTTCCCAGCTAGCGCTAGGGAGCCGCCATGTTTAAAGGGAAAGCACGCAAACTTAGCTATCCAGTCTATCTTTAATGTAGTGAAAGTTTCACATTTTATAAAAATTTTTGTGTATTTGTTGTTAACGTTCAACATTACAAAATTTGCGTTATTTAAAATGCTTTAAATATTTTTTATTTTAACTAATGCGTTTAGTTGCTCAAGTTTTTTATATTGCATGCTTTGTTCGCTGCGCAACTTTCATTCACGAATCAACGACTTTGCAGTGTTCGTGGTTAGGTGTTCGCGCTTTCGCATGCAACGCGCGCTGCGTGTGTTGCTGACGTTGGAGCGGTGTTGTCCGTTTTTGTTTTTCTTTTGAGAAAAAGGAAACTAGGAAAGCACGTTTTCACCTGGACGCCAGCAGCAGTGTAAGTATGCGAGAGTCGTCGCCTCGCATTCGAGCCGCGAAACTACCCCGTTCATGATTTCCCGAGTATTGGGGCGCGCTTGTTGACTTTTTTTTCATCGCGCGGAGCTGAGCTAACAGCTGCGCGGTGTCACATAAATGAGTCTCACGCGCCAATATGGCTGGGATCGTAACACGAGTAACGACTTTCGTCGGATGTCAGAACGGTAGCCAACGATCTCCGAAGTAGTACATACTGCAGGCATCTTGTCAGCTGGTCGCAGCTTACATCTTGTGCTCAAATGAGAACTGCCCTTCTGTTTTGTTGCCAGCGGTACGTTCTAACACATCCGCTACGAGTTGGCATCCATCGGACGCGTCGCCTCTGGGTGTTTTGTTTTACCGGTTTGAAAATTGATTGCACGCGCGAAAGTGACGAAACATTCGGGGGCGCTTGTTGCTAATCGCTGGCAACCCGCGTACAGCAGTGTCACGGTGCCAGGTATTCGCTTGGCAGCAGTCGTGAAATGTCGTGAACCGTTGCCGGAGGGATTGTTTTTCTATCGTCCAACCCACGACTTGCCTCTCTACCGAGTTTAGGGTTTCCCATGTCGCTTCGCTGCGCTTTTTCTTTTTCGGGCTCTAATCTTCGCGAGTTGCTTTCGCTTTGGCGCGCGTTTTTCTTATAACTTTCACTCCCTTTTTTCACGCCGCTTTTGGTGATTTCGTTTTTTTTCTCTTTCCCCTTAGGTAAACAGCGTGGAGGGGTCATCCGATCGGCCATGGCTTTATCTTTACGGGTCTTCGCTTTATAAAAACCGTTGCGCGCGCGATTTTTTGTGTGAAGTGTTTGCGCGTGTGAAAAAAAAAAAAAAAACTCCAAAGTGTGTGACCTCCCTCGTCGTTGTGCTGTGGTATACGTGCTGCATTGCGACCCAAGATTATTAATATGTCGGCGATTGTGGATCAGACGCCCAACACGGCCAAGTCTGTGATTGACCTCTTCGTACCGAACCACGACCCAGCGGCGGGCGAAGAGACCATAGAGTGTGATGGCCTGAACGAGAAGGTACGTTAAAGCTTTGCTCTATTGGCTAACCCGGTGATAAATGAGTTTTACGCATCAGGCACTTCGCGCGTCATAGGCGTTCACGCGCGATGCTGAGGGAAGGAACTAATTGGAGACAGTGACTGGCTATTTTTCTAGTGCGCGGTAACCGCGTATTTCTCACTTGCTAAATCGAAAAAAGGTAGTTTCGAAGGTTTGTCTCTATCTAAGGCGCGTTCTTCGTAGTTACGTGCAGTATTTCTTTTGAATGAAAAACACAAAAAAATTGGTGGTGCCTTCAGGCACCTTCTAATTGCTATCTGGAAGGTAGGTCATCCTTCAAATTCAGACGTAAAAATACGTTTGTATGGCTTCATCAAGATTAGTTGTGCTGCAAGCCCTTGTAAACATTGCAGCATCCCAGTTTCGGTATTGATTTTGATGTCTCATCTTTCGAAGTACTACGTTATACATTGCATATATGAGATATACTGACACAGAAGGCAGCAATACTGTAAGACCTTCTGTAAAATCGTGAGAAGAAATGCTATGGTAAGCAGTGGTGAAGACAAAATCTTTCGGTAAGCAAGAAAAAAAACAACATATACATAGATATACAATCAAGCTGTTTAAAATGTTTGAAAAAGGATTGTTCCCACTTGTTAAACTCATGAATGTTTTGTGTCATTCACATATAAACATTTTGAGGTACCTCAATATTTTCATCGAAAGAAACTCCACAAGGATACACATGAAAATTTTGCAGTAAACGTTGCGCAATTAGTGCTCGGTTTGGTCCAAAACGTGATTTTCTCTCAACAGAAGTGTGTTTTCGCCACAAAACGAGCACTGTGAGGTTTCTGGAAGTGCTTTTTCAGCAATTAACATTGCCTTCACATTTGTGTTCATTGTCTCAAAAAAGCGCTGGCTGTTGTTTTTCTCTCCCGACGAACTTTGGGAGATTGCGCACAGGTCAAATGTGGTCACGATGCAGAGCCATGACTGTCGCTTTAGTTGTGTTGCATAATAAACTAGCTCAGGGTCTCAATAGGTTGAACACTCACTCACAAGTATGACTCGGATCGAGCTACGAGTCTTGGTGAGTACCAATTTGATGAGTTTAGGTCCGAGCGGCTTCAGTTTGGCATATTCCAAAAGAGCCTTAGTCCGAGCGGGTCCGTTTGAGGAAACTTTTAACGAGTGCGAATGAATCCTAAGCGCAATTCATATATTTTATTTGGTGTGTCTGAGGGATTTTTTTTTTTTTTTGCCTTTAGTGTCCCAAAGCTGACCTGTAGTTCAATTAACTGCAGGTCCTCTAGTTTTGGTTACTGAGCACTGTAATTGTGTTGATTTCAATATAGTTAGATCAAGAGTGTACTTTGTCCTGTGAAAGGGTTGTGCTGTGTTACACCCCACTATAGTGAGTCACCTAGCCCAGTGACACATTTTGCAAGGCTGCTCAGAACCTCCACTGCTCTGGGTAAAGCACAGTAAATGAACATACAGACAAGTGCTTTAAGATCAGTTGTTGTGACGACTGCTTAACAGCACGCTTTTTTAATTTATGCAGACGGTCCTCGTGAGTCCGTCGTCAGAGCAGTATGACGCTCTAGAGAACTTGCTGAAGCAGCGGTTACGAAAAGGACATGGCGAGGTCATCTACGAGATCGGGACTGGAGGTGAGAACGTCGAGGGAGTGAATAATGTTACGGAACAAACTGGTAACCGAACTAATCAATAAAATGCTGTGTGCCCGCTTAGCAACATGTAGACTAGCGAAAAAACTCGAGAGCAGGTATTTTCGTCTTGTTGTACAGACCAAAGGTAACAACTACTGAAGAAACGCAAGACAACACAATAAGCGCATACCCAGCATTAGTTTATTCTCTCCAAGCACTACTTAATAACCTCACACAAGCACATCAATACATGTCCAGCATGATAACATGCTTGATTACAAGAAAAACGAGTTACTTCTTGTTAATAGGCCTCTTATTACTTACTATCGGTCAAAACAAAATGTGGTGAATCTGAGTGTTTGACTCCTTTGACTGCGGGTTACATTGAATTAGTCTTGGGTGACACTGGCGGAGCTCTGTGACAACCCTCACTGCAACGTCGAAGCAGTGCTATTTAGTAATACACCACTTTTATTACAAATATTTTGTTAGAAAGTGAAGAACATGTAGTGCAGAAAATCAAAAGCAGGCAATTCGGAGCTGGCATCGTGAAGTAATGTGCAGTTAACAGCCTTTTGGATTCAGTGTAAGATCTTTTATTGTGTCAAGTTTCATGTTTCTAACATTTGTACCTCATATTGTTGCTACATGTAGTAATAAGAATCATTTGTAAGCGAAGCAGAATTCTGGTGTTTTTTCAAGTTTCTAGTTTTTTAGTGTGCTTACAGGATTGATTGAACTCGTTTTTAGAGCTCGATTTCTACCAGCAAAACGTGAAACACCGCGCTCTAGTGCTTGAATGATGGGGGGCAGATAGTTGACTGACTCGATGATTGATTGACTGGACACGTTGTAAGAGCACGATTTCGACCAGCTGAACATGCAATAGCCTACAAGAGTGCTCAAGTGTCGTGTGCCTGTCCTGTGCTGCACGCATGTTTCACAGGTGAAGGCGATGCCGGGCTCACGGCCGACAAGATGGATGCCTCGGTGGCAACGTTACAGAGCATTGCGGCGAGGCAGGATTGCGACTGCGTCCGGTTACGGGAGAGAAAAGCTGCCGAGGGCCTGGTTGCCGAGTACCTGGTGCGACGGCGGGCCAAAGAGAACGATTTCGTGGAAGTCAGGTGAGAGCAGAGCGCACTAATAAGTTCTTTATTTGCACTAATCTCTCGGTGCTAACAGAAATCGTTACAAGGGAGCATAGGGGAAGCGGAGTATTTTGTACCTGCCCAGCATATGCACGTGAACAACAGCAATTGATATCTTCTACTGAGGAAATGCATGATAGGCCATGAAATTGATGAGGTTGCGTTGGGTTTTTGGCATGGTGCTAATAGTGTAACGATGGCCACAAGAGCAGTCACAGCTTTTTTTACAAGCCGCTGGACGGGATGTGCTTCTATAGCGCTGCGCCAACCTGACAGTGTACATACCCACCTCCTTACCTCCCCATCATCATCCATAACTCTTTCCCCTCCCCATTCCGCTTCACCAGTTTAGAGTAGTAGACGAGAGAATACCATAGCTCAGGCTGGCCTTTCTGTGAATAAGCCTCTCTCCAACCAGCTGTGCACAGCAGATGCTGAGGAAATGGTAAAGCTGTTGACTTACAGACAAGCCTCAAATTTGTCTATTGTTTTAGGTGATTGGTGAAGTGGGATGTGAATTGAGCGAGAGAGAATGATGTGGGAGGAGTGGCACATACCCCGTAGTGTGAATATGAACTTTCGGTGGCAAATACTCATTTACGGTCTACGGCGGCCCCCGGACTTAAAGGCTCAACAAAGAAGTGCTTCGCTGTTGAAATAAAATTTGATGCCCTTTTTCTGCTGGAAAAATGAGGCCAAGTGAAGCCTCGTATATGCATTCCTGGCCTTCTGTTCTTGAGTCTTTATATTACATTACTCAATGCTCCCTCCAATTGGACTTTCACCCATGTGCTTAGCAGCGCAGCAGTTCTGTCACTACTAGCAATGACAGTCGTGCATGTAACCATGAAAGGCCACGAGATAAGGCAACGTCAAATGACAATTTGCCTCGATAGATCAATTTTTTATTTCGGAAGTGGCTGATCGCCAACAAACACACGGTCGAGAGGGTGCCAGCTAATAAAAAATTGTGCATACAAATACGCGCGTGATCGGTGTACCTTCGAAAGCCTGTTGCCACGTAACTGCATTTTTTTACACTCGGTGGTGCCAAGTTTGTCGCCAATTATTCCACCGCCGCAGTAATCTGTAACTTATAAAACCGTTGCATAAAGTCGTCAGAGTACTGGCGTGCGACTTCCACCTATAGCAAATTTTTGTCTAATAAAGTCTTAGGAAATAAGAAATTTCTCCTCAGAAGATTCACTTCGCAAGATCTACTCAGAAGTTCTCCTAGGATGTGTGTCTATACCTACTGTGTCTAAATTTCGGTTTCTATGGCTTCTGTGTCGAAAACTCTGTGTCTGCATCTTCCGTGTCAATGTCTTCTGCGTCAACTCCTTTGGACTAAAGCTCTTTGTCTACACCTGTATCTAAGTCTGTTTGTACACCTTTTGTGTCTGCATCTTCTGTGTCTACGTTTTTAAAGCCATGTCATAAGTGTCACATCGCAGTCTTCCATCTCAATGTGTAACTCATTCATCAACAATGCGCACTCCAGGGTAGCTGTGGTGGGCAATGTCGATGCCGGCAAGAGCACTCTGCTGGGCGTGCTCACCCACGGTGAGCTGGATAATGGCCGTGGCTTGGCTCGGCAGCGGCTGTTCCGGCACAAGCACGAGGCCGAGTCCGGCCGCACTTCGTCCGTGGGCAACGACATCTTGGGCTTTGACTCACGGGGGAACGTGGTGAACCAGCCAGACCCACATGGGGGACAGCTTGACTGGATGCGCATCTGCGAGCAGTCCTCAAAGGTACGTCCAGTTGTGGTGATTTCATGATGACTGGGTACATTTGTATGTGGTCATAAAAAAGAAAGAAGAAAAAAAGAGCTTTCAAAATGTGTTGAGAGGGTTCGTGAACCACTTTTCAAGCTTGCTTCGAAAACATGTCCTGCGGATAGCAGACACTCACCATCAACATCTTAGCCAAACCTTGTAGTCGTGCACAGCAAGGAGCACTTACAGGCGTAGTGCTAGGTTACCATTTTCTCGGGGATCCGCTTTTCGTATGGAGACCAGTACTCATTCTCCCCAGAGCTGCTGTGGGCACCTGTTTGACTTCGAAGAACAAATGGCATGCTATTGTTGAATAGCTGACATAAATCAATAGTGGCATTTGCATAAGACACGCTTCTTGCCATGAAATGTTACCCCATGGCAGCGCAGTGTCCCATAGTCTGCTAACATTACACAGTAGTCGCTATAGGAAAAAGTGATAACGTTGCATCACACATGCTCATGGTAATGACGTGCACTGTCGTAAATTCTTTTTTCCCCTGTGTCGCTTCTGGTGCACTCATTGGTGCAAAAGAATGAAGCCACTTGAAGATCGCAACATTCCCGTGTGGGGTGGCGCTTGTTTTGGTGGATTGAAGACATTTCTAGTGCAATAAAGTTCTAAAGCAATAAACTTCGATACTGAGGTCATTCCATGATTACTTGGAACAGCGGTTCCCGATCCCTTTAAATGTTTATGGTTGAAATCGGCTTTTTGGGGAAGTGTGAACACTTTGTTAAGGTTTCGCAAATTGAAGGCTTAAGTTAAACTTCTTCACCTGCTGTTTACTTTTCCAGAACGCACAGCTTGTCAGATGGAGGGCGCGGGATGCGTTGTGTGTCTCTTTGATTTGTTTTCCTGGACTGCCCAGGACTACTTGATGTGACAGGTTTGACCTAGATTTGCCTCATCAGTTCTACTGAGCGGTATGAAAGTAGCTGTGCGCCTTCCTGGGTACTCTGAATTTCGAGTTGGTCGACATAATTTGCCCGCGTTCTGTAGCCTGCTGCCTGGACGACAAAGTTTGCCTTTGACGTTGTGCTCTGAAATAAGCTAGAATTCTTTATTTAAAATCACTTTATCGGTTGGTTTGCCATACTCGTGCTCTTTTATAGATTTGCTGTGATATGCGCGTTTGTTTGCCACTATTTTTCTAGAGAAAAGCATATACATTGAACCGCCGCATTACGAGAGTTGAACATCATTACGAGAGTACCCTATTAGGAGCAGTTCTTGTCCCTTATGTGAGGCGTCTTTTATAAGCTCCGTACCATTTTCTCTTTTTCTGTTCAACCGCTGTTTCATCATAGGCACACTTGACGCCTGCTGTGCGCAGTGTTCTCTTGCATCGGCACCTCTTATGAGGGGGTTCAACTGTAACAGCTGCCATTCACCAGTACTTACCTACAAAGCAAAAAGGTGGAAGCTTTGGAAAAGAGGTCTAGTTATATAGGATGACAGGAAAGGAAAATGATGGCTACGACAGACATTAAGGGACAAGAAGAAAGCGCAGTGAATCTTAGAACAAACGATTGTTGAAGTCATCTTAGTCGAAGTCGAGAAAAATGTGCGTGGGCAGGGCACGTAGATGAGATAACTGCCGGTCATTAAGAGCAACGTACTGGACTCTACGAGAACGCAAGAAAGGGGTTCACAGAGTATTAAGTGGGCAGATGATGTCAATTTTTGCAGAGACAGCGTGGCTTCAGCTAGTGGTGAACTCGGTTCATTGAAGGAACATGGGAGGGTGCCTTTGTCTTGCACGGTCTGGACGAGGACCATGATCGTGCGTTTGGGTAATTTGTTATTCTTTAACGCAGCCGATAGAAGAACTGTTGTGGGCCTGCTTTCGCACTTGTTGCAGGTGATCACGTTCATCGATCTGGCTGGCCACGAGCGTTACCTGAAGACCACCATCTTCGGCATGACGGGGCACGCCCCCGACTTCACCATGCTCATGGTGAGAACGCCTGTTGCTGCGCATGTTATCGAACCGAAGCACGAAACCACCGGTCCTGGCGTTCGTGCGGATTGTTTGGTGCCTCCTTTTATGTGGTGTGGTGCCAGTACTCTCATCTTATGAGCAACAGCAAAGGTATTGTGCAAGAAGATGCATAAGTAATGGATTGAATGTGCGAGGCTCTTCAAAATCGCACCATGCGCTGTGGTAACACTATGTTACGCTTGTGGGTCTTCCTTATGCAGACATCAACAAAGTTTTAAATTATGTAAAAACTGACAGAGTTTGCGGTAGTGTTGGTTACGAGAAGCCAATGAGCCTGTGTGCAAGAATTTATTTGAAATGTTAGTGAAAACGCCGTGAGAACCTAACATAAATGTTACTTGTGTATATTGAAAAAATATATATGTTTTGTGTAACTCTGTTGTATACCGTATACCTAAATGCACTAAAAATTGATAGAACTTTCCAGTTGTGCACTTTAGTATCTGTGCGTTATTTCAGTTATACCAAGCTATTCAGCGTGTAACTAAATATGGTTTGACTGTATTGCTGTATTTACTCCTGCGTGAGCCCGAGGAGGGCTTGCAGTATCTGTAAAAAAAAAAAAAAAAAAAATAGCCTCTTTCTTTTTTTGTGCCAGAACCAAAAGAGAAAAAAAAAATTAAGGCAGGTTCACACTAGTGGCGCCGAGCCTGAAAGAAGTGCAGGGCTGGATGGCTTGCCTTGTTTCTCTTATCTCTCTATCTTCCTCTTTTTTTCCCTTTGTCCCTCTCTTTTTGTTTCTCAATTTCTGTCTTCTTATTTCTTTCTCTCCTTTTTTATCTATCTCTTGCTCTGTCTGTCTAGTATTACTTTCTATTTCTTTTCCTCTACTCGAGTTGTTGCCCACTAGAGGAGCTATATCCCACGCCGGACGAACTGGTGCACATTATTCTGGGAGGGAGGCAGATAAAAAAAGATAGAGAGCGTGTGGGTTCATCATGATGATCATTTTTGTTCACGACTCATACACTTTTCTCGAGCACGAATAGGTCCGCTGTTAAAATTGCCACTGTTACCGTTCAGCAATAGTGATGCATAGTGAGGGCGTTCACAGTTTGAGGGGTATTGACTCAAAAATTTTGACCGCATTTTTTTTTTTGCTGAATATATATGTTGCTGAGGGTCTCCTAATCATAACGCAACATGTCATTTGCTACTGTGCAAGACAGATAATTAATTACAGACTCCTCATTACCAACCAATCTCGGTTTCGGTTTGCAAGAGCTCGAAAAATGGCAAGCCGCCGGGGGCCAGCTATCGCCACGTAGCACGCGCAGCATCCGCGCACAGAACCGTGATGCACTTCCGCGCAGTTCGCATCGAAAAGTCCTTTTAAACAGAAAACGGGAGAGCGGCGCGGCCAAGCACAAAAGTTTTAATGCAAGCTCTGCAGCCACAGGCTTGCGAACAGTCGCCAATTAGTAGTCTGCTGGCGTAAACATGGCAAAAAAGTAATTGCGACTGTACCTTGTATCAGTGGCAGCGTGGTGATGTGAGCAAAGCAAAGCGGCTCATCGTCGAGTCACTTTCGAGGATGCCAATGCCACAAGGTGCGGCATATATAGCTCGATCGGATACATAAACTTTAAGATTCTTATGAAATACCTTCTAGGCCATATTAAGATTTGATATTTTGCAGAGTACATGCACATGTTCTCAGGAATTGATCCCACAAGCTGTTGTTGTCAATCTGTTTCTTTCCTCACCTCATTTTTTTTTTCTTTTTTTCATATTGTTTGCTCCAAAGAAGTTCACTTCTTATTGTGCTATGTACCAACTAGATGCAATGCAACTGAAATCGCCCGCAAAAGTTTGTGTCCGCACGCCTTAGAGAGACCAATCTCAAGTGTTAAATTCAACCAAATGTCAGGCTGAACTCGCTGTACCACTCAAACAAATGCTGCTCAGTATTCCTTTAAACGGAAGACGCGATTCGACGTTTTCCTTCTTTTCAGGTGGGTGCCAATGCAGGCGTGGTGGGAATGACCAAGGAGCACTTGGGCCTGGCCCTGGCACTGAGCGTTCCCGTGTTTGTGGTGGTCACCAAGATGGACATGTGTCCAGCCAACTGTTCTGCAGGACACTATGCGCCTGCTCGTGCGCATCCTCAAGTCACCGGGCTGTCGCAAGATCCCCGTCGTGGTCCACTCGGACGACGACGTGGTCGTCTGTGCCACCAATTTTGTCTCCGAAAGGTGCGCGATGTGGAGGGCATTGTGGCAAGCCTACTTTTGGCTTGGATAGTTATTACCAGTAACCTACGTATCCTTGTTGACAGTTTCTGGCATTCTGCACTTCACGTGAATAAATGGGAGCCATGAAGGGTCAGTGATTATAGAAGCTTCATAATAGAAAAAGTGGGGAGTGACTGCAAGAAGGCTTACTTCGAAGCGAAAATCTCAGATGCCTCATTAGGCACAAAAGTGGCTGTCCATGTGTCACCACTATCTTGGGAATGCTTGCAAAAGATGGGAATGAGAGAAAAGGACGGCAGGCCTTGGTAGCTTGACAAACACACTTTATCGAATAACGTGCAAACGATTATGAACAAACTCAATTCAAGTCAAAAAGGCGCACGATTGGCTAGCAATCAAAACCAGAAGTAAATCTAATCCTACTCAAGGTCAGTGCTTTAGCCCTAAGCTTGTCTAGCCACTACAGCTTCTCCATGGCTACTCTTATGCGGTCGCCCCGCCACAGTGGTCTAGTGGCTAAGGTACACGGCAGCTGATCGGCAGGTCGCAAGATCGAATACTGACTGCGGCAGCTGCATTTTCGATGCAGGCGAAAATGCTGTAGGCCCATGTGCTCGCCCCGCCACGGTGGTCTAGTGGTTAAGGTACTCGGCTGCTGACCCGCAGGTTGCGGGATCGAATCCCGGCTGCGGCGGCTGCATTTCCGATGGAAGCGGAAATGTAGTAGGCCCTTGTGCTCAGATTTGGGTGCACGTTAAAGAACCCCAGGGGGTCAAAATTTCCGGAGCCCTCCACTACAGCGTCTCTCGTAATCATATGGTGGTTTTGGGACGTTAAACCCCACAAATCAATCAATCATGTGCTCAGATTTGGGTGTACGTTAAAGAACCCCAGGTGACTGAAATTTCTGGAGCCCTCCACTATGGCGTTTCTCATATTCGTATTGTGCTTTTGGGATGTTAAACTCCACATATCAATCAATCAATAAATCTCATGAGGTCACGCACTAATTGAACGACTTACTGTTCGTGGCGTTCGCTCGGTCACAAAACTCGCTGTCCCGTCACTGAAGTTTTTGGAGACATTTTATAACGTCGTTGTCGATCTGCATCCTAGCTGCTTGTCTCCTTTGCTTTTATTCCGGTCGCCTCTGCTCCTTGCCTCCCAATTTAACTCACGACTTGGCACTCCAGGGATTGCCATGCTGGTCGCAGCCGTCTTGTTAAGAAAGTGAAGTGCTGCCCGTGCCCTGGGAATTGCTGTGACGAGGTGGCACAGGTGCACGAAGCCTCGCTCGGCGTTTACCAAGGTCACGGTTGCTTCCCGGCATACCACTTGCCGCCGGTTTCTAGAACCGGGTGGCCGCTGCTTTCGCCATGGGTGCGATGCCGACTCGTTCGACCTTCTTCGTTTGGCGCTCCACAGGGCACTGCCCGCTTCTCCTCCTGGGGCTTCTGGTCACGGCTCGGGTCACGTGCCACGAGCCTTTGTGTGACCAATCGCGTGTGGGGACGTGGCAGAGGCGCACACAATCACCAATCACAGACCTCTGGCACGTGCTGCACGCCCCTTTACTCATGACGCAGTGGCATTGGCATCTTAACAAAGTGATACAAAAGAGCATTGTCATGTGGTGACGTCATCATATAATGTTACTGTGGTGTCACATATTGGCAACCTCATAACATCATTATGACACGGCCTCATAACGTCACTATGACATCTAACATCATCGCATGACTTCATCTTGGGCGAAGATGGGCCGATCTTGGAGGCAGTCAAAAACCAGGTGAAGTGCAAAAAGTTTGGGAATGCCACCAATCTTAGAGGCAGTGCGAAAAACACATTTGGGGCACAAAGCTTTGAGAAGAGCAGGGCTGGATGGGAGGATCGAGACAGTTGACTGAGAAAAAAAAATTACTTTCGCCTTCAAGTCATCTTAGATGTACAGTCGCCGACCGATTTTTCAGACCTGGCGGGGACCGAAAAAAAGTACGAAAAATCGAACAGTCCGAAAAATTCGTTTTCGCCAAAAATCTGAAGTTTATTGCATCAGGCAGGTTTAAAAAAGTCCTTGATGTTGCCTTGCCTCAAACTACGCTTGGAGGCAATTTGGTTTGCCCGTATTTGCGGCAAGGTGACATCGTCGCCGTAAACGCTCGACAAAATTGTCACCGCGTTGGCGATCTTCGACGGCTGCGGGCGGCCGTCGTTGTCATCCGACGACAACGACGATTGCCATCCGGCGTCCACCGTCATCCAGCGACATCTAGCTGCGAACGTCCACTCTCTATTAGCTTGATTATGGCAGCTTTCTTCTCTAGCGTCAGGTTCGTATACTTCCCACACTTCTTCACACCACCTGGCTCCTGCGATGGCACAGATAGCGGAGCCATGGCACCGAGAACACAAAATTCGATGCCGCAGATAGCCGCTGCGAAGCACACAACGTCTCGACGCCACGCGACACAACACGTGCAGAATGGCGACTGAAAAAAGCTGCAACAACAATAAAAGAATCCTTCTTTCGCCTCCTCCCCGTGCGATGTGATGACGATAGTGCTGACCGAAGACGAAAAAACGGCATCCATCACCGCGTCTTTTAAAAAGTAAACACGGCCTCCAAAACTTAAAATATGGCGTGCGCATTCCAATCTCGGAGGCAGGAAAGGCATCTGAAGACCAAGCTTAGCCAAGCCGACGGAAAATCCAACATGGCGGCGTTCACAATGGCTTGGGGTGTGGCACAAAACGAGCGATTTAGTCCGAAAAATCGAACTTTCAGGGGCAAATTCGCCCGAAAAATCGGTCGAAACAATGCATTAGCTCTATGGGATTCCTGACGGTGCATTTATGAAGTCCGGAATATCCAACAAGTCCAAATTTTTGGAGTCCGGAAAATCGGTCGGCGACTGTACATTGTTACATTGCCATGGGTCAAAACAAAAACTGTGCAACTCACTGTACAGCTGATTGCTTATTTACAATGACCACAAGACAAAAAAGGAAGCTGTGCAGAGAGCCAATTTCGTCACTCCAGTTTATACAGATAGAAGAGAGAGGATGTCTTTTGACTAGTATTACCACTTATCCGAAAGTTCCTCATTGTGGCGCACGCAGGTTATGCCCCATATTCCAAGTGTCCAACGTGACTGGTGAGAATCTTCTGCTGCTCAAGATGTTCCTGAATCTCCTTTCTACACGTATGCCCAACCTGGACTCGGAGCCGGCAGAGTTCCAAGTGGACGACACTTACTCGGTCCCCGTGAGTGCAGCCTCGATGTTTTCCGGCAGTCTCGTCGTTTGTTGTGGGTCTAGCAGTTGCAGAACTTCTTAATGTGTTTGTAAGCATTACTACACTCAAACCCCGTTATAATAAAGTACACATTACATGAAAATAAGTTTGTTATATCCAAAAATTCGTTATAGAGGTATTTTTCTAACACTATATATGTATTACAAGGCTATTCTTCATTTACTTTGTTATAATTGATATTTTGTTATATCAGGGTACGTTATATTGTGGTTTGATGCAAGTTTTACTCAGCATGGGCTTTGGTATATTGAAACGTGAACCACTTTAAAGTTTTTGTGCAGTTTCGGGAGTAATTTCGTTGGAACAGAATTAATGCTGCTGGCCCAGTGTTCTTTATCACAATTGCTGCTCACGTTTAAGCATGTGCTAAAATTTCTCGGAGCAGTAGCATCTTACAGCATCTAAAAGAACAACCTAAAGGTGACAAGGATGGCTATGTGGCTTATTCACACTGATAAAGTGTGTGTGCTTGTGTAGATAATGCATATGTTGTGCACACATTTAGGATGGTCAAGAAGGGACAAATTCATTGTAATAGCTCTTTTACATGTCATAAAGCTTAAATTTTAAAATGGTACAATTTGAAGACAGTTACACCATTTGGGGTGTATTTTTATGAGACAACGGTAAATGTAATCTTTCTTGCACATATCCTTATTTTATTAATGCCATGTGCCCACTGATACTTCATTATATGGGCACTTAAAATTCTTTTGAGCTAGAAAACTCCTGAAAAATGGTTTTGTGCACACACACACACACACACGACAGAAAGCAATCTACATTTCAAAAGTGGTCTTTTCTTCTCTTCTTCGCAGCCATAAAAGATTAGTTTCAAAACCAATAAACACTAACATTTCTTAAGTGATTAAAAAAATGGACCAATGTTTAATGCTCTGTCACCTAGGCTCATCATGAAAATAAGTTTGGTATCTCGTATACAGCATTATAAACTCACTAAAGCTTATTACCTTATGTACTCTCTTAAGAGGTCGATCAGATCCGGGATAGCCCCCGGGCACTTGTGTTGCGTGCACTGATGCAAAAAGTGTTAGGCATCATAACGTATATGGTAGGCTTGTGCGAATATTTGAATGACTCACTATATTATAATGAATAGTAGAGTATTCGAATTTAAATTATTGAAATTTTTGAAGTATTCGCAATGAACAAATAGGTGTATATTAATCTGCATGTAACTGCTTGTAAAGGTGGTTTCAGCTGCAGTGTGGGGGTGCTAAACCGTAAAAGCACTTATCAAGGGGAAATCTGCTTTGCCGCGAAACCGCCTTTCAAATTTGAAGGGGCCTTGCAACCCTTTTTGAGCATAGTCAGAAAACGCTGCCAAACGTTAGTTGAGACTCCCGAGAACACTCGAGCCAAATATTATAGTGCAGCATGCGGCCTGCAAATTCACAATGAATTCTCAAAGTCAGCTAAAAACTGCTCTCTTCTCACGGCAAATGACGCCACAAGCTGAGAACTCACTCGTCACAGCCATTGTATCAGCCATTGACGGATTTTAGCATGGCGCGCTCAATCGTTACTAGGGCTGCCACGAGGAGGCCGCCACTTGTTCATGCGTACGTGCGCGGTCACACTAAAAAGCCGCGTATTCGAATAAAAAAACATGAAAAAAGTTCTCAAGGCCATGAGGCGTCCGTAACGTGCTTTCTTTTTCCATACCATCTCTCGCTGCTTAGCTTCCAGCGCTCTCGTCGGGACGAGAGAAGAGAGAATGCAATTGCAGAGTGCGACAAATCTTTGCAATTACACCTCAACGGATGCAAACGCAACACACGCTGGAAGGATCGAGGGAGGGGGTGTAAACGAGGGTGCTTTCAACATCTGTCCAGGGCGTGGGCACAGTGGTGTCGGGCACCACCCTCAAGGGCGTCATTCGACTTAACGAGGTGCTCCTGCTGGGTCCGGACCCCCTGGGCCACTTCCAGCCCGTGGCGATCAAGTCCATTCACCGGAAACGAATGCCCGTCAAGGAGGTTCACAGCGGTCAGACGGCCTCCTTCGCGTTGAAAAAGGTGAGCAAGGAATCGATTGGTTTGTTTAAATTTCAGAAAAACAAAAAGTCGACACTTTTTTCCAAGCCTCTCATTGTTCTTCCCCAACCTTCGGAGTGCACAGTGTTTGGCGAAAACCAACTGAAAAAAAAGCTATACGAGACGTTATCTGTAGCGATTGTAATGTAATTCGGAAGAAATTGAACAGGACGAAAAGACATCTTGCTGTTTGCGGGCGCTTAGCCTGCAACCTTTGGATGACGCGTTCGATGCTCCACCAACTGAGCTACGGGGGCGATCGTTTTCTCTTTTTTTTCATCCACTATATCGACAATATCTGTCTGTGCAGAGCTGGGATGGTGTGTCAGCACTGCTCTTACCCATGACGACGAGCGTGAAAATTTTTTTTCCTTTTGCCAGCTGGCATCGCATGGCACGTGACTACAAAGACTTCATTGTCTGTTGGTTTTTACTAAGCTCGTGTCTAACAATGAAAAATGAGTCCTTAAATTGCTCTTCTTTCATTGCTACAATCATGGGGACATTCTTAAAAATTTTTTATGAAGGAACCTGCTCGTTAGTAAGTACTGGGACCCCTGCTGTAATTACCTAGCATGATGGATTTGTGTGAACTGATGAGTAGCAAAAAAACAGTCACTGTTTACTGTACATCAAACTGGAAAAAAAAAAGCTGCACCATGAAGGTGAAGCAATAATTGCAATACAGTCGCACCGTGTTATAACCAACTCAAAAGTATCGTGATAAGTGGTCGTTATATCAGTAGTTCGTTGTATATGGACTCGCCCCCAAAAAATGTGCACTTAGCGACCAAAATATTTTTTGCTGTGTATTTTTATTAAAAGGCGCTACCAGCCTCTTCGGTGACAAGATAGGCCTTTCCACGTGTTGAACGGCACCCGCTGTGTGCTCACGGATGAAATAAACCACGTTCGCAATGAACTCTCGTCGTTCCGCTGAAGCGAGGCACCGCCACGTGGAACCGATCACTCCTGGCTGGTTAGGGAATAGGTTGCTTACTCGGCTCTTTCTGTCCTATGCTGGGCCGTTTGCAGTCTAATGTATGTGCTGCAGAGGGTGCTAACACCTCAGTGTAAAGTTGTATTGCGTTCGAGGCGCATGTATCTCGCGCAGAAGCTGCATTCGGGGGTCGCAACTGTCGAGCAGTAGGTGGTGTTGTGCTCGCGAGCGTGTATTACCACCATCATCATCATGGTTAGAACGGTGGCGCTGGCAGTGACGCCTTGCAGCAAGCCTGTGGGGCGGCACATTAGAGAAGCGGCCCTCTTTGGCTTGTGGCGGTTGGCGCGTACATTTGTCTCTTGCGGCGGGTCTGTGGTGAACAGCACCGCGGTTCGTCTGCCGTAGGTCCTTGGGGTGAGTCAGGCGTTGGCAAGGCTGCCTCGTGTGTGTTCTTGTGTTTGTTGTGTTTTTGAGTGTTGTATAATTTTGTATAAGGCTGTTCTAGCATGTTGATCACAATTGGTGTATATTAATTCGGCTGACGACAGCGTCATTCTAAGGTAGTTAAATAAATTTGTGTTGTTTGGTTTGGTGTGACTGTGTTTGCTGTGTCCGTTCACTCCAAGAGCGTGGCGCCACACTGGCGTCAAATGTTGGGCGCCATATTCTGCCTCTGAAGAAATGCCTGAAAAGAGCACAAACTCACTCGTAGCATCGGAAATCTGCGTGCGGTGCTCACCACGACCTATGATATTTTTATCGCACGTATAAATTAGAGCGGGGCATGTGCAAGCCCACATCTCCTATGCTTTAGAATGCCTGTTTAAACTCTCTTTTTTTTTTTGTTTCGTATGCGCTACGTTTTTATTTGTGGCCCTGTTGGAAGTGTTCATAGTAAAGTTAGGAGGCTTCGTAGATGGTTCGTTAATAAGTGGACGTAGTTTCAATGGGTAGTATAGGCAAATCATAAGTGCCCGAAAATATAATTGTTGTAATTGGTAGACTGTTATAAGTGGGTTTGACTGTACTGCCAAGAAATCGCAAGGTTACACGAAGTAAGGTCAGCAGCTGACTCTTCCGGATCCGATCTCGTGCAACTCTACAAAATGCTGGTTTAGTGAAGTGAATGCGGCTGCTTTTGTGCAGCCTGTTTGCCTGCTTTCGTGCGGACTGCTTTCACGCTGTACGAATGAAGCAGTTTTAATCCTGTGTGTCGTCTCTTGACTAGCCATTGTCACCAGGCCTCGCAGGTGAAGGAGTACAGAAAAACGCACGTGGCGTTCTCGGCTCGGCATTGGCGTTTTTCCGGAGCACACATTTCGGATGTTCTTCAGCGAACGATCGAGAATGGGGCGCGAGTGGACGGGAGAGTGGGGCGCAGGGAGTAGAGAGAGAGAATGGCGAAAGATGGAGCGTCGAAGCACTGCACATACCCTTTCCTACACTCTCTCGCACCGCACGCTCTGGTTGCTAGGGGGGAGGATAAGCGTGCACGCCCACAGCTGTTCCGGTGGGAGGGGGGGAAGTGAAAGCAAAGAGATAACACCTGTCGGTGCGCGGACAGTGGCGGAGGCCTAACATAGCCTAAGAAATGCATTCGCATTTTAACTTATCATGAGTGCCCATACAATTGCTGTCGCTACTAAAACTAAACACTGCGTCTCTGCAGCAAGTGAAGCGCTCAGATATCCGCAAGGGCATGGTGCTGGTGTCGCCCAAGCTGGAGCCAAAGTCCTGCTGGGAGTTCGAGGGTGAGATTCTGGTGCTGCACCACCCAACCACCATCAGCCCGCGCTACCAGGCCATGGGTGAGAGGCACTTTATTTTCTCCCATGATGTGGGGAAGCAATAATGATGAAATTAATGAGTGTCTGTTTCAACAAAAAGCGCACCTAGGGCCTGTCCTATTACTGTAGTTGCCACTAGCCTCCTCTGTTAAGACAGTACGTTGTAGAATATCTTGTTTGTTTTATGTTTTGCATCACAACACCTTGTTGGATCTCGACACAGGTGTACGATTGGTGTGCTGCTTGTGGGCTGTGGGAAAAATCGCATTGCTACAGAAAGCCTAGTGTCAAGCTACACAGCCCTTTACTTCTGCCTGTATTCTCATTCGTGAAAACCGTTGCTCACCTTTCACATATTTAATGGTTTGCAAGTGTGTGTTATTACCATGGGCATGCTTGGCCTTCCTTATACGAATGCCTTTCTTAAATAAAATTTTGAATTTATAGCAAGTGCTGCTTCCCATCGTTTGTGTGTCCCAGTCTTTTTTTCTCGTCTTTGTCCCGCTGCAACGAAATATGCCAGTAATGCCGAAAGTTGGGCGAGTCGGTGATAGTCCACGATTACGTATAGAGCGGTGTCCCTGTCATTCCTTTTGTGCCTGTCGTCGTGCACTGCTTCATATGTAATCGAAATATACCAGTACGAACGAGCCCAGCTCGCTGCACTATTTAAATAAAGTTTGTTTGATTGATTGATTGATCAGAAGGCTTAGCATTACTTTAGGGCCATTTATTGATAATCGATTCACTTTCAGTCCACTGTGGCAGCATACGGCAGACGGCCTCCATCCTGTCCATGTCGACAGACTGCCTGCGCACCGGCGACAAGGCGCTGGTGCGTTTCCGCTTCATCAAGAACCCCGAGTACCTGCGTCCAGGCATGCGGCTGGTCTTCCGCGAGGGCCGCACCAAGGCCGTGGGCAACGTGCTGCGCCTCTTCCCACCTGTGCCCGGTGGAGGCCACTACCACGGCGTTGCCAAGGCGACGGCCAACAAACCGCAGCAGCAGGCCAGAAACAGCAGTGCGCCAACCACGTCCGAGAACAACGGCGACGCCTCGGCGGCCGAACACCAGATGACCAGTGGTGGGTCTGCTGTGTCTGTGTTATTTTAACATGTGACTGGCATTTGGGAAGTGTTGCGCTGAATTTCTTTGAGGGGAGTACGAGATGCAGGGGCGCTATCCAGCATTGGCTCATTGTTAGTGCTGGCTGTTACCCAAAGGGAAGCTAGTGTAGGGTAAATGATAGCTAACATTAGCCAATGATGGCCGAAATAATAGTGTTGGCTAATGTGGTTAGTGCTAGCTACTGGTTGCTAAAGGAAGACTAGTGTAGGCTAAATGATACCTAACTTTGGCTAGTCATGGCTAAACCAATGATGTTGGCTAATGTGGATAGTGCTGGCCGTTGCCTGAATGGAGCCTAGTATTGGCTAAATATTGTCAAATGTTCACTAATGAAGACCAAATGAATATCGCTGGCTAATGTTGATACTGCTGGCTGTTGCTACTTTCTGACGATCCCAAAGTTTCACCTTAAATATTCTTTTTTTTTTTTCGATTGGTGCAGATACCACATCATCCGCGTCCAGGTTGGAGAACGAGCCACAAAAGGCCAGCAAACGGAACCGCGGACGTTACCGAGGTCCCCGGATGGCACCCATCATCTGAAGAAAAGCGCGCTGCCACAGCGGAGCGCGTCTTCCAAGATTTCATTTCACCTCACCCAATAGAGATCCGTTGCACGTACTTAAATAGCCGGTGTGCCCGCCCACATCCTCTGCCATTCCCTTTCGCCTCCAAGTTAGGCTTCTCATTCGTGGACCCCCTCCTCTATGCTTGTTGTTTGTCTAGGGCATTTTCTTTTCATTGCCCTATCATCTGCGCCTTCACGTGTAATAGAACTCGCTCGCCTCACATCTGTTCCTGCTTGTGCATCAAAAGGGCTGGGCAGCTAAGCGAGACCTTCATCCGCCTGTGTTCAGAACAACTTCATCCTTCACTAATTGGAAAGTTTGTGCTCCCAAGCTCGTTAGCTTGCTCGGTTACTCGACTTTGTTAGCCCCTGCAAACTCTGCACTTTACAGGTTCTCATTTCAGTAGACAACTGTCATTTTTCTTTTTGTTTGTTCGGCCCTCTTGTGATGCCACTTTACTTTTTTTTTGCTTTTGTTTTTTTACAGATCTAGATAGGCGTGCGGTAGCAATGTAGTTTTAGGGTGACGACCTTTATCTGTATCACCACAGGGCAAATTGTAATGCTTATCTGTTCTCTCTTTTTTGGTCATAGATGGGTCGTTCCTGTCGATGCTCGGTGTGTTGTAGTGCTGACGTTATTCGTTGCCTGATTTGTGCCATGAAGAATGGTAGGCGAGTTCTACTATTCAGCCGACATTTGACTCAAACTTGTGTTTCTATAGCACATTGCCAACTTTTGTAACGTTGACAAACACAAATGAACAAAAGGTGCAGATTCCCAGAAAGAGATCAGGTAGTATTGTAAAATGTGATTACTTGAATATCTTGTAACTCTGCAGATGGTTACCTGTGCGTGGCACATGTTGGCAGCCATCTACTGAAAAAAAAAGTAAGAAAAATCATGTTTTCTAAAGCAGCTTCACATAACACTGTTTTTAGGTCTGGCGCTAAGTCCACAAATGCACACGTGGCACGTTGAATACAAGAACAGGATGCTCTATGATCAAATGTCTTTAAAACTAGTATGTCAAATCTAACATGAAATGGCTTTGTTATGTTGAAAACTTGTCTGAAATGCGCATCTATTTCAATGTAACAGCAGCTCGACGATTCTTAGTGAATTTTTATAGTCAGCTTAGACTGCGAGGTGCTACGTTTGTAATAGGTTTGAGTGCGCCTGGTGGCTGGAGGAAATGCTTGCTTCTTGCTTGCCTTATTTGGGGTCTTTAGTTTTCAGCTTTGATGGCTGGCTGGAAACTTAGTTGTCACGACGGCGATGAATGCTCGCTCTGTGCGACGAACCGCGTGTGGCAACGTCTGAATGGTGCAGCTACGAAGTGCAGCCATAAATGACTGCTTGCCACAGTGAGGTTTTTCGTAAACGTTTGTTCATAGAGTTTCTTAAAATTAACTAGAGGGGACTCTGGCACTGCAATTATTCAGCCTACCGTGTGGTGAATAGTACTCAAATTTGTCTGGTATTCATGTTTACACGCTTTGAATGCATCTTTGACTTCGTTTATTGTTGTGTTTTGGTTTCGTTTTGAATAAAAGAATGCACCATTGCGAACTTGGTGACCCGGTTTGAATTGGTGAGCCTAGAAAGATAACATGGGGAAGTGCAACTGCTGAACATTTGTCGTTTGTCTCCCGACAAAGCAGCTCTAAGCCTTGCGAAGCCAAGCGGAGCCTGAAAGATGAAAGATGAAGAGTTTGCGTACTACCCATCACTTCGACGCTGGCTGAATTGACGTGTGTTGAAGCTCCCATAGACACTAGTGCTAGGGTTCCCTCTAGCGTCTTTGCAAGAAACTCTACACGTCTGTCCTCATCCTCCACATTGGCACGTTTCTAAATGTCTGTTCCTGTCGTGAAGGCTTAGTAAAGTCGATGGGCACAGGGTAGTGAATAGTGAAGCCTATTCAGTACGACTTAAGGTGCATAGTAGTGCACTCAAACCTAATTATAACGAAGTTTACATACTGCACGGAAAAAGTATCGTTGTGTCAGAAAATTCATTAAGGTACATTTTTAACACTATATCTATTGCTAGACTATTGTCAAATTACTTCATTATAACCAATATTTCGTTATATCGAGGTTTCTGTGTAGCACTGCCATGTCGCGTCTTCCTGAGCAATAATTATAGAGAGTTGTTCATAGTCTTATTCCTCACTTTCCATGCATACTATATGAAAACGTATGTTAATTTGTGTATGCCTTGGGCAAATTTTTAAAGGTGATAACAACAGAAAAAGAGGTGTTGGGGGGACCTGACAGCTGTCATGTGCACTGTATTAAAAAGTTGTATTCATCTCGGGAAGGTCAATGATAGGATGTGTTCGCATATATTTGTGTGTTTGAATTATGGATATAGATGACGTCAGAGGGAAGTTAACATCTATGAATCTGCTTAGTCGCTGCTATAGCCTGTGTTAGAGAGAATCAGCATTCTTTGAAAATACAAGCCACGATTGATTGGCGTCTTGCTAAGCTGGGTACAGGCAGAGTCAATTTTCACCACTGCATAGTTCAATAAATTTTTACCTGTATATGCGAGACCTAAGAGTGTCATCTTGTGCATATCTGTTTGGAGGCCATGTGGTGAAAATGAAAGTAGTCATTTACCATGTAGAAAGTCATTGCTGCTAAATAAAGTAATAATCATTCATCAAAATGCCGTAAAGGAAATCTCATGCAGGTGGCTTATTTAAAAGATGTATTAAGTGTGTGCAAAATTTAAGGGTTGTGCGATATATTTGCATAAATTTCTTTTTGTATAAAATTGCTACTAGGATTAGGCAAAAAAAGAATGAAAGAACGGTGTCATTGTCATTTATTTTGCTCTGTTATCACTTATTTAAATCCAAGGTGTCTAGTGGGGCTAAGTGGGCAGGTGTTTTATGTGTCCAAACCTTATGCAGTCCCTGTGAAATTTCAGCTCTTCTTGTATTTACCAGTTGCCTAGCTGTGTGTACATAAAGTTAGCCACAAAATCGTCTCAAGATCTGACTTTCACACGGATTTTCTGTTGAAGTGGTCCTAAAGAAAAAGATCTTGCTGTATTAGTGAATTGGGCTATGCAGCATTAAAACATGGCCATTCTTACTAGAGCAGCCCTAACGGAATAGAAAAGGTGGGAAAAAAATTTACATCTGACTGCAACAACATTGTTAAGTTCCTGCGCCAGCTCATAGCGTTTTCGCGAGTTTCAATGTTGTCATTTTGATTGTGCCTACTTTTTGAAAATGGAGAACTTTTAATATTTCACAGCAGCTGTACAAGAAAGTATATTGAAATTAATGTCTTTGCACTGGCTTCTTGTTGCTGTGCGGTTATTCAAGTCACTAAAGGACCTTGAAACCAACCAGAGGTGGAATTTCGGTTGTGGTGAAGAAGTTGGGCGCGGGCGTACCATGACAGCGGAGCCATGAGAATTTTTCGAAACGGTGCCGTAATAGTGGAGTTAGACCCGTCTGATTATCGAAACAGGGAAATCACTCTTTTCGCTCTTTCCTTCACTACCAACCATTGGTATCCTCTCCCAAAGCCGCTTTGCCCTCTCTCTGAGCGCCCCTGCCAAACTTGCGCGACGTACGTCATCGCCGACGCACTGCTCGAGATACCGTCTACTTCCGGGTGCCGTGACTACGTGCCTCCGTCGACTGTATGCTTGTTGGCAAACCGCTGCTGCTGTGCCACTCCGTGCTTATACGAATCGTGTCGGTATGGACCCTGTGTTACGGGCAGCAGTAGCTGACTGGCAGCAAGCACACGCATGCGTGTAACATGACGAGCAACAAGCAGCGCAGACAGCAGCTTGCAGACCTACCGGAAGTCGTAGGCTCTTGCTCGACCAATCGCAGCATATTTGTTTGCATCAGAGATATTCATAGTGTGTGTCACGTGAAGGTCCAAAAGGATTAGATGTTTCTTGGAAGTTGTGGTGCACCGGCGGCTCATAGCGCGGCCACGTGTAAAATCGTTGATCGCGAGTGCATTCTGCACACGATGCGCATGTTTACTTGAAACATTTGAAAAAATATTGGAGGTGGTTTAGGGGTTCTTTAAGACCTCGCTGCGGAATTAATGCATCTGAAAAAACATGAAGGTTTTGTAAGTGTGAAGTGATCTAGTTCTTATGTTTAATAACACTTGTTTAAGGTACTAGGGTGTCAAGTTTAAATAAAGGATCGCTGTTCTGGCCGTAAAAGCTTCAGCAAAACTGAAACTGAGTTGCAGAGTATGCGCTCAAGTTTTTACAAAATTCAGCATTTACGGGAATCTTGCCTGCTGTAAGCTTTCACGGCAAGCTCTATGCGTGAATATAAGACAAAACGGTCAACGTTATGCCAAAGTGCCAGTACTTATAGAGGCTAAAACAATAAAATACACTGGCCCAAGTATACTTAAGCGTCAAGTACCAAATGACCCAGACTTCGACCTTATGGCACGGCCGAGCTATTTTGACTGAGCAGGCAGGAAAGTGTCGCGAGCAACAGTTTTTCCGTTTTTTGATAAACCTTTTTGTCGAGCCAGCTTGGTTTGCCTGTTTATAATCTCTCCATCTTGTCCCTGCCTTTTAGGAAAATCTTGTCTTGTTAGGGAACTCTTGTTGTCTTAAGGTACAAATGCCAAGTTTCAATTGAGTGATAGCCACAATATGAAGTATCCATAAGTGCATCATACGCATGAAAAAAAAAAACAAAATCTGATTATCGATATCATTATAACAAAAACCTCTCAGTGATCTCCAGTTTGCTCTCTCGAGCTTAGATTTCAATTGATCGTTGCAAATATCTTAGTTTCATTTTTTGGCTTCACTCACTGCCATCTTCAGATTCTTTTACACCGAAAGCTTTGTCCATAACCACTATCGGGCAAAGTAAAAAAAAAATCTAGAAAGATATCAACAAGAGAGCGGTAATCAAACCCGGGCCCTCTGCGTGGCAGCCCAGTTCTCGGCAAGTGAGCTACGTCGGTGCTTAAAGGAGCGCTGACACAAAACTCCGAAAACAAGATAATGAGTGAAATATATTTATGTGGAAACATAGCACACATCTACGAGATATCAGGGGCGAATATAGCCTAGAACATATTTAAAACCAATTTTGATATGCACGCCTGTTGCTGAATGAGATGCAGAGCCCCTCACGACGCCTACATCAATGCGGGCGCAATGTAAACAAGCCTGCATCATGAGTTCGTGCTGGCTGGTTGTTGGTACAAGCTTTGTACTTGCGCTACCTTTGATTTCTTCCTCTGTGCCTGGGGCTTTGCATGCACGCGGGCGGGCTAAACTGCAGGCCCCATAGGAAATGAGCGTGCACGTGCTGTCTAGCCAGACTGTAGCGTGTGCTGGCTTTGCCGTGACATGTCCAGCTGCGATTACCGTGCCCCCGCAACTGCTCCTGCCTAGCTCGCTGCTCTTTGAGACCGAAACTGAGACTCTAAATGTGTCTTTAATTGAATAACCGTCGTGCACTAACGGAAACAAGGTCTGCAGCTGCAATAAGTGGATCATAAACTACCTTTTGCAACAAGAACAACAAAAAAAAGGTGCAAAATTTTTGTCTCGGTGCTCCTTCAAAACTGCATTAGTGACCCCATGCAGGCTTCATATTGCGTTATATAATTGCGTTAACATGGGTGATAGAGCGTTTTATAACAGTAATGAAACAACCAGGCATTACGTAAATGGGTGGGTCATTCAATGCTCCAACCCATTGTAAACACCTCGGGTGTAATTCGTCATCAGCCACACCATCAACAAAAAGTGCCCGTAATGCCTTGCAAGTGTGTAGCGGTTACCACACTTTTCCGAAGACTGATGAGTAATGACATAGCGGACGCTTTCCCACTACACAGTAATTATTTATGGCGTAGTTAGTACCATGAAAGTGTGCTGAAATCAGATATGATTTGTTGCATAGTTGTGACCATGAAAGTGTGCTTGTAGTTGTCCCAAGAGCGATGAAAAAAAGTCTCTGGAAAGGCCACTCCTAGCTTTTGCTGCGACTGTGCTGCACATCCCACACAAGCCTGGCTTCTTATTTTTTTGCTCCAACTCGTCAACGGTAGTCTGTATTGCACATTATGTGGTCAGCCCAGGTCAACATCATTCACTTAATATCAATGGGAATACCAACTACATCTGCTTGTTGTCTAACCCATGGTCTACTGTCCCCTGATCTCTTACGATTATGCCCATCATTTTTGGCTCCACTGCGATCTGCTTAACATGATTGTTTCTCTGTTAATGACCTCACCTTCTATGATACTCGTGTAATTTGCCTGCTTCGATTCTAGGGCTTTTTTTTTCCACACTTATGTCACACTTTCATATATTTCCTCGACTTGTATTCATCCCTTGAAAGTTAGCATTTCTCCCATACGTTTTTTGTGTACATTTCGCACTAGCATGTGGGCGTGCTAACACAAACCGACTAGCCCAAGTTACACTCAAACCTCACTATAAAAAAGTTGCGTCTTGCACAAAAATTGGGTTTGTTATGAATTCATTATACAGGCGTATTGCCAACACTACTGCAAGATTTTGTTATAGCCAATATTTCGTTATATCCGGGTTCGTCATATCGGTTCAAGTTGCCCTTAACGCCTCACAACTGAGGTGTTTGTATTGCGCTGAGCGACGATTTGTCTCCATCCCCAACCTTTCTCCGCTTTTCACTGTCGCAAACCACTGGTCTCTTAGATCTCTCATCTACGTTCTCTCATTAAGTTGTCCCGTTTGTGCAACTGTAGCAGGCAAACGAAAGATGATACAGAAGTGAAATCACAGACATTATTTTCATTTGACTCTAGTGCTTAACTTTGCTGAAAAGTCAATGCCATGACAACTTATCATTAACATTGTACTACCATGGATTGTGTTACATTGTACTACATTCAAACCTCATTATAACGAAGATACATCTTACAAGAAAATTAGTTTGTTACATCCGAAAATTTGCTATAAAAGCTGTATTCCTAACGTTATAACCAATATTTTGTTATATCTGTGTTTGTTGTATTAGGGTTTGATTGTATATAAAAGAAAACGTATTTCTGGAGTCGGTGCATAAATGTTAAAAGGAATCTGGTTACTTATTAATACTAATTAAAAATAAGTGCCGTTACTGCCTTTGCCTGAATATGACGTTAGTGCTCTAAGTAGCGTACTTACCGTTTTGCAGACATTTGTGTCCAAAGAATACACCACATTGGTTAATGTGTATGGGATGCATGGCTGATGATTGTTGGGCTTGGTGCATTGCCTGAGAATGTGCTAGCAGGATTCGACACCATTATGAAATAGGCTTTCTAATATCATATAGAGGCATGAATCTCATTAGGGTCTTGTTCCAGTGGAGTGAGTGAAGCCTTTAATTTTCTGCTTCTGAATCTCTCTGTAATTGGGGCATGCGACTATCAGTTCTCAAGGCTAAATAAAGTGCAGTATGAAATGGTGCAGGAATTGAATATTTTCAGTTACGTTCGACTGGCTTTCAGCATTATGAAACAACTGTTTCATTGAACTGTTCTGTATGCCATTCCAAAAACTCTGCATGACTTGCATGTAGTTTTAAGAAGTATATGAGAATTCCATGAAGATCATCTTATCTTTCTAAAACAAATTTACGAACAATGCTAGAATTGTGTGTTGCATGCAGAACAATTCAGTTGGCAATGTTGAAATCATAGTGTTGCAACATTAGCCACTTTATGTCATTGTTTTCTTTTTTGAAGGCTTGCCTAATATGAAAATCATTAATTGTATAATAAAAACGATATGTGCACATTGCATACAAAAACTTGTCAGTACTTATCTTGGCTTGCTAAGTTGCGTACTCGCGCTGCACTATGCCGTACACTTGATGTATTAATGTAAGCTATTGCATTTTCGCAGATCTTTGCAATAATTGTGCAACTGGTGATTTCAAGTTTGAAAACCTTTCGTTTCAAAGGCTTAGTCAAGTGTTTAGTTGCCCGATTCTCGGTACTAACGACCAGGATATTCACACAACCCCAGTCTTTTAATTGTCAAAGGAGGCAAAACAGCAGCTTCGAATCTTAAAAAATAAATAAGTAAATGAAATCTTGTCAGTGTGGAAATCTTAAGCACTTCTACTGCATCATGATGAAAACGTGTGTCGTGTATGCATGATGCAGCCCTGTGGGCGCGCACAATGGTGACCATCAAAAAAAAAAAAAAAGGGAAGTCAAAGTGTTATTATAAATACCAACACAAAAGGAATACTGACAAGAATTTAATTTTTGAAATTCCATGACTTAACGAATCTCCCTTATACAGAGATGGCTCTGAGCCTGTCTGAAGCACTACGAATATAAGGTGTTTTATTTCAATTGATGTTGAAGCGAATTTTCAAATGGTGAACCTACTGACATAATCACCAGCGTGGCATCAGGCTACAATGCCAATTCTAGTGACATCACACATCAGAAAGGCTAAATGTGATGGCGTCAGGTACTGAAGTGCACAAAATGGCCGCTCATGGTCCACTTGACAAATCCATGCAGCTTAGCAGCCGTGGAAACGTCATTGCATCCGAAGCTTAGCGTGCCGACGTTGTGGCACAGTGGCAATTGAAACCAGCTTTTAAAAACATGCCGTAGTTAATTTCTCAACGTGACACGCTTGCCAGTGCTTTTTCTAGAATCTTGTAGACTTATGTCTTTCATGGGACGCAAAAAAAAAAGACTGCTAAAAATGTTCGTCATGAGTCCACTTCATGACACGGCTGGAAACTGAGAGTGCTGCCAAACTTGGCGTGTTTTATGCTGGCACAGAGTTTTATGAGCCACAATTGCCGCTTGGCCATTATGTTGGAGACCTGAACGGAAAATGGCTTGGAGTTATATGAATACCTGCTTTCATGTCTTCAGAAGGATAAACTCACGGAACCTCCATCGTGAGTTGTCTAACTGATGCATAAGCATAAACCTTATTTGTAGGATATTAAGGTCACGACCTTCCCTGTAAGGTTGTTGTTTGATGGCATAGATAACACGTCTTTCATTAGTGCACGGAGCACTCCAATAAAAAGCACAAGCTGCGGCCATCAAATCGCATGTTTGGAGTTACATTTTTGCAAAAGCTGCAATTTTCCAGACGTGTAAAGCACTCCAAGCAGGGTTTACTTCTTGTCCTAGCCACGAAATACTTCAACATAGAAGTCGGATGTATTCATTTTCTGAATGCTTAGGCGTTTAGTCAGGTGGTTAGTATACTTGGCTTCTGAAAGTGGGGCACTCGGTTCGAAACCCACTACATATAACCAATGAAAAATGTTTCATGAATTTATGCCGTTATAATGGTTTTTTTTTTTTGCTCAACAGTACTAGGGAATGATAAACAGGTGCACAGTTTTCTCAGTCGGCACAGAATTGCTTACATTTTTAGAACAAGTTTATCGCTCGTTGCAAGAGTTTTCATGAAGGGAGCGAGCCAATGTGTTATGTCAGGTGACAGCTGAATAACCAAGACTGATTTACAGAAGTAATTTAAAGTTGTTTATTACAGCTCTTACGCTTGTTTTAGTAAAACACTGGAGCTTCGTGGAAAAAAAAAATCGAAGGAAGGAAAAGGTTGTTTAGAAGATGTATTGACTCCCTAGTAAAGATATTGCGCTGCTTGCAACACCGAGTTGCAGTTTTCATCCAGTTCATTGCAGTCATGCAATTTTGTCAATTAAAAGCACTGAAATTTGGGCAAATTTGTACCTGAACATAGCGGAATTTGAGCGCGATAATAGACAAGGAACGAAAGACAGAGGTAGAATGACGAGCGCTTACTTCAAACTAGTTTATTCGCAGAAAAGACCTGGTTTTATCTTACACCGAACACGGAAATGCATGCGTAAACTAAAATATAAATAAGCGACAGGAGGACAGTCATCACCTCAGAGTTAAAAAACGAAAAAAAAAAAATTGCCATACAGGAAAATGTAACTGAGGTGAAAGACAACATATGTCATGTCATGGCAAGCAAGGAAGTGGCTATCGCTGGCCTGCTCTCAGTGTCGAAAACTTTAAGTAAGCCACTTCACTGGTTAGTAGATTAATAGATGGCTGGCTAACGCACGTGGAAGCATTTTGTGAATATAGAAGGTTTTCATTATTTCTCTTGTTCTGTTTTTGTGCCAGAAAAGAACTGAGGTTTTGCTGAATTCTCGAGTGCACCCACATGCTTGGATAATACCTAGCCTTTTCTGTGAATAAACTTTAGTTTAAAGTGAACACTCGTCTGTCTACCTGCGTCTTTCGTTCCTTGTCTATTTACCCGCTCAAAATACCAATTTTTCAATTACTTCATTGAATGGCTGCTGAACATCAATATATGATATGTGGCTAACCACATTTATTTGCGACACCACTATAAATGAGAGAATGTGTATTTGCATAATGTCCCGCTGAGTCACCCAACTGGCTCGTTCAGTGCTCTCCATCTTTCCCTGCAACAGTGCACATTTTGTGGTTAAACATGTGCGGTAATGCTCATTCGTTGTTGTAAATATTGTTCGTGCATAATGTCGGTTTTATTTGCAAATGAGCTGTCTGAGCCTATGTGTGTCAGGAAAGAATTAAGGCAACCACCTACCTTTCATATTCTTTGGAAGCCCTATCCGGGCGCAGATCCTTGAGGCACCGTATGGTTCATTATTTAAGTTATTACCTGGGAGATGTGTTGCTTTTATGGTAAGCCGTGTCAAACTTTATAATCAGCATGTTAGCTTTCAGAAGTGACTTGTGCTTCTTTCCCATATTGTTCATTTACGCAAATGAAAGTGAAAACACGAAATAAAAAACAATTTCAAACATTAACTCTCTTTGATGACTGTGTTTATTCAAACAGAGAAACATGATGATGGTAGCTTTTTTTTTTTATGTAAATGAAGATGAGGGCCATGTGGGGCTTAACAATTCTCAGGTGTTCACGTAAATATTACGAGAAGGTTCCCTAGTCGGGGAACGGATGAAGCACTTGTTTACGAGCAGCAGCATGCTAAGTTAACTTGACCATGGAATTCCATGAAAGGCATCATTCTCGCTTCCATTGTCACTCTCAGGATTTCCAAATTGTCTTTATTTAAGTCATTAAGACCGGCTAATCTGAATTTCGTTTGCCGCAATGCTTCCGCAAGTCGCAACACAACGCATAAGCATCAATAAGGCTAGATACTCGCAATGGGGCGGTATTGGTGATCTTGCTGCAGCTAACTTGACAAGCGTTACACGCACTGTTTGGCAGCAGTTTGCTTTTCTAAAGAGTTAACTGACCAAACCAATACAATAGTTGCAGTGATTATGATGCTTTCAGCTGGCCAAAATAAGCACTTTCAAAGGAAGAGTTGAATATGTTTAAACGGTTTCTATGATGGTTAAACTAATCACTGCGAGAGTAAGAGCAAGAGCAAGCTTCGAACTTGTTATTTCGTAAAGGCAGAAAAATAGCCAACATGGGCCGAATATCAAGTTGCGTTGGCTCCAAGTCGCACATGTTCGCCGGTATTTTGCTTGGTAGCCACACTAATCACGTAGTTGAAGACACCATCTAAAGTTCTCAGGAAGCAGCCGATGTGCAATCAACATTGAGTCAAGACGACTGAAGTGTAGAAATTGTTTGCTGGTGTTCGCTCACCACGCCACTTGAGTAGCGAATGAACGATTACCGAGAACAAATTATCGCGAGCGGGACAGGCATTGGGCATGTTTACTAAACAAAGAGTGCATGATTAAGGTAGCTCCAATGAATGTTTGGGAACCTTTTAGAGATTATCTACAAGAAACCTTTTGGGAGAGAGTTTGTAAACATTCGTTATGAGCCGTTTGTCAGCCCTTTTGCAGCGGAGAATTTAATGATGGTTGGATGTGTCGTCGTCGGTGTCGTCGTCGGTGTCAGTGTCTTCGTCGGTGTCGTCTGTGCCGTCGCCTGCGCCGTCAATGATGTGTGCTTCTGCGTCATCTGCTGCGGGCTGGAGGGCTCTTTCTCATCGAGGCAGTCTTTCATGAGTTTTTTGAGAACTCGGGCCTTTCTCGTCTGTAGAACCTTCCGCAATACCTTGCAGGGCCCGCACACTGATCCTGTGAAGGAAAAATGAAACCAGGACAGTCACAAATATAATTAAAACTTTAGCTGTGCACGTCACACGAGTTCGTATCAATGTCGATCCACATGCGCTCCTTTTGTCGCCAAAGAATTATCATGGTCAATTGTTATACATTGAAACCTTGATTTAACGAACCCGAATATAACAAAGTAAGTTAAAGATACAGTACACTCTCAGTAAACGGATATCTGTTAGACGGAACTACTGTTTAAATGAAACAACTGCCTCTGCTATGTTTGGTTTCAGATGTGTAACTCCTGCTAAAGAACCTATTTTAGCGGTCCCTTCAGGTTCCGTTCAACGAGAGCCTACTGTAGTCTTGCAATAGATACAAAGTTAGGAATAAACCTTATAATATAACGAATTTTTAGACAGAAGAAACTTAGTTTTGTGTAAGACGCAGCTTTGTTATAGTAGTGATGTTTGAGTGCACTTGTAATTTTTAACCCTAGATAGCAATAACTGTCCATGAAAAATCACATTTCGTGCTTTCCGTGAGTGTTCTAAGCCTGGCAACAGTCATTTTATAATGCCACTTCGCAAGAAGAATGCCGGCAATGGCGATGCTCCACAGAGGTGCGGCTTGAGTCAGTACAGGAAGCAGTGTTGGCAACGACATGGAACTTGTGTCCGACAGCGACTCGGACGTTGTCTTCACCCTGGATTTCGCTTCAGATGATGACAAGAACAACGGTGATGGCGATGCACTGAGCAGTGCGCGTAAACATAGACAAGCCATCACCTGCGCCTCTGCCCAATTTTCAGTGAGTTACCACGTGCTGCATCAAATAAATACTTCGACTTTCAATAAGCTCTGACTCATTACCTCCGCATGTATTGAGAGAAAGCAGCCCTCGGCAGCAGTCTTTTCCCTTTTTAATTTCTGTGCTGTATCTAAACAGAAGTTGGTGATGTAATATATATTCAGAAACAACAATTCAAAAAAATATGACCACAAAAAAGCACTTTTGGTATATTTTTCAGGGGTTAAATTGGTGCTTAAAGGATTGATGACAAAATCCAGACACCGGACAAAATAGAACTGCTATGGAAACGTGGTGAGAAGGAGCTTCAAACACACAAAAGAACTGAAATTCAGTTACCGGGTCAAATCATTCTCGCATTCACAAAGTGGTTGTAATATCTGAAAACTCTTGTCGGTAAGGTGAAACATGCCAGAAATATCACTACACAGCACAGAAGCAATGTACGCAACTACGTACGCATTGTACAAGGGCCGACGAAAATTCGCCGGCCACGCTGGCATAGGAACATGTGGAATAGTGGCCTAGGTACTTTCGACGGTTCCTGTACATGTCTACAATCGCATGCAATTTGAGTGGCTTATTGAATTCAGTTTATGAAGAAACATAGCACGATATAGATTACAATATTTAATTATTTACATCCTCATTACCATTAATCACTGTAACACACATATTTATTCGAACACTCTCACTTGCTTTTTGGTGTCCAGAACTTTGCCATTGCATTATGCAAATTTCATGCATTTATAGGCAGTCAATCATAATGCAAGTCATAAAGGATTACTCAAAGTATTCCCCGAGATGGCTTCCATCACCTATTTAGTGCAAAACCACTTCTACCCTACGCATCAAGATTCCGTGGATGTCGTGAAAGAATACGAGGTTTCAGCTGCTCTCGTTGGCGGAACTGGTCGAAGCCAATGCTTTGACCAAGTGCTCCTTTGAGATAAATGAGAAAAACAGGGTTTGTATCAGTTGATAACATAAGCATTTCTTTCCCTCAGTGGGGCCACCTCAAATCGTCTTCTGAGCGGTCGCTTATCCCTTTGCAACAAGATGTTCAATGACAAAAAAGGCTTCAACAAACAGGTCTGCATGTACGCTTGGCACATGCGTAACCTTAAGCGACATTTAATTTTAGTTGAAATAATTCACAATTTTCTCGCTTTTGCACATGTCGTGTGTACAGCTTTGGTTGAGCACTGAAAGAATAAGCGAATTGACGAGCGCAAAAAGAAGAGCAGACACAGGAGTTGCTCGTCAATTAGCAGCGCTTATTCTTTCAGTGTTGATGGTTAGCCAACTAGCCCAAGAGTGTGTTCTGCTACAGTCAGTTTGTTTACTAAAACACAAAAGAATGTATAACCGCCAAGAAAGCTCTCGCTCCTTTCCTTGACGGTTAAGCCTCTTTTGTATTTCGTAAAGCATAATGGTACATGCTTAATGAAGTACGAATTGCAACAAATCTTACTAAGTTTTACTTTCAAGACACCGTTTGTCCTGCATTGCCTGTTTCTACGTTTTTCTTCTTTCGGGGCTGCATCAACCAAGACTACTGTAAACAGTGCTTGCATTGTGTTTCCTCTGAATCTGTGCACAATTTGCAAACTGTTCACAGCAGTTTAGAAAGATGCCCACTTTTACACTACATATTAGAAATGACTCCCACCGTTTCACTGTGCACGTGAATAAAAGTACTGTAATGTTGTCGAACTTTCAGTAATGTACTAAGTACATCCAACCGAATGAGCTTGCCAGATTGTTGGATTGGTTTGGTTGTGTTGAACACAACGAACCACTCGAAAAATTCCTTTTCTATATAGATAGCTGGCACGTGGCGTCGTGGATCCATCTTTTGAATGTTCTGCACTCGACGATAGTGGCTTCGTTGACAAACAAGTAGTGGCTAACTTGCTTCATTGCGATAACTGGCAGGAACACATCTGTGCAAGTATATAATGAAAGGACCTACATGTCATGTTTCGAGTACTACAATCTGACATCGCAAACATAGCGTCCCGCCTTGCTGGTGCATATACACAGCGCTTTCAGAGATATCAGTGCAAGCAATCTATAGGCGGGTGACTGCTCCGATCCCTCACAAATGGCTCCAACGTTTCTGTACCCGAGGGCCTCCATCTACACCGAAAGCAGAAGCATATCACACACTTGCACACGACGCACACACGTGCTGACTCAAAACACACGCGGAGGAGGAGGTCATGTGATGTGCGAAAAGACGCACGGTTACCTTCAGAGTCAACGTTCCTTGTGCACTCCAGGCTAAACACGGTCCCTTCGTTATTCTTGCCGATCTTGAGCAGGAGTTGCGTGGTGACGTCGCCGGATATCTCCGCAAACTCGCTCGGAGTCATGGACCCCTTGCACATGTGCGTCGCGTCTGCATCCCGTATAATCGCCTTCGCTTCGTCCAGCGACGTGACAAGTGCCTTGCAGCAGAGGGAACCCTGGAAGTATGCCTCCACCACGATCTCGGGGCCGTCGTCGCACTTCGAGAAGCTGACCAGTTTTGGGTGCGTCACCTGAAATTCGCGTGAAAGTTTAGAGGGCCAGAAGGGCCAGCATAAGGGCTAGTTGATTGCACATAGTTTGCCTTTACGACACGCTGATTATACACAAAAAAGACAAAGTAAAGGCACAGACAGGCATGCTCGTGTGTGTCCTACCTGTGCCTTTTGTGTGTTCTTTTTTAGTGCAATCAGCGCGTCGCAAGTGCCGACTATTCAAAGGGCCAGTAAACAACCCTGAGGTCCAAAAATTGTTGTAAAGAGAAATATGCGCACGTTTACTTCGTGAACATGTTGCCGCGAGAATTTTGCGAATCCATGTTATATTAAGGAAGTTACAGTGGTTCGAACTTCGGTTTCAAATTATCGCGCGGCCTCGCCACCCTTCTTTCTCACAGGGAGGGGAAGGCGTAGCCCGTTGTCGTGACTGGTTTAGACCAATCGACGAGCTGCATGCTGCGTCAAGTCGCCAATAGGCGAGTTTGCGTCATCGTGCATGAAAGGAGAATTGGTCGGGTGTAGGAAAGGAGTGCAGGAATCGCTTTTCGATATGGAGGCTCTCTGCAGCGCGTGCCGCTGCAATATTCGTAAAACTTGATTGCCGCGGTCTACACAACGAATTACAGAGCTTTCTTGGGGGGTGTAAAAAAAAGTTCTAGCCTGTTGACTGGCCCTTTGATGATATATGCATGCATTGCAGACATCAATGCCCAATGTATCTACCTCTCTCTTGGCCTAGAACACACCAGATAAATATTGTGGTGGAAACTACAAACTCCCACCTTTCTTACCGTGAGAAATCTGTGCTTAATTTCGCTTGCCATATACCTCTAACCCAAGTGTCACCTCTGCCTTGTCTATGTAGCAAATCAGTCACATGTCGTGCAGCAGCGTTCCATCAAATTTCCTCGCTCACACTCTAAAACCCTAAATGATGAAAACCACAAGGCCTGCGCGGAACGTGCAGCACTGCCGCAGCGAAATCTCCAACAGCCTCCTCTCCGAGCCTTTTTTTAACACTTTTGGGGTAGCTGCTGCAAGCACACTGGCAGGGTACCCTACTACGCCATAAATCATTGTGTAGTAGGCAGGCCACTACACTATGCCATCCTTTGTTACTCTTAAGAGAATAGTGGTACCTACTGCACACTTGCTTGGAACATAGTGCAGTTCTTTTGTGCTGTGGCTGACGACAATGAAGAATTATGCCAGAAGCTTTTGTAATCCCCTCTATCCCCCGCAGTGGGTATGTGCCACAGATCAGAGGTGAACACGATCAAGCTTTGGTAAAGGGTGTGAGTATTCGAAGACCCACTCGTTGCACAATGCGCATTATGTGACACCTGGTTGTTCCTTTGCTGTTCTAAAATGCTTTATTACTCATATCAAGAAGATTTCTTTCCCGAAATCAAGCCTGCGTAAAGCCAGCTTGAAAGGAAGTTCCAAGCACTGGCCTGGCTCAGTGGTACAATATTAGGCCAGCACACGAGGGTTTGAATACTATTGTGTCCTCGGTGTTTTATGTTTACCGATTTTTTTTTTCTTTTTTCCTGCAATAGAGGTTACGGACACCGGCAGCGGCAGACAAGTGCTAGTGACCTGTGTAGTGATCTCGTAACAGCTTTCGCCGTAAAAAAGTGCTTAGCAGTGCATACGAGAGGACAATATAGACGTATAGAAGATACAAGAGCGCTCAGCACTGAATGGAGTTCTCAATCATCGCTCCTTCTCGTCTCTTCTATCACCTCCTGTCGTATGCGCTGCTAAGCACTCTTTATCATGTTGTACGGACACACCTAATCCTACTGTCTCAAACCCTAGGTTAGTAGTTAAAAGCTGTGAAATACCGCCCTGAGCAGCTCAGATCCCAACCTCCAGGACCGAGTTTAGTGCTGGGCCCAGGCAGTAGCGGGGGCCTATGGCTGTTATACATAGTGTTCATGTGATGTGACTTCCGCGGATAACGCCATCTCCCGCTATGCCTGGGTACCTCGCTGGGTACCTACAGCAGTTAGCGTGCTGCAGCGCAGTTTGTTGAGGGCTCGTCACCTGTTGCTGTGCGCAATGATTGAAGAGAAGCCGTGCGGTTTTTCGTTGTCTTGCTTTAACGAGCTGATCGGGTCAGGAAGGCCTCGCTTGTTCACTCGATACAAGACCGGAAAATCAAAACGTGTCACACGTATACCAGCCACCGCGTACACTCGTTGCCCATTATCTCGCTTTCACTACCGATTGCGTGGTCTAAGAACAAGTGAAAGCTCAAAGTATCTCGAGCCGCAATTTTAAAAGTGAATGAGCGAAGCGCACAGCTCCCATCGAAAATGAGTCATCGTGCAGAGCTAGGCAAGTTTACAGGATATATATATTATTAATACCAATTTTAATATGTAGCTGCGACCCGCACCACCAAAGTAGCAATGCGGCTCCCCGAGTGTTTTAAACAGTGATGATGTTGAGCGTCTTTGATTGGAATTCGTGGAAACAGCCAAGGAATATATTATGCAAGGTAGAGACTTCGCGTGGTGCGTGCTGCGCTGATGCCGGTCACTTTTTTTTTTTCGCGTATGTTATGACTCATTTTTTACCTTGTATATTACTTTTGTTGTTGTGCGCTAATGTACAGTATTGTGCCTGAAAATGATGCAAACCGTTTTAGGGAATCAATAGACCAATTTTTAAAAAACCTGAACCCCTATTTGAACCGATCGCCTATACTTCAAATCGCGAGTGAATGAATATCGTTTCACATCTATTTTCACACTTTGTTTGAATGCGATACCCGAATTCCCGTGATTGCCTTCACAATTTCAACTGCCTCCCTGACACGCTCATTGTGCACGCAGCGGTCGCGGACAAGTTTGTATGTACAGCACCTATCTCTGTTTGCAGGTATGTGCTTCGGGTGTAACTTCATTACTTACCCGTAATGAAGTTACACCTGAAGACGCAAATATCATCGGTTCTTCAAGTCGTTTTTGTTAATCTGTGCCAGCCAAACATGCCGGTGCTTTTCGGAAAATCGCAGTGTGCGTTCTCAATTTCGGGTAATAACATTTCGGCAAAGAGAACACCCTGACGCTCTGCTCGCTCTTCGTGGACTGTTATATCAATTTGCCTCACCAGCAGCTGGTAATCACTCCTACTTGCATCGTTAGGCAAAACTGAACGGGCGCACGCACTAGGAAACAACACGGCAGCGGTCGGCCACGGAGTCAGTAGGTACCCAGGCATGTCGGTGGCGCATTTCGGAAGTGACGAATCGGCGCTGCGTGACGCACTTGCACACCATGTATACTGACGGTATGGCCCAGGAAGTAGCGGAGGCCAATGACTGTCATACTGACGGTATGCCACACAAAGTGTTGTCGGATGACTGATGGGACTGTGTCACACACCTACCTCACTCCGCTCAAGCCGCCGTAGGTTCGAATCCCCATTTGAGGGAAAGGGAAACAATGCGAAGGAAACATTGGATAGATAGCTGTGACTACAACTGAGCCAAGATCTGATAAGGAACACACTTCGGATACACCAAACACAGAAATACTGCTTATCCACTCACTCACCTCAAGCGAATCGTCAGGCGCCGTCTTTTTCACCACCGTGGTGGCGAACACCACCCTGTGCGGGTCCCTCGTTCCCAGAAGGCACCACCAGGATGGAAGCCCCAAGTCACACTTCCTGAGCCGTTCTATCGTGAGCGGCGGTTCCGGAACGACATGGCTAACCGTTTGGTTCGCGGCAGTAGGGGTGTCGGCGTTCCCGGGGCCCTCCACTTGGCCGTCGGGACAAGACTTGTCGTCTTCAGTGTCTTGTGGCGCTTTCTTTTGCTTCTTGGAAGATGCTGGCGGCGTCGGGACGGTCTGCTTCGCGGGTGGAGGCTGTTCCCTGCCCTTGGTGGGCCTCTGCTTGGGCAACCTCTTGGACAGGTATGGCGGTAAGTCCGGGAGCAGCGTGGGAAATGCGCCCTTGGCGAGTTTGGGCTTACCCCGCGGTATCCGCACTTCGGCACCGTTGATGATGTGGACGTAGTGTCGCACGATGAAACGCGGGTCAAAGTGGCGCTCGCACACGGTCGAAAACTGGGTGAGGGGCTTGTCTAGCCTGCGCAGATTGTACTGCCACACTTTCCTCTCATTTGGGTCCTTGGGCGCGGTGAACAGGGAATAGCGCGGCGCGCCTTTCTGACCCGTGCGGCAGCGCGGGGCATAGCAAAAGCTTTGCGTTCGCCGTTTCTGACTCGTCACAGCATCGGTAGAGCCCGTGTTGGCCGTGACGGTGCTCGCGGAGCCATTGTCCGCTGGTTTTGTCGGTACGCTGCTCGTTATTGTTGGTGGTGGTGTCACGAGTGGTTGTGTTCCGCTCATCGCTCACTCACCAAACCACGCTTTCCGACGCCTCGGAGGCACACGACGATCCGCAGGAATGCGTCGACGTGGTGCATACGAAATGTCACAGCCGGGGGCCCAGCTTCGGTAGTTGGCGACTTGGCGATCGCGAATTATATCGCGCCGTTTCGTCAGTTTGGAGTTGTGCGGCAGAGAGTTACGGCTGCAGCCTGGTCCGACTACAGCTTGTGTTGGATCGCCTGCTGGTTGGTCATTGGATTGCCGCGAAAATTGTGCAATAGTTTTTGTACGCTCATAGAGTTTCATACAATGTATTATTGTATGAAACTCTATGTGTACACTCTACATGTGCTGACAATAACTGTCCGTTTGTCTCAGAGTTAATACGCTGACTGTTATATTACATTAACTTTGTGGTTTATCCTACTGAGGTTCATTCAGTGTCCTAGTTTCGGTATGGCTGAGGAAAAGGCGTCATCAAATTGTGAAGCCGCTCTGCCTAACTGGCCGTAGGCGACAAAACTAAGTTATAGTGTGCTATACACTGTAACTAAGTGATGCAAAAAAGCGTCCATTATGCTAGAGTGTACTAGAAGTGTTGAGTGGCGGGACCGTGCCTCGCTGATCCTTCCGCAGTTCCGCGTTGCCCGTAGCGGCGGCGCTGCAGTCGAATAGTACTGAATTGTACTGAATAGTACTAGTATTGAATGTGGAGATATCCACCCAGGTGTACGTTTGGGCACGAACCTACAGGAAGCCTTGGGTTTTAGGGACAACAATGGAAAGCTGAACACACCCGCGATTGAAATAAGTAAGAGACGGTTAGAGTATTGGTGGCAGAAAATTAGAGAGAAAGGACAAAAATAAATATTGGAAAAATAAAATATGGACAGTGTGCCGTAAATGGCACAGAACTTAAGCTGAAAATTTACCTTTTTTCCATTAAGATAGAATTTATCGAAGTAGAGGCATTAGGCCAACATAAAAAAAAAGGGAAAAAAGATTTTTTTTTTTTGTCGAGCCTGGTGGCATACTTGTCACCACCCCGTTATAAAGGGGACGCTCATAGCATCCATCCATCCATCCTGATAGAGCCACGCGCCGCGTGCAGGAACTGCCATGCGCTTCGGCTCCTCCGTCGCGCTTTTTAAAGACGATAGTCTTTCTTGGGGACCTTTGACGCAAAAACTTTGGACGACTGCCAGTTGGGTGCGTTGGTAAGGGTTCATGATGAAACACGTATATTTAGCGCTTGTTTCATTATGAAAAATTTTGGTCTGTCTGTACATTTACCTGTTTGTCCACCCTTAACGGTTCAGGGTACTCTAAACAGCACCACCAGATATCCCAAATGGCCGACCCCATCCGCAGCACCCTCCAATGTTGCTAAAGCTTTAGCGTTCATACTTGTGCGATTGTCAATATCTGAGGCACCATCATCATCAGCCTGACTACGTCCACTGCAGGACAAAGGCCTCTCCCATGTTCCGCCAGTTTACTCGGTCCTGTGCTTGCTTCTGCCAATTTATACCCGCAAACTTCTTGATCTCATCTGCCCACCTAACCTTCCGTCTCCCCCTAACCCGCTTGCCTTCTCTGGGAATCCAGTTAGTTACCCTTAATGACCAGCGATTATCCTGTCTACGCGCTACATTCCCGGCCCATGTCCATTTCTTCTTCTTCTTGATTTCAGCTATGATATCCTTAACCCCCGTTTGTTCCCTAATCCACTCTGCTTTCTTCTTGTCTCGTAAGGTTACACCTACCATTTTTCTTTCCATTGCTCGCTGCGTCGTCCTCAATTTAACCTGGACCCTCTTTGTAAGTCTCCAGGTTTCTGCTCCATAGCTAAGCACCGGCAAGATACAGCTGTTATATACCTTCCTCTTGAGGGATAGTGGCAATCTACCTGTCATAATGTGAGAGTGCTTGCCAAACGTGCCCCACCCCATTCTTATTCTTCTAGTTACTTCAATCTCGTGGTTCAGCTCCGCGGTTATTACCTGCCCTAAGAAGACATAGTCTTCTACAAATTGAAGTGCACTATTACCTATCTCGAAGCGCTGCTCTTTTTCGAGGTTGTTGTACATTACTTTCGTTTTCTGCAAATTAATTTTAAGACCCACCTTTCTGCTCTCCCTGTCTAACTCCGTAATCATGAGTTGCAATTCGTCCCCTGAGTTGCTCAGCAATGCAATGTCATCGGCAAAGCGCAGGTTAATAAGGTACTCTCCATTAACTCTCATCTCTAACTGTTCCCATTCTAGGCTTCTGAAGACCTCCTGTAAGCACGCGGTAAATAGCATTGGGGAGATTGTGTCCCCCTGCCTTACACCCTTCTTGATTGGTATTCTGTTGCTTTCTTTATGAAGCACTATGGTAGCACTTGGGCACCTGTAAATTTCTTCCAGGATGTTTATATATACTTCATTGACGCCCTGATTCCGCAGTGTCTGCATGACGACTGATATTTCTACTGAATCAAACGCTTTCTCGTAATATATGAAGGCTATGTGTAGTGGTTGGTTATATTTTAAGCACTTCTTTATTACCTGATCGATAGTATGGATGTGGTCGATTGTTGAGTAGCCCGTTCTAAATCCTGCTTGTTCCTTTGATTGGTTGAATTTGGTCGACCTGACAATGTGTATCTTCTTGTATTTTTGTTCGTTTCTTGAAAAATCAACGTTTTTTGATGTTTTGATTTTTTCTTATATACAAATTGTATTCTGCTTGTATACTTTCTCCCGTTAGACCCCTTACTAGCCCATGGCTATGGGTCTAATCAGTGTTGTGCATTTCTTTAAATGTGGTCATAACAACCTCAATAAAATGTAAAAATGTAAATGTAATGTAAATTCTAATGTTTTCTTTACCCTGTTAGCAATTACCTTTGTAAAGAGCTTGTATGCTACAGAGAGCAAGCTGATCGGCCTGTAGTTCTTCAAGTTCTTGTCATCTTCTTTCTTATGTATTAAGATGATGTTAGCGTTCTTCCAAGACTGGTACTCTTCCCGTCAGGAGACACCTCGTAAACAGGGTGGCTAGTTTTTCTAACACAATCTCTCCTCTATCTTTCAGCAGATCTGATGTTACCTAATCCCCACCAGCAGCTTTGCCTCTTTGCATGCTCTCCAAAGCTTTTCTGACTTCTTCTATCATTACTGGTCGGGTGTCATCTGGGTTACTGCTAGTTCTTATAGTAGTAAGGTCGTGGTTGTCCCGGCTACTGTACAGATCTCTGTAAAACTTCTCCGCTATTTTAACTATCCTATCCATATTGGTAGTTATTATGTCTTCTTTGTCCCTTCGTGCATACATCCGATTTTTGCCTATCCCAAATTTCCTGTTTACTGCTTTGACGCTTCCTCAGTTTTTCAGAGCGTGTTCAATTCGTTCCATGTTATACCTTCTTACATCGCATACCTTACGCCTATTAATCAACTTTGAAAGCTCTGTCAGTTCTATTTTGTCTGTTGTACTTGAGACTTTCATCATTTGACGCTTATTAATGAGACTCTTCGTTTCCTGGCAAAGCTTGCCAGTGTAACTACCCTGCCTCCAACTTCCACTGCACACTCTGTAATGATACTCGTCAGATTATCATTCATTGTATCTACGCTAAGGTTGGTTTCCTCACTAAGAGCCGAGTACCTGTTCTGAAGCGAGACTCTGAATTCCTGTACTTTCCCTCTCAGTGCTAGCTCATTGATTGGCTTCTTGCGTATCAGTTTCTGTCGTTCCTTCTTCAAGTCTAGGCGAATTCGAGACCGTACCATTCTATGGTCACTGCATCGTACCTTGCCAACCACTTCCACATCCTGCACGATGCCTGGGTGTGCGCTCATTATAAAGTCTATTTCGTTCTTATTGTCGCCATTAGGGCTCCTCCATGTCCACTTGCGGTTTCCTCGTTTTCGGTAGAAGGTATTCAAAATTCGTAAATTATTGCGTTCTGTGAATTCTACTAATAGCTCTGCTCTGGCGTTTCTAGTACCGATGCCATAATCTCCTACTGCCTGGTCTCCAGCTTGCTTCTTTCCTACCTTTGCATTAAAGTCGCCCATCACTATGGTATACTGTGTTTTTACCTTACTCATTGCCGATTCTACGTCTTCATAGAAGCTTTCCACTGAAGCATCATGATGTCTGGATGTAGGCGCGTAAGCCTGTACCACCTTCATCTTGTATCTCTTATTCAGTTTAATTACGATACCTACCACCATTTCATTAATGCTATAGTATTCCTCTATGTTGCCAGCTATGTTTCTGGGAATTAGGAGCCCCACTCCCAGTTCTGTTCTGTCAGCCAAGCCCCTATAGCAAAAAAGGTGCCAATTTTGTAGCAACGTATAGGCCTCATTTGTCCTCCTAACCTCACTGAGCCCTATTATATCCCATTTAACACCCTCTAGCTCCTCGAATAGTACAGCTAGACTTCCCTCACTAGATAAGGTTCTAGCGTTAAACGTTGACAAGTTCAGGTTCCTATGGCGGCCTGTCTGGATCCAGAGATTCTTAGCACCCTCTGCTGCGTTGCAGATCTGACCGCCGCCGTGGTCAGTTGCTTCGCAGCTGCTGGGGACTGAGGGCCGTGAGTTCTTTGACGTATGCATGTGGGAGGTAATGGCCAAATACTGCACCAGGGTGGCCAATCCTGCTCTGGTGAGCGAGTGCGTTCCCGGTGTTGGTTACCGGTGAGGCCGCACCCAGGCCTCTTAATGCAGTTCCATCACCACGCGGATTTTTTTTTATCTGGTTGGGAACTGCGCGGCACCGGGATTTGAACCACGGACCTTTTGCATGCGAGGCGCTACACCATCGCTGCTCTAACCACTACACCATCGCTGCTAGTGAGGCACCATAACAACACATATATATTTTCTATGTGCGTCTCTTACTAGAAAAGACATACATAAGTAATTCTAAGGTCCGTAGTGTTTATCACGCTGCGCTGACCATGCAGTGCTTGCACGAAAAGGCGAGTGTTTCCAACGCTTTGCTAAGACGACATGGTGGTGGCACCTACCCGTCGCCTGCGTTCTACACCTTATCACCTCTGAGACGGGTGCGCACGCCTGTTTTAGAGCCACGCACTCCGTTTTCCAAGAAAACTGCCAGGTGGCGCTCATGTCTCACGTTTGACGTGATTATGCTCTCGTTCACCTCCGCTGCATGGTCAGGGCACTCTAACTCAGCGCCTCCAG